CACAGCTTGAACTTATTCCTTTCACCAGAAACACAAGAGCTTAGAGTCTGACACTGCATTATTTCTGTTGCCCTGATTTTAGTATTTTTCTAACTCTTTATTTTGGATGATGCAGAGAGGTGTTGATGAAAAGGTTCAGTCTGGTTTATTGTCTAAATAACCTCTGATTGCATACTTACTCTAGCTAAAAAACGCCCAAATTTCTTTCTTTGGAATCAGCAGCTGATTTTCGGTATTTAAAGATGTACATCTTTTTTTTGACCCAATCTGGAGAAGAGGGCATGCTAGTGGTGAGTTCAAGGGTCAAAAAGCTGTGGGGAGTAGAAAGTTTTGACTCACCTTAACTTTGTTTGCACAGTTTGACCTGTTTTTTTTTTTGCCAATAACATAAATCATGCTGCACTTGCATCCAACCAGTATAAAACCCAAAACTAGGCTTGATCCCTACTGCTCATACTTTAACGCTTTGACACCACTGCAGAACAGAGCAACCACAACTACATATTATTGTCGTACTATTGTGATGATGATTAGAAAAAAAAACAACGTAACTTTTATGATTAAAAAACATTTTTATTACTACTTTTTGGGGTAACTATATGGCGGTGGCTTAATGGCACAGCATTCATATCACTGCAAGCACAATATTGCTTTTAAAAACATTTCCATTTGAAATGGTCTTTGGTGCGCCACTTATTTAAAAAAGTGCAATTAACTGCAGTTAATAATACATGTCCGTATTTTTAAATTTACGGACACTTATGGACACCCCAATGGAACGGACAGCAGAGAAAATATCAAAAATAACATTTCACATTAAACTATAAGTTGCTTTTTTATTTGCCATCAATAGCTTAAATTTTTCATGATAATAAATCAATATTCTTAGAACTTTTTCTAAGAATATTGGAAAAAATATAATTCCCACCACTACTGGGTAGGTGATGCTTTTGAATGACATGCAAATCATGTCTTTGCATTCGCACCCTAGTTTAACACATTGAGATAAACTATTTAGCTAAACAATATCACTGATTAAAATGACTCAAAAATAATAATCACTGCTGAATTTTCAGCTGTTATGGGTTAATCTTTTACTCTTCTTGCTAATAAAAGAATGCCAGGCTTCAGGTAACATACACAGCTTATATACATGTGAAAGTTTGTTAGCATTGCGAGGTTTGTTGCTAATTCTTTGACTGCAGTCTGTCCTCAGGCTTCACTTAGTGCGGCGTTGAGCGATGTGAAAGGTCCTTGAACTGTGCAGACAGGAACACACGCGAGCTTGTCACTTTTCATCGGGTCATCGTCGAGACAGCCAGCCACTGAGATAAGAAAAGTGGCTGCGTGTTTTTTAAACTGCTCAACATTTAGTACTTTGTTTCCCTCTTTTTACATCAGTTGTTTTCTGCTAATATTTTACTTTTGCCAAATTGTATTTGATGAAGATTATTCATTTTAGCTTCAAGTCATGACAACTTTTGGGAGTTTACTCAATATCTTACTAATTTAGTATGACTAAATAGTTTGCACCCACTCAAGTAATATCTTTATTTCTCTTGGCACTTTTTTTTTTTTTTTTAACAACCAAACTGATTATTTTTTGTGAAAACTAAAGACTTTTTCTTGCATTCATTAAGTACTCCCTGGGAGTGACCTCAAGTCCCTTAAGTTTGGAAGATCGGTAATTGGCTGATAGTTGAGTGAAGCCGATTTCATCAGTCCTAAAAATCAGTCACTGCCTCTATTGCTGTGCTGTGAGAGATTTGACTGACAGACAAACCAACAGATTATGTCTGCATGTTCACCCTGCTGTTGCCAAATCAGCAACTTTCTCGCTGCATTTTGCAACATTTCAGACAAACTATTGGTATCACACAAAATTGAAATCGGTAGTTCATGCTAAAAAATTGATCATTCAGAAAACTATAATTGGTGTGACCTTAAAAATTACAAGTATGAATTCGAACTAAACCTTTTGCTTAAACGCTTATTTGATGGTATTTTCTTTATGTAAAATATGTCCTAGAGACGACTCATAGCGCAATAATAAAGGTTTTCTTGCTGTTATTTGCAGCTCTTTTATTTACCTTTGTATCTGCAACAGAATTGCAACCTGACAGCAATGGATGTTGTCAAATTGATTTAATGATGCCCCATTAAATCGCTGTGATTTCTGCTGGTTATTTCTGTTGTTACCTACCAATGAAGAGACATGAAAGATTCCCCAATCAGTAGAGGACGGATTTGTTCTGTATTACTGGTCCAGTAAGTGGATCTACAGTGAGGTTTTATTACTTCTGTTTGCTTTTAATGATGCAGGCTGTGGCACATGTAGTTTTATTTAGCTCTGAGCGGAGGCTGGTGGATGTAATAAAGCTCAGAGCTGCCTTGTGCGGTTTTATTAAGGAACCTGTGGAGGGGAAGAGGGGGACGCTGCTATTTTATTCATGTCTTCTATGTATATCTACCTTGGAGCAGCTGACATGACAGGAGGCTGAGAGGAGGAAGGAAATGACAGAAGGATGAAATGAGTTTTAGATTTATAATCCTTCAGACGTGACCCCCATTTCCTGCAGCTTGACGTCCTGAGGAAATGTCATGTCAGAGCCGTGTTGGTCAGATTGGATGGACAGGAGGGAGACGTACACACACACACTGACTCTGCTATGAGTGTTTGCTTATACTTGTTACCTTGCCTGTGTTTTTCATTTTTATGTTATATACACTAATTGTTTCCGTTTCATCACCTCTCCTAGCCATACATCCCATCTCTCTGCATTTTCAAGATATTTTCTTGTGTATTCTGACTAAAAGTCGCTTTTTACTTTGCCAGAAATGTCATTCCAGTAAAATCTCCATATGAAGGATGCGTTTTGCTTCCAGGAAGATTACAGGATTATGTAATTGTGTGTTATACATGAGGTTTAGTGCCTTAGAAGGGATAATGGCATCACCAAGGTTGAATTTTATTCCTTATAAAAGCTTCATTTGCCTTTTTAAATCCAGACACACACCACCATTAAAAGTTTATTTTTAAGTGCTATCTTTCATTAGCATAATGGAGAGAAATGTTCAAACTGTACCTCTAATATTGGAGAGGACTAAAATAGAGTTGAGCATTTGTCATGTTTGTCTTGTACCATAATTTCTTAAGTTCAAAGTAATAATTATAAAAAAAGAGTCTATCGTAGGGCTAGACGATATGGCTGAAACTTATATTTACAATCTAAGTATTTATTGATTATTGATTATTGGAGTGAGTTGGTTGATTCAACCTCTCACAGCGATCTAGCTTAGAGGTTGTTAAGCTATCGCCTTTCCTACATCTCCCAGAATGCTGTGCGGTTCTGGATCGCTGTTCTGGGAATATTCTTTTCTGATAATAAAGAATGTTCTTTGTTATAAGTATCACAAGTATTAGTTGTTAATATTAATTAATGTCTATTGCGATATATATTTTATTGGTTTATTATCCAGCCCTATATTTTCTGTATTGTTCATTTTTAACTTTTGTTTCTTTCCTCTGTTTTATCAATACATTTACAAATACAATCAAATATAGTAAATACATAATCTTAGAGATGCAAATAACCCTAAATAAGTGCATTATAAATGGAAATGTTTTTCAAGAGCAGCATTTGCATTTGTGGGATACCTTTATCGTTAACCACAAGATATTGTGATGAAATAGTAAATCTATAGCTCGTCAACAAGGACGACGAGCAACAAGACCTCAGTTGTTGCTCTGAGGTCTTGTTGCCTCAGTTGAGGTTAAAGTTGCCCTTCTCTGATCAGTCTGTCAGTCAGGAGTGGAGCAGCATGTTTTCTCTGCCAGTCTGTCACTCCCGCTCTACCTCAGCAGCCGGCGAACGGCTGCAGACAAATGTGCAGCGATGAGACGGAGAGCCCACTGAGCCTGCCGCACTCCTGTCATTAACATGGAGAGTCACGCTCCTTCCTCTCTGCACCAACAGACGGTTTCCTCGTTTCTGTTCTGAAAGAAACCTGGATTCATTTCCACAAATCTACAGCTACACCTTTTTAAATGTTGCAGGGATTTCATCAAAAATCTTATTTTGATGCTTCTTCCAATAGAGATCTTGCATTTACTCCAGTTTTCAACTGGATTGTTGTTTGTTTTTGTGCTTCTGTTCAGAAGTGACTCTCGGGTCAAATCTCATTTCACTTTATGACCCTCACCTTATAGTGGCAAGAATGGCATCCAAATCAATCCTCTGCCTCCAACCACCCAGTTATACCAGCGCTCCAAACAGAGCAACACAAATTCAATTTACAAACTCATCAAAACGATACAGAAGAGAAAATATCTTCCATGTCTTTGATTTTCACATAGCAAAGCGACCCAAATTCTATCTTAACTTATTTTTTGCATCCAACTTTGTCACGTTAAGTTTTGTCCACCTAAATCAAATTAAATGATCAACACAAATTGGTTTATAATGGATTTGTAAAAAGTTAAATGTGTTTTTTTAGGTTCTGCTCAATTATCCCGTTGTTTATTAGCGGCAGTGCATGTAGGCCTCAGTCCGTAGACATTTTGTGGTTTAGTCTGATAAACTCTTTAATCTCGGCACCTGTTTCTTGCCTCAGGCAGACTTGGAGGTGGAGTTCACTGAAGCTTTTGCCTACTGACTTGGGATGAGACCCAGTTTTCTCTGACACAGCCTGAAATCTCCAGAGATTTCATATTCTCTTTCATATCTCACTCTCCATCTGGCTTATCTGTTTGGGAGTTGAGGATTAAATCTCTGCCGCCTCATATCCGATCAAACGGAGCTGTAACAAGTAATATAATTTTATCGTAACACAACAGGATTCAGGAGAAAATGTATTCCCTCTATTATTTCAGAGTAGCTATAATATTTCAGCTCAAAGTAAAAGTTGGGTGCTTTAAAATTGCCACAGAACATGTTTGGGATCTGCTGCTCTGACACATTTCTGTTCATGTATCGATGATTTGTTTGTTTGTGCTGCAGAGGGAGATGAAGGAGCAGCTGGCGTCGCTGCAGGACAGCGAGAAGGGGCACTCCGAGGCCCTCCATCTCCTGCGGAGACAACTCACAGAGACCAAGGTACTGTAAGCTTTTCCCTTTGAACACAAATGTCATTTCTCACACAGAGACTTCAACTGTTGAGATCACTGACACTTTCTGTGCAGTGTGTAAACTCAGCAGCTCCAAATTAATGACATCTGATGGTCCAGAAAAGCTTTATAACCTATTCATCGTCAATATGGGGTATTTTTGTGTTTTCATTAAAAATGCCATTGATTTTGGACTTTTAGGTTTATTTTCTTTCAGATCTTATGTCATATTGAGATGTTCAGAAATGCTTGTTATGTTTAAAGTTAATGTTTTATGTAGTTATTGATACATTTCTTGCCCATATTGGTTTTGTTGGGTCAAGTGAGTCAAATCTGTTAACTATAATTAGAAGTCTTTGAGCCTTACTGGATCCAAACAAACAATTACCTGAACGCACCCTTTCAAAATAAGAGAATCCAGCTCAGGTCAAGCTCTGCTCCAAAATCCAGTTTTTAATCTGCTCATTTGTAGGAAATGGATCGTTTATTAAGTAGGTGTGGTATGTTTGGTTACTGATTATCTCACTTCCACAAAGCTTTGGGTTGCCAGGTGATTTCTAACACATCCTGGTTTGAGTAGCTTTCTAATCTCGAGTCGTTGTGTTAATAAGTTAATATTTGCTCACCACCTCACACATCTTTACACTCAGCATCCTCTCCTGTCACAACAAACCATTCAGTTGGATTCACTGGAGGCTCATGTCTGATTTCCGAGAGGACCTTAGAGTTTTAATTTCCCCAGATATTTTTGTTAAAGCCTCTGCATGATGTTTCTGCATCGCTCGTCTTCTTGCCCTGGTCTTTTCTGTTTTATCGACTTTCTCCTTCCGCCTTATATAGGTCGTTTAGCTCACTGGAAATGAGCTGATCTCATTAGCTTTTCATCCATTTGCACAGAGTGCTGTTCCTGGAAGTGGGCCACACTGACAGCATTGATCTTTGATGCATTTAGGTAGCTGACAATGAAATGACTTTCGGCTTTTGCTCTTCATTTAGTTCAGAGTTGAAGGGACGAGTTCTCGCGCCAGAAGCAATTCAAACTTTACACCTGCTGTCCTCCTGCTCTTCTTTAAGTCTGTGATTTTAGCTGCAAATTGTTACCTTTACTTCACAACTCTTTTGCCGTGTTGTGCTGTAAATTGAGATTTTCTGTAACCTCGCCAGGGGCTTGCTGGGTGAAAAATACTCAGCCTGACGTCTCTGAAGGCTGCAGCCACCCACTCAGTGCCATCACAGCCCGCTGGGCCAAAACAACAAACATGTCGGTGTGACTGATAACTGCTCCGCCGCAGTCATCCTCCCCTTTCTACACACTATCAGTTAAACTCTTAACTAGGTAGGAAATCTCTGGCTCACCGAGGGATCGTCGTTCTAACGAACTCACACAGGAAGTGAGAGATTACCTGTCTGCACTAGCCAGCAGGATCACGTCTGCTGCTTGGAAGGAGGAAATTGTGGGTGTGAGGAATTAAAAGTTCAGAAATACTACTGCTGTTTTTAAAAAGGTTTGAGTAGAAGTTGTAAAATATAAGAATTTGACTGTTGAGATGTGGTTATATGTAGGCAAGTCACGATATAAATGTTGTCATTTTGAGACCATTTTCCACTGATGTTGTGATGGTGTAAAAATGCAAGTGTACCGTCTCAAAAATTAATATTTAACACTGGAAATGGAAGTTATTTTAATAATCCAAATAAACAAATAAAATGGATTATGAGTCTCTGCCCTTCAAAATATAGACTATACTCTATTGATCCCCCATGGGGAATTGATTAGTTGTCAATCAACTAATCAGCCATGGTCTTAAATATTAATAATAGAAATATAACAATAAGATATAAAGTTTAAAATGTATATAAATGCTTACCTAAGAGTAATGTAATAATATATTAATCTTACTGCCAGTTGGGACTTCTGTGGGGTAAAAAAGTGTAAACTTGCCATTGTGTCAAATGTTTGCAGCATTTTTCTGTTTTTTTCACATCTCCTGTGTGATAAAGCAAACAGTCTTGCTGTCCACCGTCTTGCTGTCCACCATCTTGCTGTCCACCGTCTTGCTGTCCACCGTCTTGCTGTCCACCGTCTTGCTGTCCACCGTCTTGCTGTCCACCATCTTGCTGTCCACCGTCTTGCTGTCCACCGTCTTGCACCTTTTTGTAGTTTGTCAGTGATTGTGAACAGTCAGTAAGACGGAGACAGCCCTTTTTTTTTTTTTTTTCCAGTGTGGGAAAACTGTATTAATGATTACATTTTTAGATGCAGATGTATTTTTTAGTTGCTTCTGTTTTACAACAAATGCAACATACCGTCTCTCACAGGTAAAGTGGTTCACTTCAGTTTTCTTGTGTCGCAACAAGCTCAGAATTTCACATGATCAAATTTTATTGGTCGCCTGACTGGAGGAGCGCAGTGACTGTCGCCTCATTGGACAGGTTCCATAGGAAGCGAATGGAGTGGGGGGGATGTGTGCTGAGCCCTGAAAAGAAAAGGGAAGGAGCTTTTCGTCCTCCAGTCTCTTTGGTTGAAAAAAATCTGATAAATCTGATGGAAACAAGCAAGCATTCGGCTCATTTTAATTTGTTATGGGATTATTGGATTTATTCTTTGTAGCGACAGACCTACCTGCATGTATGCAGCTTTGTTTGTTTTTAATCAGGCCTTCTGTTCTATGCAAACACTCATTTCTTTAAATGCACATCCTATTTTTAAAGAAACATTTCTCTTCTCTGGATTCTTCTCTGTTACTTGAACCTGCTGAGATTTTTAATGGCTTTATCTCCTCTGTCTTCCCACCTGTCCTCCCACTCAGGTTCTCTTTTGTGACTTTTATTTTTTGTTTCTTTTCTCCTGCTTCTGTTCAGTCGTCTGAAATACTCCTTATATTCAGGTTACATGGTTGTGTACACGTATTACTCCTGAGAGCTTCACAAAATCAATACATCTACATGCTGAATCAATGAATTACTGTTTATGTGATATTAACAGAGTTTAGAGTGCTGTGCAAACCCTTGATTTATTGATTTTTGTGTAATTAAAGTTCAGCCATTGTGACCTCAACCCTACAAACAAGCTAACAGCAGTCAGGAAATCTGCGCTGAAGCACTTTGACCTGCATTTATTCATTCACCATTTTACATGGGTTCAGCTTTTTATAACCAGGAAATTTTCTTCTTTTTTTGTTCTTTTCAGTCTTCAGCCAAGAGTCTTCGTGCCACCATCGGCGATGCGTTCGAGCGGCTTCACCGCTTCCTCCGAGAGCGCCAGAAGAGCATGCTGGAGGAGCTGGAGATGGACACGGCCCGCAAGCTGGCCGACATCGAGCAGAAGATCCAGTGCTACAGCCAGCAGCTGCGCGACGTCAAGGAGGGCATCCAGATCCTGCAGGAGCGCCTCAGCGAGACGGGCCGCCACGACTTCCTGGAGGGCGTGGCCATCACATCCGAGAGGTAGGCGTGATCTGCTCAGAGCCTCAAGAATAAATGTGTTTCTCAAACTGTGGTCCCTGGAGCATTTCTTTGCTGTCATGTGAGCTCAAAGTGCAACGCTACAATTAGCTTTGCAAAGGATTGTGTTAATAAAAGCTTAAGATATTGGTGGGAAGAAAACAACAGCAGGATTCTATAATTGGAGGAAGCAAAGTCATACATGCTGAGAGTTTTGAAGTAAAGTTCAGTAGCGATTCGATTCTTTTGAAATGAGAACTGTTCTGTTTTTTACAACTTTGCTTGCTTATAATGCTTTGCTCACACACAGCAGCTATCATTTTCATTTCATTAAAATGATTAAATGAATTAAACACAATAAGTAAAATTGATAGAAACCGGTGGATAATTTTATATTTAATGGTGCAGAAAAGGATTTTTGTTCGTCACAGCAACTAATATCTATTTTTATTTTTATTTTGCTTCTAAATTACAAATAGCCCTGAAATGTTATTCATGCACATATAAATGTGTCAAATGTGTGGGCAGGTGGTGCAAAGGCTGCTGACCGGTTGGAGAAAGTAGAGATTTGAGCCACAGCTCCAGATGTTCCCTGAACAGATGGAGCTTTGGGGTCGAATTAAACCAGCTGTAATGTCTAATCAGGAGGTGGATGATGACGAGTTATTGGAACAGTTTGATATCTTTGATATTTTAAAGCATAAAATAGTGTAAGAGTGTTCCCCACTCTGTAATAATACAGAAAAGTATGGATTATGTTAATTGTATTTCTATTCTATTGTGTAAATATTGTCAGTCTGTTGTAATATTTGCCTGAAATTCTCAAACATTTGTATTTGTAACATAAAAATGCACCCTGAACGTCTTTGAATTCGAGTAACGTGAAGAGTTGTAAGTCAAATCTGTAATTTCAGGACGGCGATCAGAGTTAGGAAATCTCAAAATAAGCTTTTACTGTGCAGCGCCTCCATCTGTGTTTCTCATCTGCATTGCTGAGATAGAAAGTGACGACATGTTTGACTTTCAAGATGCTTCTTACGGTTCTGTCTGACGTCCAGCTGAGCCGATAAAATGAAGTTCCCTGTGTGCCAACGGAGAGCGCTGACTCCGTGTGGGGTTCATTCATTTCTCAGAAAAGTAAAATGGAAAGACGTCAGATATTCATTCCCGATTGGGGAAAATTCTCGGCATAAATGACAAATACAAAAATACTACAAGAACCAGAACATCAGAGGATAACAGTTCTGAGTGTGATTTGTTTTTGTTTTTTTTATATTCCAGTTCTGGAAATGTATGAAAAAAAATAAATAAAAATTGTGGTTTGGAAAAAAGCTTGAATTTCCAGATATTCTCTTCTTACATTATCTAAAAGATACAAAGCAGAATTTCTGGAAAACAAATATGCTTTTTACAATTCAGTTTGAGTTTAACACATCAGAATTTGATTTTCCTTCATCATTTATTTATTTTAGGAGTTGACTGAAATTTTATTATTCTTTTTGCTCTTTAGAACATTTTAATTCTGTGTTAGAAATTTATTACTTGCTTCAAAGTGTGATTTTCAAGGATCTGTGTTCAGCTTCTGTTCAGCTTTTACAGTTTTTGTTTTGTTTCGGGGTATTTTTAGTGTTATTTGAGGTGCTTATAAGTTTATCTAGAAGACAAAGTGCCTTTTGGAACCAGCTTCAATAATTAGTTTCATTATTTGTGAAAGAAAAAAACCAACAAACCCAAATAAAGTAATAAAATACAGCTTAAAACAGTCCCTGAAGCTGAGTTTGGAACAGTGTTGAGCTTTAAAGTGGAAATATTGTAGGAACAATGCATCTGTTAAAATGTAAGCCTTAAAATGAACACGGGTATGTTTAGGTTGGAGATTGCGTCATTGTGTGGATACAGCAGGACTGTTGACCTTTACTCGTGTTGTTTGCTTTCGCTGTTTAAACTGGTTTCAATTCTCCAGGTTATTCGAAGCAGTTTTGAGGTTTTGCTGCTTTTTGGCTCCATGCTCATAGATTAGACCGTTTCTATTTCTGTCGCTCTGCAAGACAACACCAGCTCTGGCAAGAGGATTAATGCAGAACAGGACTGCTGCAGGTTAAGATGCACATTTTGGTAAGGGAGAAGCCGGCGTGGGCGGTGTTATTAATTATTTACAGCCTGTTTCTTAGGCTGTCTCACCGTCCCAGGTGAACAGAAAAGTGTCAGCATGGAGACTAGCTTACTCTCCTTCACATGAAGGTTCATAATCATTTTTTTTTTTTGCAAAGCGTGACCCCGTGCCCGTTCTGCCAGATTCATCCTTTCAGCTCGTGATTAATGATGCTGTTTACCAGCGAATGGAAGATTTCAAAAAGCATAAATAAAAGGAAATTCATCAAGCATTGAAAGGTGGAGTTGCACAACACGAGTGGATATTAAATTACAAATGACGACGTCGGCTCAGACTGTTGTTGATCTGTGTTTCAGGGTTAAAGGGAAGATACATGAGACCAATCTGACTTATGAAGACTTCCCAACGTCAAAGTACATGGGGCCCCTACAGTACACAATCTGGAAATCGCTCTTCCAAGACATTTCACCAGGTAAGGAAAACGACAGCCGTCAAGCTTTAAGGTCGTCTAACCGTTTGCTGCTCCGTTAGACAAACAGATCAATATTATATCCTTCAATAAATATGTGGAAAATTGCTCTGATTTAAATGTTTAGCTGTTTGTTTGCAGCTTTATTGGGGTTGCGCACGTGTTGGCGAGCCCATTTTGTTTGATAAGCTTTGAGATTAAACAAACAAGATGCTGCTTGTTAATAAATTATGAGCTTCATGTTGCATCTAATCATCCTTGAGCAACCAAGATGGACCATCTGCTACTGAGGAAAATTACCTTTAGTTTTATGTTTTTATTGTTAGTATTATAAAAAATGGGATTTATTGAAATATTTTCTCAATATTTCTGTATTCTGCACACAAAATATGAAAAATGTATATTTCTTTGTAACTATAGAGGTGGCTGCACTCAGAATCGGCCAGTTTAAGGTCAAAACTTGTTGGAAGTTTTTACTTTTACCAGCAATGAGGGGAAATTTGCCTGCTGGCGAAGCAGCAGCTGTGATTTTTACTAGAAAAGTTTTACAAAGACCGATATATAGAGAAAACTGTACAGGAGGACAGCCAAGATTCTTGTGGTCGTATAAATAGCAATATATAAAAAAAAATGCAAAGTGGAAACATCTTTTCCCAGAATGTGATGCATTCTTCTTTCTTTTTTTTGCTCGTGTTTCTGGTCCACTGAGACTTTCAGCTAACAAGTTAACTTTTAATTAAAGCTGCTATTTCCAGAAATATATATATATATCCAGTGTACAATAATGACTTAAAAACATTTGCTATTGTCTGATGCAGCCACATTTTATTTTTCAGGTTATAATTCTGTAAACTATTTGGAGCAGAAAAACAACACTGCACACATGTTGTGGTAATAAGATAATGGATACCATGTGGCTTGGGGCTGCAGATGAAGACAGATTTTGCCTTTTGCCTTTCAGCTCAACAAGCCGCAGCTCACATCCAAATGAAAAATTGAAGGGCTTCAGCGGCAGATCGGCGCTCTAAATGCCTCACCCTTAGCCCAGACCCGTTTCTAATTGAAAAGCTACAGCGAGAGCTGCGGCGGGAGAGGATTTAAATAAATTTGCAGAGTGAAATAAAATCGTGAAGTCAAAATGCGCTAGACTTCAATTATTCCATTCAAAAAAGAGCGGAGTGCTTTGATAAAATCAAAATGTGTTTTGCACATCCTCCGGCTGCTTCTACGGTGAGAAATTGTGATGCATTTTGGTGTTTGAAGATCCTGAGCGGAGCAGGACTTCTTGCAGCCGTCTCTCACTCACAACACATAACTCAGCAAACACACTGAGGATTTTATAATGTTGTTTTGCTCTCTCAATCAGTTCTCAGCCCGCGGGGAGGCCAGACAGTTTCTTGGCCTCACTTGACTGGCTGCTAAATGAAACAATTGGTTGCGATCCATCAGCAGCAGTTGCCAGAGCGTCAACAAAGACATTCCTCCCATCGGCCCTGAAATTCAATGCTCGGAAAGCAGGAGTTGACCCGGAGCTGGTTTTAAACCCCACTTATGTTTAGCAGGACACTTCGAATCTCCTCTGTTTCTACATTTGACCCAAGCAGGCGCTCAGGCTATGAATCTTTAATGAGGTGATTGCAACAAACACTTGAGTTGTCATTGACCAGTGGACAAGCTGTCCTGTCCGCTGGCAGTCCGCCACAAAATTCACCTCCATCTATCCTTGCCGATGTAATTGCAGAAGAATAAAGAAAAAAAAGTATGATTCATGTAAGGAAGTGAAATAACCACATTTGTATAATGATGAGCCTAAAAGTTGAACTCCTGTAACGTAGTGATATGGCATCATTGAATTGAGACGTTTTAGATAAACATAATTCAGGTTATTTTCATTTTTCTTCATTTAATTCACTCAATAAATATGAATAGTTTCTGAAACAACTAAATTATATCATGAATTAAAAGGAACTGAAGAAGTATTAACATAAACGTGCATGTAGTGACAGTTTTAATAAAAATGTAAAAATATTTTTATAAATTTTTCATACTGCAGCTTCAAGAAGTAGAGAAAAACAAATTAAATCTACAAACAAACATTGTCTCCTTCATTTGGCTCAGACACAGAGAAAAAATAATGCAACAGCTAATTGTCAGTTGTTTATTTTTTAGCTTTTGATACTTTTGTCTTTTAGTTTTCATATTTGCTGGAACGATAATTGTCCATTTGGGACATGAATCTGAAGATAAAAGGTTAAAAAAAATAAATGTTTTTATCTCAAATACTTAATATAATCATTAAAAAATGCCTACATTGACCTGGCTGCTAGCTTCCTGCGTGCGCTAGCTGTGCCGTCATCATTCTTTAGCTTTGGGTTGTTTTTTGCATTCAATCGAAGATTTAAATCTTAAAATCTTAAACAATATTTTGAGTCCATTCACTAAACATTTGTCCTCTTGTACTTGATTTTCACATGAACTTTGTGAATCTTTGTGGTGAAAATGTTTGTCATACTTTGTGGTGAAAATGTTTGTCATACTTATTTTACTCTGAACTGAACCGTTCTATACATGTGGAGTTTTTGGAACACGTTTTGTGATTTGTGAAAGCTTTTGCTTTAATTGAAGAAGCCAGTTGAATCTTGTGATGCCTCGTATGTTAAGCTGGATGTATTGTCACAGCCCCGGCGGAGCTCTGAGCTGCTCTACATCTGGGAAGCCATGCTTGCAAGAAGCTCCACTGGGTGCAAACCCTCCTAAAACGCGCAGCTGCAGAGAATCAAACATCCTATGGAGCTGTGAACTGAAACTGCTCCTCCTTTCTCTGTAATTACCGGCTCTGTGTGGTGTTTACACTCTCGCCGTGGGTTGATGTCGCTGAGACTGAGCTGTCCTGCAGGACAATTTTCTTTGAAGACCAGTGGTTAAACATAAAACAGATGCGTGGTGTGCCCAAGTCTGGAACACCAAACTTGAGCATAAGAAAATTGTCTTCATCTTTAAATTGTTTTTATTAAATTAAGTTTTGCATGGAGATTTATTCATTGAAAAGGAGCTGAAACTGTGTGAGATCTAACAAACCGTCACCCTATCAGCATTTTAAAAACTCTGAACCTTGTCTGCCTGGAATTCATCACAGTAACAAATCACCACCAAGTCACTACAATACTTTATATTGGGAAACATTGCAGTGATTTTTTTTAGCCTCACTTTCCTCCACATGTGTTTTCATCACAAGAGTTTAGCTGCACCAGTAGTTAAATGTTAAACCTTAGTTAAATTAAAACTTAAATGTTCTCCGTTTTCAGCTCAGAAAAGCAGAATAACTTGGTCCGCTTTCTTCGTACTTCAGTTTGTTTGCTGAGAAGGTCCGGTTCGATTGGGGAGGCGTCAATGCACAAGCAAACTTCGAAATGGACCAAAATAAGCGAACACTGGTTCTCCTAAAAAACTAGGTCTTGGTTTGGCTGAAGTGAACTCTGGTGTGATTTGAATGCATATGTGAATTCAAACGGAACGGCGATTGCTCCTAAAGCAGGAATCGGACTAAAGTGCAGGGCATTCTGGGTAAATGCAACCAAAAATGTAAGAGTCTAACGCTCGGGGTGTTTAGCCAAAGACAAAAGAGATAGTCGTAAAAAAATTCTATTTTAAAAGTCAATTTTAAAATATTTAGCCATGCTTTGAAAATCAATGGAAAGGCTGATTTTCATTTCTGTTGACCGCTTTTTTTCTGTCTCTAAAATCTGATATGTAACCTATAATCTCTCTTACCAACAGTGCCAGGAGCCCTGACCCTTGACCCCATCACAGCCCACCAAAGACTGATCCTCTCAGACGACTCCACCATCGTGGCCTACGGGAATCTCCACCCGCAGCCTCTGCAGGACTCCCCGAGGCGCTTCGACGTGGAGGTCTCCGTCCTGGGCGCCGAGGGCTTCATGTCGGGCGTCCACTACTGGGAGGTGATGGTGTCAGAGAAGACTCAGTGGATGATCGGCGTGGCCAACGAGACGGTGAGCCGCAAGGGCAGCATCCAGATCCAGCCCAGCCGCGGCTTCTACTGCATTGTGATGCACGACGGCAACCAGTACAGCGCCTGCACCGAGCCCTGGACGCGCCTCAACGTCAAGAGCAAGCTGGAAAAGGTGGGGGTGTTCCTGGACTACCCGAAAGGCCTGCTCATCTTCTACAACGCAGACGACATGTCCTGGCTGTACACATACCGGGAGAAATTCACCTCCAAGCTGTTCCCTTATTTCAGCCCCGGCCAGAGCCACGCCAACGGCAAGAACGTGCAGCCGCTGCGCATCAACACCGTGCGGCTCTAAGGGGAAACGTGGCTGGTTGCAGATGACCAAACAGATGATTAAATCATAGATGACAGAAATGTTTAAAAATGTATATTGGGGGTGTTAAAGTTTTGTTTTTAGTTCTGTCAAGAATCATGCTTTCCAAAATGTTTATTTTTTAAGAACCTTAAAGTCGTCGTTTGCACTTGGACCTCATTGAGCATCCTGTTAGGAACAAAGATGACACTAAGTGGAGAAACGCCGGTTCTCCTGGGCTTTGACAGAGACGAAGAACATTCCTCTTAGAGTAACAGTCTGACTCACACTCTCAGGCGACTCGCTCGCACTATAAACTCACGCCTGTCAGGCTCCATGTCGCCTGTTTGTTTCCAAACAAGAGCAGCAGCGAAGAACAGCCGCTTGTCTTCTTCTACACTGCTGGCTTCCTGTGCTGGATGTGATTGACAGCACTCCTGTTTGTCTCTTTTCTGTTTTTCAGACGGTGACTCACTCGTGTCAAGTGTTCTGGTATCTTGGAGTCGTTGCTGTTTTTTTTAATATATAAGTTAATTTGTGGAGTTTGGCTTCAGAAGAACTTTAAATAAGAGAGAATCACTTTTGTTTTGGATTTTTATGTTTCTTCCTGCGGTCACTCCGTGTGTGTGTGTGTGTGTGTGTGTGTGTGTGTGTGTGTGTGTGTGTGTGTGTGTGTGTGTGTGTGTGTGTGTGTGTGTGTGTGTGTGTGTGTGTGTGTGTGTGTGTGTGTGTGTGTCCTGTCTGTTTTATTTCTAAACACTTAAAAGCAGAAGATCACTACTTGCAGTGTCTTGCAAAAGTATTCACACTTCTTGAATTTGTACCTCATTACCACCATGAGTTCAATATATTTGATGTGATTGATCAACACCAGGTGGGTTTGAGTTTTAGTGAAGGAGTGGCATGCATTTGTAGACGGCCCCCTTTTTTTTTTTTTTTGCAAAACGGGTCAAGCTCAGACTAGATGGAGAACTGGATGAAATTTTAACATAGATTCTCCACTAGATTTAAGTCTGAACTTTGACTATGCCATTCTAACACAGGTATCCATTTTAATCTAAACCATTATTCTTTAGCTCAGGTTACAAAACAAAAGTAGAACCTTTCCCCTCAATTCAGCCCAATCCAGCTTCCCTGTTGATGAAATACCCAGCATGAAGCTGCCTCTACCATCTTTCTTATTGGGGGTTGCGTGTTTTCAGTGATGTTTGGTTGGTTTATTTTGGGGTTTTTTTTTTTCATATGTTGGTCAAAAAGTTGCTCTTTCTGATTTTCTTCTCGTCAGTCTTCCATAAAAGCCACATTTGAGGAGAATATGTGACGGATTCTTCCACCTGAGCTGTGAATCTCGAAGGTCCTCCAGAGTCGCCTTATTGTGTCATTTCTGAGGGGGAAATAGTTGCCCTGGTTTTATTTGTAAACTGTTTAAGAGGGGTAAAAACAAATGCTTCCTCCACTTCTTTTGTGTGTAAAAACCATAGAAACTATCGCTCTACTTGTACATCATAATTATACACAGATCTCTCATTTTCTCATCAGAACACAAAATGTTGGCTGTAACTTCATGAAACTTGGCTGCATCAGGGGTGTGAATACTTTTCCAATGCATTGTGCTCAGTAGGTAATTTTAAAAGGCAGGACATTGCTTAGGCAAATGCTGCTATTGGTGAAGCAAGGACCTTCTAGTTTGTATATAAAGTAAAAAGGAAGAAGTCTCCAGTGGAGTTGTTCATATTTAAGTTGCTGTCCTGTTCCTGAGATGTCCACATGTTTCTTGTCTCATCTTGTCTTAATATTAAAGGAATATTAAATTAAGTATATATTGATTCTTGTTGTTGAGGGAGGTGTGAGGAGAGAACCAGTGTCCTCTTCTATTAATTCACCTCGTTTGTTAGATGAATGTTTGGAGAAGAGGCGGTGGGCAGGTGAGTTATGTGCTGGTGTTGCATGATGACAAAAATCACAGATCATTCCTTTTGAGGCTCAGTCATGTTCATTTCTGTCCCATGTGCCTCAAGTGCTCTTGTTTCATCGTTAGTCACACAAGGGTCCTGCTGTCTGGGGTCGCAAATCCAACTTCGGTTGTCGCTAATGAAGCTGAATGTCCATTGCAATGGAAAAAAAAGTGGTAAGAATTGCAAAATTCTTCAAGATCATGTTGATCTCAACCAACAAATAATGGAGCAAAAGCAGCAGCCTTCCTTTGCTACTGTATTTTTTATGTTTGTGCGCGTGTCGTCTTTGTCAGCTTATAAAGTGGAAATTGGGGCAGTGCCCACACTTCGATAGGAAATGATTCTGGTATGTGCCGTAGGATGTGAATCGAGCTGCGAGTCGGCGGCTGTTTTAACATGCACAGATCTGCAGGAATCTGACGATCCTTAAATTATGAGTCATTTTGCAGAGCAACACCTGGATCTGCTTGTTACCCACGAAAAGCCTCCTGTTGGGTTTATTTTAAGGTTTTATGCTGAAGTTCCAGACACTATGGAGAGCTTTCTGATGTTTTGGTCCAACGTGGATCTTAACATGCAGGATTAAAGAGATTTTGGCTCCAGATTGTTTTGCTGCATTCAGTGGAAATATTACAACTGATAGGAGTTGTGTTGGGTCGCTGTTGAGTCTATTGGTAAAAATATATATATTATGCTCATAACTATGACACTTTATATGGATATAATGACTGTGTCTTTTGATGATGGCCTCTTCGCACCTGTTGTGTTAAAAAAAAGAAACACCCCAGCGGGCTTTTGCTACTGGAGGATTGTGGGAAATGTTTTAATGTACAATAAACCACTATAAAACCTCACAGTGTGTTCAAGTTTGTCTTGAAATGAATATTCTTGCTGCAGGGCAATGCTTTTCTCTGGACAGGGATGAGGTGAAGACAAACTCCTTTTTCACGGTGATGCTTGCTGTGCCTCAGGATAAAAACAACAAATCTGAGTAAATCTCACAATCAGGTGATTAAAAATAGGTCAAACAACTCATCACAGAAAATACATTTTGCATTTTTGTAGCAATTTTATCTCTTTAAAATATTAAATGTTGACATTTTCACAAATATTTGGATTTGTGGTAATTCATAAAGAATAATTAATAGTAACTGAACCACTTGATGTTGTGTAGAATTAACTTTTCCTGTTTCTAAACTTTTTTTTTAATTCAGTTTGTTTTTTTATTCCCAAAAGCACAAACACTGACTGTCGCAGCTACACAAGCACAACCCTTCTTTTTACATTTTAAAACATGGTCAAGATTCTGAGATTATATCACAAATTTAAAAAAATCATATAAATTATACAATAGTTCCATAAGCAAGTCAGTATTAATGAATATTAAATGTTAAATGAAATTTTGATCGAGTACTGAGTCTGTTTTAAAATAATTACAACAGAATTAAATTATTAAAAAGAACAGTGGGCAAACACTGGCATAGCAAAACTCAACCAAACAAAACGCATGGATCTGTTGAGCTTGTGAAAACATATTGTTGGTTACAGTAGCATAAGACAAAGGCTAATATTTCACGCGCTTAGCTTAGCTTAGCAAACTGTTAGCATAACATATTGGCTTAAAAAAATAGTTGTCTAATTTTTAGTGGCGTTATGCTAACCCTCTGCAACTTAAAGTGAAGATTATTGAGTCATCATAGACGACACATTTCCAGCTTGTGTGCAGTGGACGAGCTTTTTTTTTTCTTCTTATTTCACAACATGAGCTTGTGAAATATTTGTAGCCAAGTAGCTAATTTCCAGGGGTGAGAATTAGCTAATTGGCTATTATCTCATGTATGTGCGTGTAAATGTTAACTTGTAGAAATATTAATGGCGGTTGTAAAAAAAAAATAAAAACCCAGGAGCATTTTTGTAATAAATGGACAAGACGTGTGGACTCGGCTGGCGGAAGTAGTAATGGCTGCTAACGGACAGACAATGAAAACAGTGCCATGGTTCACTTTTGTTTATTGTTGTTATAACAACCACATAACAATTTCCTACCAAGATGGCTGTCAGTTACAAAGTTCCCGAAAGAGACTTTACAGTTTACATAACTATTTTCATTCTGATTCCCTCAAAACATCAAAATGATCTGTTTCAATAACTTTAAAGACAACAAAGGCAAAAATAATAATAAAAAAACCACTTTATTCTACTATGCTGTATGTTAAATGGTATTGTCAGTAATACTTTAATTAGAAAAATGTATCGTCCACAGTATCCATTTTAATGCGATAAATGGTAAAGGTGAGAGTTCTGGTGGCCTCGCAGATTTTAAAGTTTTCTGTAAATATAAGACAATTTTTGTAAACTGAGAAGCCAAAATGAAACCTCTGAGAAGCAGATGAGTCCCCAGAGAAACACAGGAATGCTTTGCCTCTGCTTGTTAACACTTGATCCCTCCCTGTCAGAACTTCATGGCACATATTTCAGTGGATCGGTGCCAAACTTCCAGCTGGGAGGCGGGAAGCTGTGCAATCTTTTTCATCGCTCTTCCTCGTGGTTTTGGCAACTGCGCAGGGCTCGGGGCGTGCAACATGCGGAATGAAAGAGACGTCTCCCGGAGTTCGGTGTTTTTCTCGCTGCGAGTGAGCCACAGCCACCAACAAGTCCCCCTTCGTTTGCCATCTGTGACGCATCCAAGTGCACGGTTGTTGAACTGCAAAATAAATGGTTTGATGTTTCAAAAATCGTGACAAAACGTTGATGCCTGAGTCACGCACCGTGTCGAAGTACTTTAGAAAAGTGGGCAGCCATGCCTTTTTGCTTCATTACTTCACACTTGAAAGCAGTTGAATCTTGTTGCATCATGATTGCAGCCACTTCTCAACAAAGAGCACACAGTTTGAGACAACAGCCATATTCATCATGCTGCCTTTGGATGTGGGTCCATCTCTCAGCTCAGCGCTGTGATTTTTATCAGAGGACAGAACGCCTGTCCTGTCATGGACATGTTGTGGGGACAACGTGTCCATTAAACAGCCACTGAAGTCTCCTGAGAGAGATTTGAGTCCTGTGTGCTGTGGCTCTCCTGAGGCAGGAGTGTGAGGTTTCTCATCTTGCCAGCAATCTGGGCATGAAAAGCAGAAATGAAGCCTCCATTTTAATTCTGGTTCACAACAAGACGTTCAGCACTGATGCTGGTGGCATGAACAAATTCATCATCGGCGTTATTGAATGTTCTGGGATTACTTGCAGTGCTCGGTGACATAGGACTGGAGGCCTGTTATCAAGCTCTAAATGTGAAACAAGGAGACAAAAGATGCCCTCATTTGCTGCGTTTCCATTACAGATGTGCAAAAAAATCTGTCAATATTCCACTAATGTAAAAAAAAACAATTTTGCAATTGCAGTATTGTGTGTTTTCCAGGAACTTAGTGTTATTTATAACATAATCAAGTAACTATATTGCCTTCAGTTTTTATAAAAATTCTGTGTATATTAAACATGACTTTAAAAAAATACTGTATTTTTCGGACTATAAGCCGCCACTTTTTTCCCGCGCTTTGAACCATGTGACCTGTAGCCCTTTGTGGTTTTTCTGTGGATTTTTCTTCAACCACCAGGGGGCGCTTTAGCAGGAAGTGAATCATTGGAAGTCAAAATTGGAAATCAAAGAAGAAAATTTTCATGTAGAACAAGCACATGCTAGCAGCAGGCGCGACGGAGAAATGTTTTCAAACTCATAGCCCCTCATCATGGAAACAACACGAAGACGTTCATGTGATGCAGAAACTCCCCTTTCTGCTCATCATCACAACACTCTTCGTTTTTACCATCTTACTGAGAAGTAGCTCCTAATAACCTGAGCAGATGTGCAATTCCACCAGGTGTTTGCTAACTGCTCCTGGCTAGTCTGAAGGAGCCGAGTGGAGGCGTCATGGGGGCCACTCAGTGAGGCGGAAACTTGGAAGCTTTTAACATTTTGTAAATATTGAACCTTTAAAAGAGAAACATAATTAAAATCACGCTTGAATAAGTTTGATCACACCATAAGTCAGTAGAAAAACATGCTGTGCCATCATTCCTATAAATTCCTGTCTGGTTGTTGATCCCAGGCCCTGTGTGATGTGAAAAAGCTTTTCATTGCAATTTTTCAAAATACTCTAATTTCAATATGGCTGAAAAACCACTTAATCCTAGTCAAACACTTTTTATCAAAAAACATAAGTTTTTTTAAATTGTCATGTCTCTATTATGCAAATGTGTTTTTTATTTAAGTCCACAGATGGACATTGACGTCTCCCCACTGTCTCCCAGGATGTTTCAGAGCTGATTTTCAACATTTGTTTGTTTTTAAAGATGTTAATGGCGTTATGTGACAAACTCTTTGCCCAGTCAGGGCTTTTCGTTCTGCTGACCAACATCTTTTGGAAGTCCCCAGGTTAAAGTCCAGACCGTGGGGTGACCGTTCATTTGATGGAGGTGGTCCAAAACTCTGGAATTCATTACCGTTTTAACTCGTCACTGATCTATTTTTGTTTCAACCAAAACCACATTCGTTTAGACCAATGTTGTCACCGTGTTTTTATTCGTCTGTTTAATTCGGCATGAACGGAAAACAGTTTAGTTCAGTAAATGTTTTAAAGTGACATACAAATTGAATGTTTTTACCTGACTTAAATTAGTCTGCAATCATTTAAGAGGTCTCCACAGGCTCTTACGTGACTGTGCATATTTTTGAGCTACAGCTTAGGAAGAATGAACAGAGAGGGGGAGTGGACTTGGATTCAATCCCAGGACCTTCTTGCTGTGAGCAGCTGAACCATCTCAGAGCCAAATATAATTCTCAGTGTTTCACTCCCAGTGTAAAAAAAAACAGAACTGAATCTCAGATGATTTGAAGAAGCTATTTGTGTTAATGTCTGCTTCTCTTTCAAATAAAATAAATCTGAGGATGACTTTACAATTAGTCAACAACCTGATTGCTCACAATTCTTTCCCTTCATTCCTCTGACAATCAACAGGAGGTTCGGGTCCTTTTCTGGGATAGGGCGCCATCTGGTGGTGAGTTGTATCCTCAACTCAGAGCAGGCCAAGTTACTTTTGATCTGCATTTTCTCATTAGTGGGTTGACAGGACCAAGCTGAGGAACTTGGTTAATGCATTGGATCAGATTTTTGTGTTACTTCTGAATTATGATGTGATACAACTTTTTAATAACATAAGAGAAATTATTCCTTGATTAGTTCTCACTCAGTTTTAATGTTAATCTAAAACATAAACTTGTGTTGAGACACTCCTGAAAAGTGAAGATAAAGGAAATTGCAGGTTGAGTGTTTCCTAGTTTGTGTCCTCAGAACACACCACCCAGCAGGTTTTACATGTTTCCCTACTTTAATATTTCTAATCTAAAATGATGCGTGGCTAACAAGCTGCTGCAGACCTGAGGGAGTTATTAATTCATTATTGAGTGGGCCAAGAGTGTATACAGACAGAAAACGTGCAGGACCGCATTCCTGCACGTATTGTGAAAAACTGAATTGAAGCACAAAAGGGAAATAAAGTGGATTATCCTTTTGGTTCTGTTTTCATGTTGAGTCTGTTTGTTTTGCATCTGCTTACTGAAATTTCATACTATTATGTCTTTTTTTTTTTCCTCAATTTCCAACTCTTTAGTTAGCCTGAGTGCTGCACCGACATGTCTGATTTGGTGCGGGCGTAAAAGGCAGGATCGGAACGTTTTTCTTGAAATGAGAGGCTAAAACTCACAGCAACAAAACTCAAACCTGCGGACAGACATTTGAATCAAGTGGATTGAGTAAGGTTAACCTTTACGGGGAGGTCAGAGGTTGTAGAAGGGTTAATGTTGGTAAACACAATATTGAACTAAGACACAAAGGATGCTGGGAACAAAGATACCGCCTTGTCTGGGCTGGAAAAATCTGCTGCTGCTTGCAGACACGGTGTCTTGTTTGCTTAACTAATCCACACTTAAGATTTCACCTTTTCAAAAGGATCAAATACTTCTTGACCTTTATTGTGTTTCATGTTGTAATTTGGACACAAGAAATGAAAAAACAATCAGCAAGGAATATACAGTAATGAAAAATTAGAAAATTCAATTATTTGTCCTTTAATGTCTAGAAAGAAAAATCTTACAATTATTATTAAGCCACATACTTACCCTGTTATTCCATTAAATAAGCAACGGCATTAAAATCACACATGGATAAGTTTGTTCATGTGAAAAGTGATTAAAAAACATTTCATGCCATCATCCTCTCAACTACTTCCTGTCATCTTCTTCATGGTTAGCGCCATCGGCAACATCCGCTTGTTGATCATGTGATTTGTATTTCCATTGCAGTTTTGCGAAATACACTAATTCCAAACACTTCATCTTTGCAGCAAAACATTTTATTGAAAAGCATTTCTTTTAAAAATTGGTATGTTTTTATGAAGCAAATTTAATTTCAAAATATAAAATTATATGGGAAATGGAAAAGTAGCTTTTCTTACCAGCTTCAGCCAGAATCTTTACGCGACATTTTCCTTTTATTTACCTCAACCGTTTGGACTGGTTGAGGTAAAAAGCAGCATGAAGAATGATGCATCTCAGGTTGCTCACCTTAAGGTCCAGGATGACCACTCAGTTTTGAGGCGTTCACACGCCGACTACTGGCAGGTACAGGGTCAGCTGGCAATCAGCGGATTGGAATGGTGCCACTTTGTTACAGACACTAACAACAATAACTGTTTGGTCGGTGTGGCGTGATGAGGCTTTCATTGATCAAATGAAATCTAAACTGGACTTATTTTACTTCAACACCTTCATTGATGTGTTCATGTCAATTCACTAAGAATTATAAAATGTGTAACTAACCCTTTTGTTCCTTTGCATTTCAAATATCCAATCACTGTAAATAGTTGTTACTCATGAAACGTGCAAATGTCTTTGAAAGGCAGTTGGATAATTTACAAAAATTTGTTTTCTTAACTGCAGTTGTTTTGAAACTTATGTTTTAATTTTTTTTTCCTTGAGGTTGTCTTAAGTATTTTTTTAAATCAATGTATGGTGTACAATTATAAAATATGAAATAGTTATGGATTTTTTTGTTTTTACTAGATATTGTAAATTGTACTTGATTTGTTTTCCTTGCAATTCAACTTAATACAAAAAGAAAGTCAAGTGTGCTGCTAAAGTGTGTTTTAATTGAATATTTTTTGCAAAAGTCTAGACATTTAACTTTTTACATTTTACAACAATTAACATACATAAATAATTTAGTCTGCAACACAAAATGGGCCTTGATAATTTGCCAAAACACAACAGTTGTGCCAGATTTGATTGACAGTTCCTATTAAAGTGAGAGGCACCGGGAATCCCAGATGTGGTAGCACTTTACTCTAGCGATTGCTCGCTCTACAATGATCCGCAGCCGAGCAATGGTCTGGTCTCCTCTGTCTCTTCCTTGCTGAACTGACCAGGATGCCTAAATGGTGGAATGATGAGTTTGGCTCCAACTTCATGAAGGAGGTCTTGAATGAGGAAGTCTTTATCTGCCATGACTTCAGAGAACGTTTCAGACTGTAAGGTGAGGGATGATGGCGTTTCCAGAGCAACTTCTGTGCAGTCCAAGATGACACGACATTTGGAGAAAACTGCAGAAATTTCTGAGGCATACTGGCTTTTACCTTCTCACGACTAATCCACAGGTTGATGGAAGAGAACACAATGAAGAGGTAGTTGGCCCAGGTGATGGTCACTCAGCTGACAGTAGCTATGCTGACTTCAAACATGTCAGCAATGAGCTGCTCCTTCATGCCCACTGCTACCCTGAATGAGTACATCAGGAACTCATCAATCAGAGGCAGGCAGCGGGCAGGGCTGGCTGCAGCACATGCTTCCTCTCCAAGTTTCTGTGCTCTGGTCCAGAACACCAGGCATGATGCAGAGGGTGCAATGGACTCCCAGAAGATCCGGAACACACATTCAGATGGAAATTTGGTGTAGAACTGGATCTGGTCATCAGAGGCACAGTAGCGGCTAAAAAGTCTGGCAGACAAATCCACTTTCTGAAGTCTGGCTTCCAACTCCTTAATATTTTCCAGAGCTTCATCAAGTGCACCTGTAAAACCACAAAGTAAAATAGCAAAACATACGGTTAGCAATAAGTTTTAATTATATATTTGAAACATTACTTCTGTGAAGATCAATACATGTTGTGAGTCAGAGCATGTATGTATACAGCCATTGACTTAATCTCTCCACAAAATACATAACCACATAATCTCATAATTTCATCATTATGTGATCATAATAATAATAATATTATTATAGCAACAGTTAGCCTATATTTTACTGAATTTATCTTACATGGAAAATATATACAATGTACTTTTACTTGCGGGTGGATGTGCCGTGTAGTCCGCAGTAGCATCTTCAGCCTGGCTAGCTTTCTGAGAGGACAAACTGCCGTTTCTTCGCCCTCTAGAAAGCAGACTCTCTCATTGCCAGTGCAGTGAAGTTATTCCAGGAAAACAGGGAAGCAACAGCTCCACTTTTAAGACGGCTGGTGGTGGATCCGCTAACAAAATCCTCCGGTGCGAAGTGGCGGCTACATACGAAAATGCTCCCCGTCTTTATGCAAAAGTCCGGACCTTCATCTCTTCGGATCGCCTGGATCCACTGCCTCCGTTGGTCCGGGTCCGTCGGGAACGCATGATATGACAGATAAGGCTGTTTTCTCGCCCCACATGAACAACCAGGGACTGAACACAAACAACTGCAATGAGACTGAGCCATTTTCCTAACCTATTAATGCTAACGCTATAGCCACCGGAAGTTGTCCAACCCCACATCCGCCCCGGCCCCGCGCATGCGCACTGCCGCCCCGGCCCCGCGCATGAAGAGCTGACATATAAGGTTCAACTCAACCACTTATATGTCAGCTCTTCAGAGAAACGAGCTGCTAGCAGCGATGCTAATTAACGGTCATTCGTTACAAAACTTAACGGTCGTGTTCCTGTCGCTCCCCGTGATTAAACTCAGAATTACGATCATCTGTACTGAGCAGCTGTCTGATAGCAGACGGTGTTTCCGTAAACAAGTTTGACTAAATATTGTATTATAACCGAAAAGAGAGATATAACTGTAACAGCTTCCCCTTTATGCCCGTCCCGTCATACACACAGAGGAGGCCAGTTGGTTGAATTTTCTGTAATAACTGTAATAAATGGTCAACACAAATTAGTACAGTGAGCTCCACTACTGGTCCATCAGCTCTCCGCATACACAGTAGAGCGCTCAACAGACTGCGTCACAAACAATCATTACAATCTGGCTTAACAACATATTTTTCTAACAAATGATCGTATAGTGATATTTGATTATTAATACTTCTTTAAAATTAATTTAACACAATCTGGTCTATTTCCTATAAATAAAGAAAAAAATAGACAGACAACAATCAAATTTAACTAATAAACTAATTAAGTAACTTCTAACTGAAACAGGGAACAAACAAACTGACAAGCTGGTAAATACAGCAAACCGACAATACACAGACAAACCGACAACTCAACTGAAGAAAAACTGACAAACATAACTGACAAAATAATTTACTAATAAATAATATAATATAATTACCTGTAATAAATGGTCAACACAAATTAGTACAGTGAGCTCCACTACTGGTCTATCAGCTCTCCGCATACTGCAATAAAACTCCACGTCAGTCTTTGAGCACACCTACTATGACTATTCAGAAAGAACTGGATTTGGTGACTTACCACAGTAGAGCGCTCAACAGACTGCGTGGAATTTACGGTTTAGCTTTGTATTTATAGGCAACCAGTAGGGGGCGCCAAAAACCATTCATCACATGATAATTACAAAACATATTTTAGCAAGAATTTCACCTTAATACCCGTTACATAACCTCCCCAGTCAGCCTCCCAGGAATGAGGTGTATAGAGTTGTAGAAGATTTTAATTCTGCTATGGCTGAAATAAATAGCAACTTACAAAAGCCTGTGGCAAGTCATTGCATATAAAGACATGTTTAGGCATCATATTTCTTCTTTCCACATGATATTTTTCCAACTTTGCACCTGATTGTTCTTGTTGAGGGAGAGCAATTTGAATTAAAAAAACACATTTCTGCTTATGTAAAACAGCTTCTTCACCACCTCCAGCAGATGAACAGAATATTAAAGTTTTAAGTTTCAGAAGAATCTGAAACAGGAACTGAATTATGCTTCTTTCTTCAGGATGACAAGTTTAGCTTTAACCCCAAGTTGCTTATTGGGCTATGAATGGGTTAATTTGGTCAGCAAGACACCTGAGTAAAGTTGGCCCCCTCTCCTTCAAATTAAATAAAATTAGTGTCAAATTTTTGATAACCGGTTGACTATGTCTGGTCAAAATAAAATTCCCATAAATATGTTGTCAATCAATTGTACTATAGTTGTGTTGCAAAAATTTCCCTTTGTGTCATTAATTTTTAAGATAAAAAAAATGCAAAAAACATCTCTATAGGTCACCAGAGATTGACCTCTGCCCTGATCCCCCTCATTAACAAAAAAAAAAAAAAACTTGACTTGAAATATTTGTGCAGCTAAAACATTTGTAGTCTCGTTGCACAAAATTTTCTCAGTTTTGTTTTTTGGTTGGTTCTTGGTAATCTGTGGAAACATTTATTATTATTTTCTCAATGATAGCAATAAAACCAATTTTGTTTAATTTGAAGAAGGTGGGGGCAGGGGGCAACCGGATTTTATTTAAGGGTATCAGAGTAAAGGAGCAGAATACAAATGCATGCAACACTTATAAGATTTTTCTTGGTGAAAACTTCTTTTTTTAATTCACTTCATACATTTACAGAATTTTATGCAGGTCTTTCCTTTAACATCCCACTCAAATATCATTGAGGCAAAATGTAAAACGACCAACATGGATTATTTTCAAGGCATGGAGACAGTCTGATGACTCCATAATAGCAGTAAAAACTCCATCTGTTTGCCCTCTAGTCCCTTGGTTTTCATTACATATATCTTTATGTCAGGCAGCATCAGCAGACTTTATGTTACAAATTGCAAGATGCTGTTTTCCCCTGGATCAATCTCACATAAACTGGTTTTGTGCAGAGACAAATGTCTGAGGAAACCGATGCCCAGAGGAGTTTAAAAAGTACTTTGTGTCGCTCTGCAAGCACGCCTCGACCTGCCTCCTCAGCACCTCTGTGCACTCAACAACTACTATCCCCAACATGTGAAAAGCTGCCTGGGAAGGTGTGTTTACTCTCCTGTCAGAGCAGCGTCAACAGGTAAAACGGCCGTCTGCACACTGGAACCACTCTTCCTGGTTCTGCTGCAAACAGTCATCAGCTGAAGTCTGGCTTTGTTTCTTAAACCTGTGAGACTCTGAGAGAGGCTGCTGTGTCTCTGTTGGCCACAGACAAAAGTAAAGACTTGATGCATCCATTCAGCAGAGAGTCTATAGTCCTGATGAGGAAAGTGTTCACGCTGAGGTAGAAAGGAAGTGTGAACATGCAAAGCACGCTAACAACGGCTATTACGGTATTCTCCTCCAGGCTTGGAAAACCCCACTGTTTCCATCTGCTCAGGCGGGTTTGATTTGAATCTAAGCGCTGCCCTCTGACTAGATCCAGGGAAACGTGTTTCTGAGTCCACTCCTGTCTTCCCATCTTTTCAGACAAGCAGTCACGGGACATGAGGGGAAAGTCTCCACCAACACACTGTGGGGTAAACATTTCTGGATGAAGTGGCTTGAAGGTTGCAGGCGCTGCTTCATCCTCGTATCGTTGTGTTCTCTGCGGTTCTGCAGAGGTTTGGTTTCTCCTCGGCAGACCCGTGCTGATGGTCAGCAGCAGCCCGAGGAGAACCATGAAGGCCACACTCCAGTAGGGATCCATGGCTCTGTGCATGGGACTGAAGACGTTAGGAAGACATCTGATGAGAGAGTTGGTTTTGTCCAGACAAGCAGCCGTCCACCCTTCCTCCAGCTTCCAGTGCCATCGAACACTGAACGCCACAGCGATCCACACTGATAGGCAGCAGAAGAACCCCACCACCTGTGGCAAGCTTTCGCCTTCATCCGAGACGCCACCGTCCTCCTCCTTCTCCTCCTCATCCTCATCCTCCTCATCCTCATAACTGAAAATTCTCCAGGAATCAGCCGCAGCACGCGGCCCTGGCAACCTGATCAGGGTCTCCATTGCGATCAGAAACGTGGTGAAGAGCAGCACGGCTCTGTAGGTGTGGCTGAGGAAGAGCAGGAACCGCAGGGCAATGACGTCACCTGGTGGGTTCAGCTCAGCCAGCCAGAACTTCAAGATGCAAAGGAAACTCAGGAACGCTGTGGGAACACAAGGCAGAGAGTCAGCAGAAGCTCAACTACCAGCAAAAACACAGATTCTTGGTTTTAACAATGCATCAACTCTAATGGGAACATTTCATATTGCAGTAAGCTTTGAGAAAAGTAAAGAAATCCTCACAGTGATGGAAGACTGTTAGTTTATCTGAAGGAAGCTGCAGTATGAAACCTTTATAAAAAGAAATATATGCTCTTTACTTATAGTGACATTTGCTGAATATCGATGACGTTCAAGTCGAATGAATGCGACCTGGCCGTACAGACACATTAAAAAATATCTGATACATTCCAGATTTATGACCACATATCTAAGTGGTTTAGCTCACATTTGTAAAACTACAACCTGTGTTGTTTTGTACCACATAAGGGCAAAAAAAATCTAATTTGGTTTCTTCACGCTGCAGTTTTTATCGTTTCGGTTCTTCGTGAATCTCGGTTCTTCGGCAGGTATAATGTCATGTAGTAATTCTGAGTGTTTGCAAAATTTGAGCTGTAATCATCAAAACTAACCCCCACCCAGCCTTTAAATGCTTTCCACATGATAACGCCGACCAAAGAGGAGTGGGTAGAGGACATCTCCTTGGTGCACACCACAACATTGATAAATGTTGAGTCGGGTCAATCTGAGCGCAGAACCTCAGCTGGCTTTGTTGCACATTCAGTAAGAGTGCTGGTACCAGCTGCACACAGCTTCACGTCTGTAAGCTACATTAAATTCACATCTTTAGGTGGCAGAAAGAACCAAGTGAAAGCAGCGAAAATGATCAGTGAAGCAGCGCTGACCCTGGACAGGCAGGAACATTCAGATAAGAAGCTTCTGCTTCTCTGGCCAAGAACCTAATCAGTGCATGAGGTGCAGACAGATAGAAGCAAGGCATGTGCATTACATATTCAAATTCAAGACGTACAAGATAGTACTTCAAGTAAGGAGGTCAGAATTTAAATGTGTGCCGTTTCTCAAATCCTTTGGATCAAGCCCCTGTTTTGCTAAAAACCTAGATACACACATCATGTTGATCCATCTCCTTCCAGACAGGACAAAAACCACAAAGTAATTTCCTCTGACTGAAAAATTTAGGCACTTTATTAGATTTAGCATTTCTGAAACATCATTTTTGTCTAGTGTGAACATCTGTAACTGTGAAACTGGCTGAATTTTACATTAGTGTGAAAAAGTCAAGTTGATAACACTTGGAATATATTAGGCACCAGTTATTGCACTCCAGACAACCCTGGGAGGTATAAATATGGTATTTGATATTTCAATGGCCACATACCTGCCAATCATTGTGCAGTTTTGACATAAAGTTTAAACAAATGATACAAGGTTTTTATGGAGCATAGTAACATTTATATGGTCAAATGTATACCTTAGATGTATAAAGTTAAATGTCGCTTAATATGAATTTCACTAAAGCTCACAAAATGCTAACTGAATACGCCTCAGCTTCAGTGTATTCTTAGATTTAGATTTTTCAGGTGAAGCTTAAATTTGTTTTAAGGAAGATTTAAACAACGTCACTTTGAGTAAGTTTATCTCATGGACAGATCACAACTTTCGTCACTTTCTCACTTCCACATCTGAACTCTACTGGCATCACCTCAGCAAAATGAAAGCTGGAACCACTGGAGGTCAGCAAAACGCCGACCTTCAGGGCATCAGGGCTGCAAATCTAAAACAGAATGAGGGAGCAGTTTGCTGATAGTGGTGTTAATTTTTTAGCTTGTTTACTGGGGCTTTGGGAGCGCTTCATGGACAAAAATAAACTGCAAACATGTTGAATTAGAGGTGCAGGTTAAATGATGCACCTGACTCTGTCCTTACCTGTGACCAGGAAGTCCGTGAAAATCAAGAGGGAGCAGCAGCAGAAGCTGACAGGACTGTGGGACGCAGCCAGAGACGGCAGGACGAGAAAACTGCAGACCAGTTTACACGCAGACAACAGCACCGCTCCTTCCAACACAGCATCCATGGCTGCAAGGGAACAACAAACATGGACCAACAGGTTCTTCTCTCTGCCCCAGGGAGGAGGAGCTCAGGAATGTCAGGAACGCTGCAGGTAATGATCCAGCTACACAGCAGGAATATCTTCTGTGAGATTTTGCTAAAACTAATTTAAAAAAAAAAAGTCTTGTCAGTGAGTGCTCCCAGAGTTTTGGACCAATATTTGCTTGCGTCCATTGGTAATGAACCCTGGACCAGACAGAGGTCAGGGACGAGTTCAGCTGAGTCAACAAGAATGATACAAATAATTCAGATAAACCAAACCACAAAATTTCACAATCACACTGGTTCAAACTGGAGGATAAATATTTCTATCATCTTCAAGAGATTAAAAATGTCTTACTGAAGCAAATGAATCTCGAGAGAGAAAGAGAACAGCTGCTATGGGGTTATTAGTTCTTACCTGCTCTCACAAGAGCCTGACGAGCGGCATGTCAAAATAAGCTTCAAATGCTTCATCCGCTTTCCTCACCTCCCCCTTTTGCTCCACCCTCCCGGGGATAACGAACCCTCCCTAACCCCCGCTGCCACCGCCCCGGCCCTTCCTGCACCTGGCCTCTGGAGGTGACAGCGCTGGTGCGTTTCTGGAGGGTGTGGCAGTCTTTGTGCAAGCTACAAAACCAGTGGAACAACTAGCGCGCCTTGCTGCAAACAAATGCAACGTGTTTGTTTAAGTGTGCGTGTTTAAAGGGAGACCTGCTGATGTAGGCCAAGGGCGTGAAAACAACTTCTCTGCATCCAGTTTGCTCAGGTTAAATGTTTAATACACACCGTGCAGGACTCCATACAAAGCCAGGTCAAATGGTGCATTTTAATGATGTGCTGCCATCTATGCATGAATTATAAATTACTTTATAAGGCAAAGGTGTCCTGTGGCAATTTTTACAAGGAGGATGGGATCTGCAACCTTAGTAGTGAAAAGAACCACTTGTCCATCAGTTCAGCTGAAAAACTTGTTGCTTATAATTTTAGATAAATATCTATAAAAGAAAATATGTTCTTGTGTTTAAAGAACCATAACTTTCAGATTTTTAAACAAAGAAAGCCAGAACATTTTTGCAATAAGAACTATTAGTTCAGTCATGTCATGAAAGGGTGAGGCATTCTGGCGAAACAGACACATTGACTCAAGTCAGAGAACAAATTTAGATTTGGATAGGGAGACAGCTTGTAACAGACTTTGTTTCGAGTTTGCAGAAAACTGAAGGTCAAGGCAGCTCAGCAGGTCACTGCTCCTTTACCTCGATACAGAGTGACCAAATTGCCTCCTTTTGAAGCTACTGCTGTAGATTGTTCTGAACCTGTTCATGTGGGGGATGAAAATTGGCAAACTCAAGGAAGGAAAACAATGATCACATGAACTTGTGTTTCTCACTGCTCTAATCAGGCCGACCTGGAGATTTATCTCTGCCTACACATTATAAATTCAATATTTACTCCGGCGTTGTATTGGTTTCAAGACCTTTTATATTTTATATTTACTGTATTTCGACCAATCGCGTCATTTCCTCCGACGTGCGTAATTTTTCTTGGTTCGCTTCATAGCGAAGGATAATTCCAGTGATCAGTATTGTCGAGTTGTCATTTCCTCATCTGTCCAAACTTCTTTCTGACTTCTTGGATCCAAATTACCTTCACTGAAATGCAACCATCCTGTTCATGTCAACGTGACCTGGAGCGCTTCATAACCCGTTTCCTGGCTAAAGCTGCACAAGCAGCATAATCATTCTACAAAGACTCAGACATTTAAAGTCATAAATGTATGTTTATATACAAAATAGATTGTAGGCCCGGGATTAGTGATACCATGAAGGTTTCAGTTTCTTTGTGAAACGCAAACTGAATGACAAAAGAGTTTTCAATTGAAAGAATTAACATTTTTCTTGGAGTTGAACAATCGACTCAAAACCTCCAAGTCATCAAAAAGCAAACTAGACATCTAAACAATAATTTATTTTATATTTAATGGATGTAAAAATGAGTTGCTATGCAGTTCCACCAGATACATTATTCAGCTGATGCATATAGAAATAAACTCTTTTATATTGGAAACAATCTGCAATGATACATTCTTTAAAGTAATCCTTTCAGCAAAATTTTGTTATAAAGTTAATTTATTTGTACTTCATTTCTTCTACATGAACAAAGTCTTCACTGCAGAAAGTGAACAAGGGAATAAATCATATAAATCCCATAATTTCTAAGAAGATTCACTTGAATATTGCTCAATCTGCTTTCATCAAGGCCATATTAATATCTAGAACTATAACTCTGTCATTGTTATGAAGCCGAGGAAACGACCCATGTTGGTCAAGGCCATAATAGTTATTATGAAAATGTCATTTTCACTGATATTTATGACACTGTGTGCCACAGATGAACTTGCATTTGACCACCTTGAGTGAAGACACCACAATTATTCAGTGGAACTTGAAGTTGTGTTATTTATTACACAATGGTTCTTGATATATTTTTTATCAATAACTCTTAAAAACTTGGATTAAAATGATAAAGAAACAGCGAATAATTTTTAGGTAGATTTTGAGGTGTTTCTCCTGCAATTAATTTCCATGAAGAATAACACTAAAGGTATCAATGATATGTTTTATGACGTGTTTTTATTGTTATTAGGTTGGAGTATGAGTTTTCTTTACGTCATTTTCCATCACATAGAAAAAATGTCAATCCTTTTTGTACAAAACTTTGTTTATCTTCACTTTAATCTGTAAAAGAAGAAATAAAATGGTGGTGCATTTAAAATTTCCCACCATATTTTTTTTATCTAAACCTAAAAGTGTCTTCTTTTTTTTGGACTGTTTTATCAGCTTGTTATGGATAAATGATCCACTGCAGTCTCTTTCATCTGCTCACATACACAGTGCTGCACGCTCACAGAAGCACAACATGTGAGACTGGTGATTAAGTCAGATACGGTGCAGAATGAGGCGATAAAAGCAGAACTCAGTCTTTGCTTCACCTGGTTGCATCCCTACAGTGAGCAGAGTGGAGCCCAGCGCTGGACGCTGAACGTCACTCTGTGTCTGTTGTGTGACATTTGATCGTTTTCGGCATTAAAGCCTGTTTCATATTTAACCAAACGTCATTATTTCTCGAGGTGATGACACTGAGGGGTTTTGGTCGGGTCCCTGAACTGGTAAACAGACCTGGGTGCATGACAACAAGCTCTAGCCTTCATTTGAGAGTGATTTGATGTAAGACGAGTGAGACATGCAGCAAAGGTTGATGGGCCAGAAAATGGGCCCATCAAGGACTAAAGTCTGCGTACGGGTCGCGGCTCTTCCTCTACAGCGCCATACAAGTTGTCTCTTTTGCAAGAAGTCAGGTAACGGCTGCAGCTGTAAAGTGCTGATAGTTAATTGATTTGGGTCAGGGGGATTCGTTTGGAGGCGTGAGACTGAAACTGACCAGTAGGAAGCCAGTCAGTTTTAGCAGTGCACAAAGGACTCTGTTATGCTTCCCCCCTTATCTCCAACTTCATTTAAATGTATTTGTTTCCTGCGGTTCCCAGTTTTCATTTCATGCCAGTTTCAGTTTTGCATTTTCCATGAATGTAAATTCAGGCACTGAGCACTGACAATAACAGGTGAACGATTTATTTCGTTATTTGAGTTTGCTGTTATGGCCCAACTGGAATCTTGACTGAAATCTGTGCTAATGATTAGGGTGATGGGAAGGAGGCCATCCAACTTCACAGACCAGGAACTTATTGCCAAAAATTAACCGTAAAAATTGTCAGTGGAAACATGAAAACAAAAATAACAAAAAAAAAATGGTCTGCAATTATAAAAAAGATTATGTGATGTTGACAAAGTGGTATCTCATAGTCAATTAATTATTGAGAATGGGATAAACCATTTTATTTTTAAATGAAATGTAAAGAAACAAATATTATTTTAGAAAGTTGATTGTTTTAATATCTTTGGAAAGAAGCTTGTCCCATTTTCCACCAGTAATGACTTGAAATTCCAGCAAAACTCGATGATATAAAATCTAGAAACAAAAGCTCTTCTAAGGATTTTGGACTTTTTGGGGGGTAAATATTTTAAGAGACATTTTCTACATCATATTTTCTAAAATCTAGTGCAATATTATTAAATTAGATTTTAAAATTGGATTTTTAAACATTTCCTACATTTTATTTATTACTTTTTGATTTATGATAAATATTTATTGCTTGATCGATTTGTTGTTGTTATTATTATTGACTTTTCTTTTTGAAAAACAAGTTTCTTACATTCTGTTTTGTTTTTGTTTTTTTATGTCACATTTCACTACAATAGGTCACCATACATTTCCAATGTTGGGATTTATAATCCCAAACCAAAACAAAGCTCCAGTGCAATGTACAGATTTATGAAGCAGCTTTTACTTGTTTTATTGTACAGCCCAATAAGAGTTGTACAATAAAACAAATGGAAAGCTAAAACAATAGCAGCCCATCATTCATGTGATGATCCTGTGGCTTTCAGCGTGGCAGCAGTGCCCTCTCCTGCTGAGCTAAGCACAGAGCACATTAGCATCCTGTCATGCTGCTGCAGCTCGCAGGATTACTCATATTTAATGCACATTATCTCCGACAGACACGCAGCAATGATAGTACGCAGCAATATAAGAAGCGCGTCCTTTTTTAGTCCCCAACTCCAAATAATCTGACTGTGATGCCCCCTTGCGAGGTTTATATTAAACATGGGGTGAGGAGAAGTGAGAGACGTTCATATTATAATTCATTATTCCCACAATGGTCTCCCGACAGGAAGGTCTTGTAAAAAAAGTCGAACCCCCCCCCTTATATTCGTGCGCTCATTTTTACAATAGCGCCGCGGCGCCGACGCGCACATCTGCGGCATCTGCACGGATCGGGTGAAAATTACGAGCCAGAAAATGGGTTAAAAATCCGCCTGAACGGGTTTTTCTCTGTGCACTGTGAGCAGCCTCTCGCCTGTAGCACCCAGAAGTGAACAGCAGGCGACCCGGAAGGCTTGAAGTCTGGCTGAAAGCAGGCAGAAAAAGGGGAGTCCTGCTCCGTTATAAATTTCTGTTTCTTCTCCTCTCGCTGGCGCAGGTATGTTGGTCTCCCCGTGCAAATTATCCGCCTCTTTATGCTGTTTTCCTCTCGCTCAGAGACGCCGCGCTGCACCGCCGCTTCCCTTAAAAGTCGTGCAGAACTTGGAATAATGAAATAAGCCTTCGCGATGCTTAAATGTTAATAGATGACGTCTTAAGCTGCCGTGCAAATAGCAGCCCTCCTGATGATCGGATTTATGGCTCAGCTCGGCGCTGTGGCAGAGCCACGCTGATGGCTGTAGGAAGTGTCTGCGTGCTGTTTTTTTCCCCCTCGCCAAGCCGGGCTATTCAAACCTGCAAATCAAAGTAAACAATCATCCCTGAGATTTATGCAAATTTGCCGCATGCATTCGCGTCGCAGTGGCCTTTAATGACACCCGGAGGGTTTTCTGCTTGTTATAGTCCTTTCTGCAGAATATGGCGTCCGCTGGTTATAAAAATAAGACAGGGCTGCCATTTTTGTTTTCCTTTTGTCTGATTTTTTTAATAAACTGTCTGAGAATGTGGGAGAGGCGGCGGACAGACCGAGGCGCTGCAGGTTTGCTGCTCTGTAGGGGGAAACTCGCACTTGGAGCTGGTTTATTTAAAATCTGGGAAAAATCAAAATCTGGAAATCAGCTCCCCTCTGTGTCTTTCTAAGCAATAACTGGCTTAAGTTGCTCCTAACTTTTGTTTTTTTTTATCACCATTAAAAAAAATAATAATAAAAACCTGACTGTAGGCTATTTCTCAAGAACCCAGAATATGAAGCTTTCACAGCAGCTGCAGTGGATACAAATCAGCGTTGAAATACTACTTTATTTTACTATAATAAATACATGTAGGAGTTTTTGCAACGTTTTTGCTGTCCGCTCCGGTTTAATAAGAACGCTTTTGAGGTAAACAATCAATCAAAATAGGTAGATCTATCTCCTTGCATTTATGTTTTATTTATGTTTTGTTGATGGACAAATCCTACACTTTAGTCCAGATACATAACATGTAGAACAGACTGGTGTCACTTGTAGGACATAATTGGTTGCTGAGTCTCATTCAGTGTTACTTTAGACTCTTTGCAGCATCACAGACCAGTTGCTATGATGTTTAGACCAAATTAGCTATTTTTGTCCTTGTGCCCTTATCCTGACTGATACCTTTGTTTGATAAGCTGAATTTGGTACCCTCTCTGTAAATGATGACATCAGGTAAAACACAGGGATGAGCAAATGTTTAGGAAATCCTACTAGAACAATTGAAGTTTATTTTGATGATGATCGGATTCTGGACTGAAAACGGGAACTGAAATGTGTTTCAACAAAGCATTCATGTAACACTTGTACAAACCAGGTTATTGCTGCTTTTTAATTTCTACTAACTGATGTGGAATTAGAAAACATTTGTACCCAGGTTCATTTATTTACATCACAAAACCTGCCGTTTCTATAGAGATGTCATGACGTTTTATAACCACTGCACTTGAGATACCTCTCAATTTTTCTATAACAACATACACTACTGTATTTTAAAGGTTTATTTTAAATACATATGTGGCACTTCTCATATGTATTAAACTAATCAGTCAATATTATTGATATTGTTGCACATTTCAATCAGAAAATTAAGGTGCAGATTTATTTTTACCCATATAGAGTCCAATTGAGACAGCATAGAGGATGCTCATATTGAATTTATTATAGCTGAGTACTTAGTCACCACTGAACAGATGTGAAAATGTGGCTGTACGGTTAACATAATTTACTGATTATTAAGTTCTGTTACTCAGGTGGTAAATAGGCTAATTTAATCTAACCGTTTCTGAAAACAGTTGAAAATATGCAACAGAACGAGTTGCATATATTCAAAATATGTAATTCTAATACAAACATTTTTTAATTGATGGAGTTTAGAGAAACTGTGTTTCCTTTGCAACCCAAACACTTTAATGTTGGATCTTCAGACTCTTCTGTTTCAACTAAATTACATAAAATGTAAAACACATTTGTTCTTTTTAATCACAAAAAACTGCAAAGATTATATTGTTTCCTAAATAATCATTGTACATTTAGCAATATTGTTGAGAAACATAGAAATAAATAGAAACATTTGCAGTTTAAACCTCCCATGATCCTTTGCTTCAGAGGTTTTGCTTTGTGATTGGTTTATTGATTGTTTTCCATTTTGGTACTTTACTTTTTAATACTGGTGCTTCTGAGGGCATTGCTTCAGTATTTGCAGTTCACACTTTAATTACATCTTTTGGATTTTAACACAATTTATGGAGCTCATATTATGAGGAGATCTGTGGCTGAACAGTTGTGAGTTCGATTCCAGCTCAGAGGAAAATTAAAAATATATATATGTTTGTGCATGTATGTTCAAGTATTCATATCCCTTAAAGTTTTCCACCTATTTTCATGTTACAATCTTGAAGAGATTTTCTATAGATGGCCAACGCAAAATGGTTCACAATAGTGAAATGGATGGAAAATTAAAATTAGTTTTTAAAAGTATTTAAGTATCACAATTCTAGTTCAAGCTCAGTCAAATTGGATTTGGAGAATCTGTGAACACTCTTAAGTTTTTTGTGCAAATTCTTCTGTTCGATTAAGCTCTTTCCTTTGACTGGTCCATTCCAACACAAATAAGCTTTTGATCTAAACCCAATACCTTGCATCTCTACTTGGGTGATTAAAGGGGCAATATTATGTAAAATTGACTTTTTTTGAGCTTTACATCGTGTTATAATTTTATTTCTTCATCCTAAACTTGCCTGGAGTGTTGCTTTGATTCTTCCATGCATGTTTGAGAAACATTTCAATCTTCATGGCAACCATTCAGTTGTGCAAAACGCCTCGTTGGACTTAGCCCCGCCTTCTAGATCCAGCTCCTCCTTGGAGCTGCAGTTTCCATGCCTCACAGAGCAACCCTCTCCCACTCAGCTCCTTCAGACTAGCCGGCAGCAATTAGCAAACACCTGGTGGAACTGAGCGACTGCTGAGCTCATTAGACAAGCTGCTTCTCTGTGAAAGGCCGGTAAAAACATTATTAAAGGCTAAATAGAAAAGAGATGTGATGACTTCCTGAAGGTGTTGGCAAGAGCAAGAGTGTCTTAAAGAGACAGAGGCCCAATTTCAAGGCGTTAATTTCAAGTCAGTTCTTTTAAAGTCATGTTTGACAACTGAATGTAACATAATTACTTGAACAGCCTGATGTATATGAAGATTAAGTCACATGGAGGTGGACTCTGTTTACAAATTGTTGACTTCTGTAGGAACATGGTTGTATTTGGTTTTATTTAAGAGTGCTAAAGTAAAGGGGGTTAATATGCAGATTTTAGAATATGCAGATTTTAGAATATGCAGATTTTTTTTCACATGTAAAAAAGTAGATTTTACTTCCATATGAGATAATTATTACTATCTGTTGATCTAGCGTATCAACAGATAGTTGATACGCTAGATATCCTCACAAAAGTCAGCAAAGTTTGTGGTTGTAATGTGAAAGAAAGGGAAAAGAGTTAAGGGGATATGAGCACTGTGATCATTAATGATTTCAGATGGTGGCACAATTATGTGGCATGTCTGAGAATAAGACAGAAAATATCAGAAATGGTAAAGATTAAGTCTTTGATAGCCTGGATTGGATGCTGTTTGGCATTTTTAAATAGTAAGACAAACTGATGAAGAACTTAAACTTCTGATGAACTGAACATAAAAAATGAAAACATGTATGTCACGTGAAGCTCATTTCCAGAATTACAAATAATGGTTGTCGAACAAAGGCAAACAAAAAGAAAATTATTCAGGACAGCCTAAATCACTAAGCACAACAAACAGAGATGGCAATTTTCTATTTGACTAAAACCTCACTACAATCTTGTTGGAGCTCAAAAAGCAACGCAAAGATGCATAAAAGCAGAAAAACTCCCCTGAGGCAGAAAGCCCCCATCGTTATAGAAATTTTCTGGGAGGTGCATTGTGCGGCCGTACCTCTAGATGTATCGGTTTTGTTTCTCTTGGCTTGCAGATGTGGGCTGTGTTATGCTTCTGCTTAGCCAAACAGACTTAGGAATGGCTCTGTGTGCCAAAGCATGCAAGGCAAAATGTTTTAAAAAGATCTTCAAGAGGGTCGGAAAAGAGAGGCTATGGAAAGAAAGGCATTCAGAGCAAGACTTGAACTGTATGTGTTTCGCTTTGCCTTTAAAAAAGAACGATTACCAGCCGTCTGGTTAAATCTGATTAATGTAACAGAAGCCTTATCAATCATTGTGCTTCTCACTTCTCAGAGCTAAATTGTAGGTATTTTACAACTATTTCCATGAAGGTTTGGAAAGAAAAAAGGGTTTGCACTTAGGAATAAATGCTGCATGTTATCGAATTAGACATTCCTTATTTACAAGTTTCTGCAGCTTCTTATTCTTGAGATACTTTAGAAAACACTCCACCAAATTTGAGGTTTTCTCCTCACCCTTAACCAGTCAGGGCCCCTAGTTTGAAGGAGGAGACAGAAAGCGGCAGATTAGCATCTACGTCAAACTAGTAGGCTCTGTTATTTTCTGATAACTGTTGCACAACTAACAGTTGAAATCACATGGCAGTCTATCTCAAAGTCTGCATGCTCATCCTGCAAAAGTGTCTGAGAAGCCTCAGAGAAAGCAGCGAGTTTAATTTAGATTTACAAATCCTGCAGAATTAACTCATCCTGCTGGCTCATGAACATCCTCCCTGCTAGCAATATAATATGTTGGGCTGAAAATAGTGCAAGGATGCAAAGCTGGGTCAAACAGGAGCCTCTGTCCACAATACTCTTGGAAATACTCTATCACAAGACTGATTATTGCACCAAACAGTCCGCTGTTGTTTAGTTGTAGGGCCACCGACGTGGCTTTTAACCACATTAACAGCAGAAACGCACAGAAGTGTACGGGTCACAGAGCAGAAGAAAAATCTGAACAAACAGGAGTCATCAAAAAATACACACTGTGACAAGAGTTGGTTCAATATTTGCAAATTTCCTGCTGTTTCGTATGCCTGACATTGTCCTTTTTATAATGTGTGCATTTCTTTCAGGATGGCTGAACCGCGCTTTAACAATCCCTACTTTTGGCCTCCTCCTCCTTCTATGCCTGGCCAGGTGAGAACCACCTTTCACAACTAAAATTTCTTAAAGTTAGTCTTTTAGACTTCAATAAAAACATACAGTCCTGTATGACTATGCTATTATTTAAAAAAAATAGGTTTTCTGATCCTAAGCTCTGATAAAGAAGGAATATTGTAAATATTTATTTGTTTGAGCTGTCGACAGATCATTTTGACCAAAATGTAATTAAATAGCACACTGGGAAGCCTGATATCTATTCTCCTGGTTTTTACCAATGAATAAACTTATAAGCTGGATTTCAGTTTAAAACTACTGGCTCCTCTGAGTCCAAAAGTCTGAAAATATATATTTATTCTAATTGAAAGATTAATTAGTAAACACAAAACATCTTTGAGCTAAAACTCCCAAGAGTCAGCAGTTTTCCAACACAAATACAGGTACATTCAATAATTTAAAATCTTATTAAAAGTTAATTTATTCTACTAACTCAGGTCACTAAAGGAAACACATTTATGATGATTTTCCACTTACAGCACCTGAAAACACAACATGAGATTAGAATAGCAATTTTAATACGAAAATATGTGTTAGTGAGACGTTAAGGTTGTTAATTTCAAAAGTCAATTTTAATCTTACATTTATTGAATATGACTGTACAGGTAAGCAGTATTCATAATAAAAAAAAGAATAAACCAGCTTAAAATGATTGAAAATATGAAAGTAATGTCCCCTAAAGACAGTTAGTTTAGCTTTTCTGTTTGTTTTTGAGCTTTGTTAAGCTGAACAAGCTAGTAGCTGTGTTAGCTGCATTAGCTAGCCAGCAGCAGTTGGCCGTTTAGCTAACTGTCAGTTGTGATAGCCTCTTCAACTCAGTTAGCTCAACTGACCAGGTGTAGGTTTGGTGGCAGAAAATATGTCAAAAGCCTGACTACGTCATTAGTAATTAGTTAAAAAGTTTCTTTATTTGACCATCAGAAACAGCTGACTGGCAGCTGGCAGCAGCAAGCAAGAGAAGATTAGCATAACTGCATGCTACAACTGTCTCCCAACATAAAGAGAGTTTAAAGGAATAGTTTACATACCTGGAGCAGGGGGATTTCCTCTGGAAAAGCACAGAACTATAAAGTCTTTTAATGCCAACTGACAGCTTATTGAAAGAATTGAAAGGTTTAGCCATATCTTGGCAGATTTAGGTTTTATACAAACTGTCTAATTCACTCCACAGTCCACTCAACTATGTGATGTAAAGTTATCTGGAGTTCACTCATTGAGGTCCGCAAAGTCGGTCAGGACCCCACTGATAAACACCTGTGTGGTCTTCAGAACCTCTTAGAACAATTTAACTCAAGTAGCTCATAATAATTTAATACTTATTTATTTTTCTGTATTTTTTAACTTTCCGTACACATGTCCAAAAAGAAAAAAAACGCAATGGTGAAAAAAGAAACACAAGACAAACAAGTACAGCAATAGATAATATTTTAATACCAGTCAATGGTAAGAGCTTCAAGTGAAAAAAGTGTAAGTCAAAGTACAAGCTTATTTACCTTCACTTGTTTTACACAAGGCGTGATCGAAATCAAAGCAGCAGAATCTTTAAAATGACAAAATCTTAATAAAAGTCTTAAAACCACAAGAGAAAAACTGGAGGAAAGTATTTTCTTTCATGTTTCACATTTTCATTGCGTCAGTAAATGCAAAGCAGTTGATAATGATTGTCTCAATCCTGCCTCACTTGTAGACAGAAAGCACTTTTACTTTTGTAAAGTGTGAATATTTAACATGAAATAACATGGAAGCCAGTCGGTCTCAAACTTTTGATTAATTAGTTTTAGATCAAATTTCAATGAGTTCCCTGGACTACTGCTCCTTTTTTTTACATTTTAAACCTCAGCTTATCTGATATTCACCCGCACAAAAGCCAATACTTGATAAGAAGAGTGTTTGCATTTTATTTTTTAATGTCATTTAATCCCCAGATTTCATTCCAAAACCACATCTAAGCATTTTTCACTGCCCTAAATGAAGAAACCAGTGACTTGAAACAGCAGTTTAATTGGATCATTTGTCTTCTGCAATAACATAATTAAAGTTCGTCTTACAAAGGAGATAGATTAGACTTTAGGTGAAAAATTAGAAACATTGAAATGTATTTCTCAAAATCTTTGACGCATCAATTCAACAAAACCACAAAAGTAAGAAGAAAAAACAGGCACTTTTATATCCCCTGTGTTCTGGAAGTCTTTAAAAGTACATAAATATCTAATTCAATTTCAAAAGTAGCTATTTATTTGTAAAAAGAAGTTTCAAACGCAAATAAAACCTCAACAGGTTCCTTCAAAGTCTCAAAGCTTTGGCTGCAATGTCTGGTGTCAACCAATAGAGGGCACCATTGCCCTGAGAAGTGTCACTGATTGAACTGATGATGGCTGTTCTTCTGTCACTAATGGTGGTTTCTGGCTGTCAGCTGGATAACCTAGTCTTGATCAATAAAATCAAGGAGCAGCTGATGGCGGAGAAGATCCGGCCGCCACACCTGCCCGCCGTTTCGGCCGCCTCCCAGCAGCCTCTGATGTCTCCGTCGGGCCAGGCCGAAGGCAGCCAGCACGGGATGTCCAAAGCTCAGCAGGGGTCCGGGCTGCACAGTCCGAGCCCATCGCAGCCTGACATCGCCCTGCATGCCCGCCCTGCCTCCAGCTCTGTTACAGGTACTGCAACTATGTCCACACATGCAATTAGTCTAAATAATTCTTCAAAAACTAACCCATAAAAAGATTTGATCAGATTAATCACCCTCTGTGATTAATGATAATTAATCAGTTTACTTAACTTTTTTACTTGACATGCAAATATGCAAGTTTTCAAAACATTTTCTTACTTTTCCAGGTTTTTATATTTTATATAAGTAAGATTTAAAAGAAATCTTTTTGTTTTAAACTTTCATTTGGTAATAATTTTGTTTTTCATCATAATTTTATTTTACCTTATTGCAACTTCTTGTTTGTCTAATTTCTTCAGTTTAATTAGTTTTTAAAGTGTTTACTAGTTTTTATTAGTTAAATATTGATTCGTTTTTTTCATACTTTGTTTAATTTTTAGATGGAGAATTCAAAAAGGTCAAAGTATTGTGTTTATGTACACACCGATTGGGTAATGAATACTGACCGGAAAATACAATAAAGAAAATAAATGGTACAGTTTTCTCCCAACTTCTGCTGCCGTCATTTTGCAGACTAGCATAATTTTAACTCAACTGAAAACAAAAAATAACCATATAAGAAATTAGTCAAGTAAAAAAGTATTTGGTAAAAAGTCTACTCAAGTTCTAACTGATCAAAATATCAATCATTTTAAAATGACATAATCAGAGGGTCCAAAACATAAAGTTAAGTGGAAATTTTGGTATTTTAAGGATGAAAATGAGAATAATTTGTATGAGTAACAAAAAATTAAAAAAAGTACTAAACTTTAACAAAAACTGCAGGTGTGTCTTCGCCTGGTTAATTTTTGGTTAAAACATGAAAATAAAGAAATTATCCTCAATAGTAGCAATACTTCATGATAAAATGACTCTAGTACAGGGCAGAAAAATAACTATTTGAAAAAGGTTTCTTAAGTAAATGGAATTGAATAAAAGTAACCAGTTACTATCTAACTCTGATTCAGACTTATATTTTTCTTCTTAATTAGGTCGTATCCTTGGAGATGTGAACTTGAATTTGGACGACAAGGCGGCTCTGAAAGCCCGGGGTCTGTGGGAGGACTGGCACCTGCGTCAGCTCATAGACCATCCGTCCAGAACAAACCACGTCTCAGGTGAGCGAACACGTCCCAGCTGTCCGATAACTGAGACAAACCTGTCCTCTGTGGGTTCGCTTCACCTGCCTCAGAGGACTTTTATTTCCTTCGTTCTCCTTAAAGGCTGATTTGAAATAAAGAGGAAGTGTTCATTCGTTAATTAGCTGTAGATTAATTAATGACACTAGAGGAGCCTCAGAAATCTGGAGGGAAGATATAAAAATAAAAAAAGAAATTCTTTAAAAAAACATTAATTATTCATTTGTTATACATTTAATATGTTTTTATTTTTTATTATTATTAAATATTAATTTAAATAACTTATGGAATGTGGAGACAGAAGATACAAAACGCTGTAAAACGTTTGAGCTGCATTTAGTTGTGTCTACTATCTTTTACTCTTGCAAAGTAATTTAATGAGTTTTAGATTTTGAACCCAAAATGTGAGTTTGAAAAAGATAAACTTACAGTAGTAAGTTGTTGTGTTAACTTTTATTAATTCTGTCAAACCTCCAAGAGTTGGATAACCTACAGTTTTTATGTTAGCACTTAAAAAACTGAAAAAAGAAAAAGGACAGGAGTGGGAAATATCTCCCAGAATGCTTAGCGGCTTGTTTTTGTCTCCTGAGTAGGAAGTGCGTTACATCGATCTGAGTCTATTTGTTATTAAGGCAAATGTTTGTTTTTTTTTAAACCTTCAGGATAATGTCCCGTTTACACTAAATGTTTTTAAGCTGAATTTATTGTGATGTAAAATAAAATTCATCATCAGATCAGAAATTTTGTTCATGCAATTTGAAACAAGAATTTATATAAGCATTTCTTTTAATTTGATGTTGTGAGTGAAAATAATAGAGAAATGTGGCTCTTTAAGTAGGTAAGGGCTGATTTTTTTCTTTCACATTGTATTTAGTACACAGAATATTCACTGAACTGCAAAAACCGCACAGCATTCTGGGGGATGTAGGCAAAGGAAATACCTGGTTACCTATTAACACCCTATTAAGTAAGTTGTGGTTACTGATGAGTAACCTGATGAGTAACTTGCAGCAGTTTAAGGTTTTGCCACATATCTGCTTAAAAGTATAAAAAACAACAAAGTGAACTGAAAACTGGATAAAATAGGAAAGGTCATGCCACCACTATTTCAAATATTTAAAACAAAAACTAATCAATAATAATCAATATCAAGTAATATGAAATACTTACATCGGGATACATTTTCCAGCCCTAATAGCAGCTATAATGTAGCTTTTATTGAAACTGAAATAGCAAAATGTTTTCAATAATGTTCAGTAACGTTCTCATCTCCACTGTTGTTCCTGTCAGGTGTGGCTCTGGCGTCCAGAACCGGGAACCTCAGCACTTCGGAGATCATAACCCCAACAACACCCACCTCAAGCAGCCACAGCCGGCTGGGTGGAGCCCCCGCCCCTCACCTCATCTCAGGGCTAGCCGGCAGCCACGGGATGGAGCCCGGGAAGACCAACGGGGGCTTTGTGGGCCTCCTCGGCCCGCCGCCGAAGCAGGAACGAGGGCGCAAGAAGATCAAGGCCGAGAACGGCTCGTCGCTTTTGGTGGTCCCGTACCCGATCCTGGCCTCGGGCAACGACCAGTCCTGTGTCACCATCACCGCTAAAGAGGGTAAAACCTACAGGTGAGAAAACACTGGTGTATTCTGTTTGGAACTGGTCAATAAATCAGTTCCAATACATATCATGATCATTATCAATAGATGATAGAATATTCAATATGTAGACTACTCACTGGACTCTGGTCCAGAACCACACAGCATTCTGGGAGACGTAGGCAGGGGACGGGCTCAAACTTTCACGGCCAGATAAGTAAGATTGGTAGAACCGACCAGCTAATTCACTCTTTGGTTACCTAGCAACCCACTCACTCTTTGGTTACCTAGCAACCCACTCACTCTTTGGTCGCCTAGCAACCCACTCACTCTTTGGTTGCCTAGCAACAACCAATTGCCGCAGCAGCAGTTTAACAAGGGTTAAGCGTGTTGAGGTTTCACCAATGTGCCTCATAACTGCTTAAAACTAAAAAACAACAATGTGGAGAGAAAACTGGATAAAACAGGAACGGTCACAGCACCAGTTTGGACGTATTTCAGATATTTAAAGCAAAAGAAAAACCTGATATGCAACGCTAATATGGTGAACAGCACAAGAAATGTAGAAATGAAAATCAATAGAACAAATAAAATATTTAGAGAAAAATATAATTGTTGGGATATTTCCACCATAAAGCACACAAATACTCATAGAATATCAATGCAATGAATGCGACTTCAGTGATTAAATGAACCGATCCAGATTTTATTAAACTTTATCGTGCAGCTCAGTTTGACATCAACAAGCTATTTACCCTGAAGAACAAATAAAACCAGACTGCAGGGTTTATCGGTTTGTTATTGCAGATTCGTTTTAGTGACGAGACTTAGAAAATGAAGAGGAAACTGTTCAGGTTTTTCTTGCTGCAAAGCAGAAACAGGAAGAGGCTGAATGTGCTGAGCAGTAAAGCACAGGAGCACAGCTTTACTGCTTTCATATTTCAGTGGTTTCACGTTCTTCAGAGATATTTTTACACATCATTCGTAGTTTAACATGTCAGGAATGACGGTAGTGACGATAATCTAAATCTGTGACCGTTGGAAATGGTCCTCGATGAAGAAAACCAAAACAAGGGACTCACCACTGACCTAAATGGTGAGTCCATTTAGGTCAGTTCTCTGAAAGTACAGAGAACGTTTCAATTTAAAAAATGTAAACTGAAACAATGAGAGCGCACAGAAATGTAACAGCTAACAGTGTAATCTACCTTACAACAATGTCTAATCTCTGCGTTAGACATTTTGTCTGGGTTTTGTGTTGAAAGAACAGCTTGTATCAGTTAAACTCATATTAACTCATTTTGAATTGATTTGACCCCCAGACTGTTATTTTTTATTTGTTTCTTTGGGTTCATGTTGAAAACTCAAAGTTCTGTTTCTAAGATAATTAGAACGTTGCATTGGAAATATGTAACGAAAGGTCGTTTTTAATTTCAGGGTATTGAAAGTAGGTCGACATCATTGGTCAGGACTCCTGTTGTCATGATGCTCAGATGTTGTGGGTTTTGGTTTGTGGTTTTGTTTTGGGTCATTTCTTGTTCAATGTTTTGCATCTGTTTTTGTAAGTTTTTCTCTTCTTGAATAGTGTGTTTAGCTTATTCTAATTTACATTTCTTTTTTTTTCATATTCTGTCAGTTTCTTTTGCTCCTTGCTCATTGGGTTTGGTCTTGCCACGTCATAGTTTATTTTTCAGCCCTGACTTTTAGTTTTTTCTCTTTGGATTATTCCTGCCGGGTTCTTTCATCAGTTTTCTTAGTCATCATTAATGTAATTCATGCTGCTTGGGTTTGCTGTTAATTTTGGGTCTAGTAAGAGTTGGTATGTTTGTTTTCTTACAGTTTCTTCGTGGATATTCTGTTCTGTTTTTCTGTTTCTTGATTATGAAGCTATTTGTTTTTTCCTCTACACTTAAAAAACAAAAAACCAGGAAACTGGAATGTGACCGAAGCTGCATCAAACTCTTAATATGTGAATTTCCTTCCGGGATCAAAAAAGTATATTCATTCATTAAATCACTTTCCTCTCTGAATGTCCATATTCTTTCGTATCTGATATTCTTTGGGGTATTTTATTAGCAATAAGTCATAATGATCAAAATGAAGAGAAACAGACTCTTGAAACACATTGTACTGGTTTTTCTCTATTGACTTGAATTTCAGAATTTATTTATTAAATAAATATATTTTGAGATGTACGTCTATGTTTTCCAAATACTATTAAATAAATACTTACTATCTTAATGTAAATTCATCACTAACTGCTTAATATTCAAATTTTATTGTCCCACTTTTTGAATTTAAAATCTGGATCATATATAAGTTTTATCAATGATTTATTGATTTCTGTGTTTTCTTCCTGATGCATGTCTCCTGTTTTCCTGTTTCCAGGTGTAAAGTTTGTCCCCTGACCTTCTTTTCCAAGTCCGACATGCAAATTCACTCCAAAACGCACACAGAGGCGAAGGCCCACAAGTGCCCTCACTGCACCAAGACGTTTGCCAACGCCTCGTACCTGGCCCAGCATCTGCGCATCCACCTGGGCCTCAAGCCGTACCGCTGCTCCTACTGTGAAAGATGCTTCCGCCAGCTGTCCCACCTGCAGCAGCACACCAGGTCTGACCTCTGACACGAGGCTAGGGCTGCACAAAATAGCAAAGTAGAACGATTCCTGCTTTTAGCCGCTTTGCATCGTTCAAAGGAATGCAAGTGCTAGTGAACAACACTCAGCAGCTATAACGTAGCTTCCTCTGATAATATAAGTAGTCCTGGACTCGTTTTCTTTCCACCAGCTTTTCTTTTGAGCGACCTGGTTAAAATAAACATTGCTTTACGTGCTGTAACTCGCATGCCTCTAGGGAGCGGCTGCAGAGCACCAGTACAAATCTAGAACTCGACTGGAACTGGAACGACTGAAACCAAGGTTTAGTTTTTTTACCTCAATAATCCCGATCAAACTTAAGATCCAGGGAAACCCCTTTAGTTTATAAATTATGGACTACTTATTGTTGCTAAACAGGGGGAACCAGTATGTAGTTTCATATTTTTACCTTTTTGTCTTTCTTTTGATTTAGTTTTATTGTTTGTACTTCTAATTCATGTAAAGCACTTTGAACTGAAGAAGTTTATAAGGTAATAATTTTAGAGGGGTTGTAGTTATTTTGAATATACTGAGTTGGTGTTGATGCAACGTTCAAGAGCCAAAAAGTCATTTCAGATGTACAAAGGCTTAGGGTTATGTCGTTTTGCATTTTTCCAAAATTAAAATATAAAAAAGCCTTTTCTGGGTTGCCTCATCAATTCATATTTTATTTAGGTTGCTTTTATCTTCCTGTTTCACCTGTTTTTCTGTCTTTTGTGTTTCAGAATCCACACAGGTGACCGACCGTATAAATGCCTCCACCCAGGATGTGAGAAAGCTTTTACGCAACTCTCTAATTTGCAGGTAAACATGAGCCATTTTCAGACTCTCTGCCACATTACAACAACCAAAGTTAATTGTTTAGAAAATGACATGTAATGTGATCTTTGTGACCTTTTTGTTTTACTAAAGAACACAAAGAAGCCTCCTGAAACATCAGAAACATCTTCCGAACCACATTTTTTAAAAACATTTTTATTATATATAGATATATTATTAAGTATTGCTGGCAAAAGACTTCAGCTCCAATTTGAACTCAAAGTAAAGATTTTTATGCCGTTGGTCAGGAATTGTACACCTAACAAACCGGTGCCTTACAAAGAGAGTAAAAGCTCTCAGTGGCAGTTCTGATCCACCTATAATTCACCACAGTGACAAATTACAAAAAGTGTCATTTGAAATGCCAAAATTATGGCAGAATTTAGATGTTTAGAAAAAAGTACCCTGTAATTTATACTCCCATTCTGACCAACATCTTTCACCCAACAACTATGTCACTGTAACAACCAACTTTAAATCAAAGAAACTTAAATTGGTTGCATCTGTCTCAGTTTTTTTCAACGTAAGATTTTACAACAGTCAAAATAATTTTTCAGGAACACAGACTGGAAGTCTAGAAGTTCATTTCCCCCCAACTTCATATGGCTCATATCTGAAAATACACTGAAAGATACATGCCAAACTTTTAACTTTCCTCCCATAAAGTCACTTTTTTTTGTTGTGGTTCACTGTGATGATTAAAAGTAAAATCTCTCTTCAACTTTAACTTTAAACTGAAGCTTTGGGCCCGAAACCGACTAGTATGTGGAATTATTTGGAACAAAGATGATATACATGCTTTTAAAAACTCTGATATGTATGTTTAATCAGTATGAATGTGCTTGTATTTTTATGTGTGATATTCTTCTGTTTTCTGTTGTATTATGTCCTGTTTTCTGAAGCAGGTTGTTGTTGAAAATGAGATTTTGTTTTCAACTTACTCAGTTACATTAAAGTAAATTGTGGAGAAAGTATCTCCACAAGCTGATGACTAAAAAGAAAGTCAGGAATCTGTATCCTGGGGCTCTTTAAGTTCCTACAGTGGCTCAGTGGGGGGAAAAATGACCAGAAATCATTAAAATAAATGCTTTTTAAAAAGTCTAATCTTAGCAGTTTTTCCATGCATCTTTATGCAATATCTGAATGACACAAATGGTACAAGAAATGTGTTTTTGTTCGTTCAAAATTTAAAATACCAACAAGTTGTTTTCACTTCCAAACAACTTGTTGTCTTGCAGCTTTTTTAACATTTTATCAGATTGTATGTAGCTGAACAGAGGTCAAAACGGCTCTCGTGGTTATAATAATTGCTTACTAATAAACGGGGAAGTTAATTTTATGATAGATTTGTTGAACAAGCTGACTCATAAAACCCTTCTGTCTCCAGCTTGTCCTTAAGCACAAAGACTAACCTGAGACTTCATTTCTTAAAGTCTCACCAGAGGCAGCACAACAAGGACAAGCCCTTCAAATGCTCCAACTGTTTCCGTGCCTACTCAGACTCGGCCTCGCTGCAGATCCACCTCTCTGCACACGCCATCAAGAACGCCAAGGCCTACTGCTGCAGCATGTGCGGCCGGGCGTACACCTCAGTGAGTTCACAGAAACCTCTCTGTCCGTTTTACATGCAGGAGAAGCTGTGAGGGACTGTAAAGCACCGGGGAGTTCCCTTTAAAAAACTGTATGCAAACTCATAGAAGTTTGCATACAAAGAAGAGAACACAAGTTTTCAAGATTTAAGTTTGCAGAACTCAATAACTTGATCAGGAAGTTGTAATGATATAACTGCACATGTCTGTGCTGCAAAACCTCATTAGTTCTCCTTATTTGCAAACTCAAAATCTTGTAGTTTACATAAAATTAACTGAGCAACTTTGTGCAATTTTACTTAAGTTAACATAATAAATCTGAGTGTTTTCAGTACTTAAATGACACCCAATGCTTAATTTTTTAATTGGAAACTAAACATAAAAAAGAAAACACTTTCATGTATACAAATGTAAATTCCAAAAAAATAACTGATATGAGGTGCACTGCTCATGATGGTGAACTGACTGCATACATGAAGCTTTGGAGTTGCCATAAACATCTTAAAACAAATTTTTTTAAGACAAATAAAAATGGTTTATGTAGTTGCTGCTGCTGGTGGCACAATGCATTCTGGGATACCCTGCTGGCCAATGAAATACTTAACTTTTTGCCATTTACTCAACTTTAGTAGATGAACTTATCAAGCATTTTATGTTCAGTGGCTGACGGACCGTTCGGCTCCAAACAGATTCAGGAATCATTTGGCGAAGAGGTTCTGGTCTGACGAGTTTTTTTCTTCTTCTCTTTGTTGTTTATCGCACGGATTTTGTTCTTGCCATTGAGCTGGCTTCTCAGGACTTGCCTTATTCGTTGGAGGTATTTAGCTGTGGCTCCTTTCCTTGTGACCTCATCGAGGTTGCCATTTGCTTGTGGTATACCTAGGTACTTGTAGCTGTCCTCTATGTCTGCTATTGTTCCTTGTGGGAGTGAGACTCCTTCTGTGCGGATCACCTTCCCCCTCTTTGTGATCAGCCGACCACACTTCTCTAGTCCGAATGACATCCAATGTCCGTGCTGTAGATCCTGGTGGTGTGGATCAGTGAGTCGATGTCTCGCTCACTCTTGGCATACAGCTTGATGTCATCCATGTAGAGAAGGTGACTGATGTTGGCCCCATTTTTGAGTCGGTATCCGTAGCCAGTCTTGTTGATAATTTGGCTGAGGGGGTTCAGGCCTATGCAGAACAGTAGCGGGGACAGAGCATCTCCTTGGTATATGCCACATTTGATGGACACTTGTGCAAGTGGTTTGCAGTTGGCTCTATATATATATAAAAAAAAAATATTCCCTTCTCACCCACCGCGGGTGGTTCTTATCCTCTGAGCTCGGGTCCTCTACCAGAGGCCTGGGAGCTTGAGGGTTCTGCGCAGTATCTTGGCTGTGCCAAGGACTGCACATTTCTGGACTGAGATGTCTGATGTTGTTCCTGGGATCTGTTGTAGCCACTGCTCCAGTTTGGGGGTTACTGCCCCGAGGGCCCCGATGACCACAGGCACCACTGTGGTCTTCACCTTCCAGGCCCTCTCCAGTTCTTCCCTGAGGCCCTGGTATTTCTCCAGTTTCTCGTGCTCCTTTTTCCTGATGTTGCAATCACTTGGTATTGCTACATCTACCACAACGGCTTTCCTCTGTTGTTTATCCACTACGACAATGTCTGGTTGGTTAGCCATTACCATTCTGTCTGTCTGGATCTGGAAGTCCCACAGGATCTTAGCTCTGGCTATATATATATATATATATATATATATATATATATATATATATATATATATATATATATTCATTTAATGCTTCATGTTTTGAAACAGTGCACAATAACTTAGAAATGTATTTGGTATGTTGCATTTAAAACCTGTGTATCATATTTGGAGCTTCGGGTATTTTGGTGCTTTTTGTGATATTTTTTATAAAGTAATCTAAGTTCAGCCACAATAAAAAGCAGCTCTAAAACCACTGTGTTTTTCAGTGTACATTTAGTTTTCTTCTTCTCTCCAGGAGACGTACCTCATGAAGCACATGCCGAAACACGCGATGGTGGAGCACGTCATGTCCCATCATTCCCCTCAGAATAGGACAGGTTCTCCCAATATTCCCATTCGGATCTCCCTCATCTGAGCTCCACTGCCGTCGTCGTTCCTCCCACCACAGACTCCTACTGCCTGACGGACCGCTCGGCTCCAAATGGAGGCAGGAATCATTTGGCGAAGAGGTTCTCGTCTGACGAGTTTCTCCTTCTTCTCTTTGTTGCTAAAGAGGAAGTATTAACGGGATCATCCAAAGATGATTTCAGCACTTTCAGGCCTGACACTGACGGGCCAGATATTTGTTTGTTTTTTTTTGTTTTTTTTTTTTTATGGGACTTAAACAAGTATTGCTCCAGGCAGCTACATAGAGAATCTTTTTAAGTTTTGTGTTATACATATAACGTTGTTTTTTATAAACCGCTTTAATTAGCTCCCCTTATGTCATATATTATTAGTCTTCCATTATCTACAGATGCAGGCAATATTGCTGACAACCCTGGTGTGTAAAAAACGTCTAATTTACCGCATTTACTCAGTAAAATCTGTATTTATACAGACTTTTAATACGGATTTTACCGTTTTCATACGGTACATTCCTTGCAACCACAGCTGTCGGTATTTTACTGTAAACTATAAACTTTTTTTACAGTCTGGTTTGTAAAATGGCTTAGTTTTATTTTTTATTACACTGCCACAGTTTAACTTAAAATGAACGGAAAATCCAATAATTAAACGAGTATAAAAAAATTAATTTATGTTATGAAGTCATAAAATTATATCAAAAGTGATTTTTTTTTTTTTTTTTACCTCTTTGCAATAATATATGAGGCTTTTATTTTAGGAAGGTGGTGATATTAAAAATGATCTAAACTGAAACATAAGATGCTTTTTCAGTAAATCCAAACTTGAAAAATAGATTTATTATCACGTTACAATTTTCTGGCTTCTTTGGACGTGCAGCTCTGGAAAAAAATTAAGGCACCACTTAAAATGATCAGTTTCTCTGATTTTACTTTTTGTAGGAATATGTTTCAGTCAAACATATTCTTTTCTTGTTCTTTTGTTCTATGAACTACTGACAACATGTCTGAAATTCAAAGCACAAATTTAGGATTTATTTGCAGAAAATGAGAAGTGGTCAAAATAACAAAAGGTGCTTTCTGACCTCAAATAATGCAAAGAAAACAAGTTGACGTTCATTTAGGAACATTAATACGATTGATTTAACTCAGGAAGAGTTCAGAAAACAATGTCTGGTGGAATAACCAGGAGGTTTTCAATGGGGTTCAGTGCTGTGGGCTCTTAGTTTTTGTTCCAGACCTGTAAATCTGATTTTATGCCAGAGAAAAGCCTCATCAGACCTACCATCACAAACACTACTGGGACTTTAACTGGAAATATCTGCTTTGGTCAGATGAAAGTAAAATTAAGCCTGAAACAAAGGAAAAACATTTGTAAATTTGCCTCATTCCCAAAGTTAAGCATAGTGGTGGATCTGTGATCATGTAGGGAAGAACTTGGAGTCTGCAGGATCCAGATGTCATAAATGGAAAACGAGATTATTTTCCTGATTGGTAAATGTTCTCCAATTAAGGGTTGGATTTGTATTACATTTTCAAAACAGAAAGATTAATTTAAAGGTTATTTTACACGTCTCTTAGGTGGATTGTCAACATATTTGTCTGTAAGTTAACATAAAAGTGTAGGTTTGTGTATTCATGCGTGTTTTTAACACTAAGGCATTTGATGTGTCAGCAGCTTCAGTTCCAGTGATTTCTTCGCCTTCTTGCCAAACTTAGAATCAGACGGAGAGGTTTGGCGAAACTTCACCGACAGTCACCTGAAGAAAATCTAGGTTGAGGGAACTGTTGAGTTTTTCACATCACTGCAAAATGGACCAGAAAAAGCTGAAGTATTCAGAGGGTGAAGGCAAAACTCCTCAATCTGTTTCCCTTTGACAAAAATAGGGGTTATTTTTTTTTGGTTGTTTTGAGAAATAGATGTTATTCACTTAAAGAAGTCACGTTATTTAGCCTTTTTAGTTGGCGTTCTCTTCATGATATCCTTGTCCTCTCTTGATGAAGATACTACAAAAAGTTATCCAAAAAAAAAAACAAATTGGATTTTATTTGTGGATCATATTTCGGCAGCAAGGCATTTGAAAGTGCTTTACGTAATAAAAACACAAAAATCAACTGAAACATCAAATTTTTCCAGGTGCCATCATTACTCATCAGATATGTTTGGGAGCAAAAGGCAACTCTAAACAGGTGGGTGTTTAGATTTAAAGTTACTCTGGGTTTCAGCTGTTTTGCAGTTTTTTGGAAGTTCATTCCAGATTTGTGGTGCATAGAAGCTGGATTTGGTTCTGCAGAGCAGACCAGAACCAGAAGACCTGAGAGATCTGGAAGGTTGATACTACAGCACAGTACTGTACTGTGTGTGACAAGTCGACATGAAGTTACTTCAATTTTTCTGCCTTTTCTTTGTACTTGTCTTAACTGTGAAAGGCCTGTGTGACACGGCTGCTCATCTTTTTCTTTATTCCAGGATCATTTCAAACACCATGCATCAGAAATATAACTTTGATTAAACAAGTTCAAGGAACAAAACCCTTATTAATCCATTTTAAATTATTACATTTCATTTTCTCAGACCCAAAGTCTTGTTCTCTGAACTCATGTTATGACCAAGAATTATGACCAAGAATCTGAGACATAAGATAAATAAAGAGATCACAAACATGTTTTCCTCTCCACAAGTTAGTTTTTTTGTTTAATTAGTGACTAATGTGGAAACAAAATGAACATAAAAGAACCCATGGATGTATTTAATATACAAGTTAAACATCATTACGAGGATCTTAGTCAATTTACAGCTGCAGTCTGAGGTGGGCACATCAAACATGACGTTTTCCATGTACTTATAAAAGTATACTTTATTTTACAAGTGTTTAAGGCCTTAACTTTGTGTACAACAGCTGAGTTAATTTGTAACCTACTTAACATTCATCTTTTATGTCGGAGCATGAGAAATTCTGTAAATAAACTACTAACTGTCAAAGCGATTGTAATAAAAGTGTTTTTATTGATGATATCTTATTCTGTTGTCAGATACAAACAGACGTTTATTTACACTCAGGAAGTGTTTTGATTGCACAACAAAGAACTTCTGAAAATTTTAGACACAATTCTTGAAATCTGTGTTAAAATTATACATGGAGGACAAAATAAATGTGCACGCGCATTAATATTTGGTTATGTTTCATAGCCGTCACAAAGTTGCTGCTGTTTTTCTTGTTGAACACTCTGTGACAGAGTTGGAAGAACTTGTTAAAATTGATTCGTTTTCCTTTTCAGTCCAAAAATATTCAGCAAGTTTGAAGTCAGATCCAGTCTAGAAGCTTAATATCATCCTGCTTTATTTGGGCCAAAATCAATTTGGAGATTTGGGTTTGGGGCAAGTATTCAGTGAAACGCTCAAACTGTGTCAGAGTTTCAGATTTCTAACTGGCTGTTTTCTGATGTGGGGAAATTGTTTGGGATGTTAAAACCAGGAACTAGTTAAAAATGAACTTATTGTAAATCTACATAAAAAGAACAATGAAGAGTGAACTGATGGCTTTTGGAGAAATGTTTTCAGCTGGACAAAGAATGAGATGCTTTGTTTAAAACAAACCCCTAATGACCAGCTGTAAGGCATGGTCTGACTTGCTGCCTATGCTACAGAGGCAATGCGCTAACTTCACTTTGAATCAACACCTGGACGGTTGGAACTTGGTAACAACAGAATAAGGAACCCAAATGCACATTAAAACTCTTTATGGATGGAATAAATCTGATTTTCCCTCAAGCTTATTGAAAAATATATAGAGCTTGTCTAAAACGCAGGTTCAAACAACCAATTTTAATGAGCTACTTCAGTAAGAGGAGTGGTCAAACCACCAGCCACACATAAGACTGGCCTTTTTAATGCTGGTTAATTAGAAAACGTAGGTGGGGATTTAAATGTATATATTTGAGTTATTTAAAACCTGAACAAATTAGAAAAATGAGTCAAGATTTAAATTAGATCTTGTATTCAAAATAATTGTTTTCAAATTCATTAACTGTCCGATCATTCCACCTCAGGAAAAGAAAAGATCAAAAAATCCTGAAAAAATGTAAAGTTCATACAACATTCATGTTGACAGGGATCAAAACCTTCCAGTAATCAACCTAAGCCTTCTCCTCCCAGTCCAGGTCAACCAGTGACATCTTACCGCTTCTTTTTTCATCAGACATCTGCTCAGAAGGGAGAAGGTATCAGAATCGGACCCACCCGTGGTATTGGGTTACCGGTGTCCCTCACCTTTCTGTTAAATAGATGGGGGATAACGTTTCAGTCTCCTAATCCCTTAACCATCACCCTCGAAACACTTTTATGCAAGTCAAGTGGAAGCAGTAAGAATTGGTTCCTGAAGTAGAAAACCAACAGATTTACCTTCATAAGTGGAGTGTTACAGCTTGATGATGGATGATGAAGATTATAGTCTGGAAATCTACTTCTACAGAAAGAGAACCAAGAAACCATAGCTTTGATCACCATATTGATATCTAACAGAAACATCATCACTTAAACTAAACAGTCCTAGTTTTTATTAGCTGAGAGGTGAGTGACTGTACATTTGCTTCTGCTTACATCTGTTAGTCTTGTCGAACTGTGATTAGACGAGAAAGGCTCGTCCAGCTTGAATTTGACCTCGGTCATTTTGAAGGCGCTCTGAGATCCTCCTCACGGTTCAAATTGAATCGTTCTCTTAGAAACCGTGAGAAGCATCACATCAGACAAAATACATGCCCTGCTAAAATGACTTGAATTCAGTTGATCTCATCGGCACTTTGGTGAAAACATACCCTTTTCAACAAAATGCCACTTTTCTGTTCTCTGAACTGAAGAACGATTTCAACCAAATAGCACAATTTCACAAAAAAAAAAAAAAAAACAACAAAATAAATAAAAGAAACAAAGCCAACACATGAGCAACAGAGGTCTAATAATAAAAATGTATTCCATAGATCAGTGGTCCGCAACCTGTTTATTACCGTGGATATGTAAAATATATTCAAAATAGTCTTGGCCCTTTCATCGCAGCCTGTGGGGTTTTTCCCTGTCAGCTTGTTCAATGTGACCGGGAGCCAATCAGAAAGCGCGGTGACGTAAGCGCTGAGGGGAATTCCGAACGGTTGGCCTGGCTACTGAGAGTCCGGCGGCCATCGGAGGTTATGTGTGGAAATGTTCGTCACTATCGGTAAAAGTCACTGTTACACATGTTTATTCAGTTAAATGTTAACTATGAACGTACAGAACTCGCCTCCAAATCATACAGCAAATAGAGCGGCGGCTGCCGCCATGTTTTATCCGACGACTTTTCTTTTTGTTTCGTCTTTTATCGCTTCAAATGATCCACAAACTATCACTGCTGCTCCTACGTCCTGTCTGATTGTTCTGAATTCACTGTGGTATGTTGATGGTTTCACTGGGGGGGAATGGCCGACAATCTTTAAATCGTGTGAACTAAAACTCACAGTCGCTATGGGAACGTTTACACATCCCTTCAAAATAAGATACAGATAAGATACAGATGCAAAAAACAAAAACAAACATTTTACTCTAACTCACGATAAGGACCAATGGGAGGCCTGAGCTTGTTTCTCCCATCTGGGAGCGATGAGAGACAAAGCCTGATGCACAGGCTGCCTGGTGTCTACGTGGAGAATGTTGATTGTTCTGTAGCGGGTATCCCGCCACTCCCCCTGGAATCACTTGGCTCCTCTGCATCGCTCGAAAACATCCTTGTAGGTGCATCAACTCACCCATGCAACACACAAGACACAGGAGACACCACCAACATCAACCGGCAACCACACTGCCCTGCTCTGCCCGAACACTCAGGAGGGAGAAGGGAGGAGGCTCCGCCTTTATTACTTAGCGTAACCTTCCGCTTAACAAAATAGTGCCAACATAAACACAGTAGTGGCAAACATCATAGTCAACACCCCCACTTGATGGTGCCACACATTCTAACCACAACGCTATTTTCCAAACATGTAAGAACAAAATTTTTCAATTTTGCCTTTTGTGGCAGACTTTGTGAACACATCTGCAACCATGTTTTCTGTTGGACAATAAACCAAAATAACTTTTCCATGTGAAACATTTGACCTTATGAAGTGGTATTTATTGTCCACGTGCTTGCTCCTCTGGCGATACACAGGGTTCTTTGCAAGGCGTATTGACCCTTGGTTATCTTCAAACACCTTTGCTGTGGTCCATGTCCCGTAGTAGTTGGGATAGGTAGAGCGCTTCTTGGATGGTAGCTGCCAATGCTACATACTCAGCCTCACATGTCGACAGTGAAACTGTTTGCTGTTTCTTTGTTTTCCATGAAACAATATCTCCACTTGGACTTAGGCTGAAGCAATAGCCTGTAGTGCTCTTCCTGTCAAGAACATCGTTGGCCCAATCGGCATCAGAGTATCCTATCAACTCTAATTTAGTGTTACACTTGTTATAACACAATTCATAGTCCTTAGTCCCTTGTAAGTACCTGTACACATGTTTCAAAGCTGTCAGGTGTTTTTCTCTGGGATCAGACATATGTTGTGACAGTCTGCTCACAATCCAGCTTATATCAGGTCTAGTACAGGTCATGATGTAGATGAGGCTGCCCAGCATTTCCCTGTATTTTCTCTGATCAGTTTGTTCTCCTTCTGGAACTAGATCACATTTGATTTCACTAGGTGTGGCTCTGGGTTTACACTCTGCCATACCAAACCTTTCCAGTATCTTCTCAATGTATCTGGACTGGTTCATTTTGATGAGACCTTCTTTTTGTGTGAAATCAATCCCGATGAAATGTGCGAGATTGCCAAGATCTTTCATTTTAAACATACTTTTCAGTTTATCTTTGATCTCTTTTAGACACATCTCATTGCTTGCAGCCACAACTATATTATCAACCCACACTAACAAAATCACTTTTCCTCTGTCAGAAAAATTTGTGTAGATACAATGGTCAGCTTGACTCTGTACAAACTTATTCGACATCAAGAACTCATGAAGCATCATATTCCAGTTCCTCCCAGATTGTTTGAGTCCATAGATAGATTTGTTCAACTTACACACAAGTTTTTCACCACTCTCTGATTTAACCTGGAAACCTTCAGGTTGGTCCATGTATATTTCATGGTCAATGGGTGCATGTAAGTATGCGGCCTTAACGTCCATCTGGTTCAGTGTAAGGTCATGTTGTGCAGCTAGTTGCATCAACACACGCAGTGACGTCACTTTTGCAGTTGGAGAAAATGTCTCTGAATAGTCAAGTCCTTCTACCTGGCTGTATCCCTTTGCTACATACCTAGCTTTATATGTCTCATTTCCTTTATCATCCTCCTTGAGAGCATATACCCACCTTCCCCCACTGTCGGTCTACCCTCTGGTAATGGTACAAGTGAGAAGGTGTTGTTCTCTTTAAATGAGATCATCTCATCTTTCATTGCCTTTTTCCACATTTCAGATTTTGGTGATGTTAAAGCCTCTCTATAGGTCTGTGGTAGCCCAACTGTAGCTCTGTAACAATAGTCAATGGACAAGTCAATGTTCTGCACTGCACATTCATAGTCCTCCAAGTATTTAGGTTTCTTTCTGACTCTACCTGTGGTACGTGGAGTCTGTGAGTCAGTAGTTGGACCTGTGTCCATTTTTGAGTCTTTCTCAATGTCTGTGACTGCCTATCCTGTTTCTTCATTCAGTGGTTGACTAGCTTGACTAGGTGTAACCACCCACTCTACGTAGTGTTCCTCTGGCTGGTCCCAGTCAGTCTGTGTCTGCCTCTCAGTCGTCCTCTTTTCTATGAAATGGATCAGTCTGTGTTTCTGAACCTTGTTTGTCTCTGGAAAATAAACCAAATAAGCAGGCGAATGACAATCAAAACCGACAAAAATTTCTGTTTTGCCCTTAGAATCAAGTTTCTTTCTGTTTTGTTCATACACCATACATTTGGAACCAAACTTTTTCATTTTTGACAGATCTGGCCTCTTTCATGTAAAAGGAAATAAGGTGTTTCCCCTGTTCTCTTACAGTAACACCTGTTCCTTATGACTGTAGCTGTCCTGGCTGCGTAAGGCCAAAGCTCTTTGGGTAAACCTGACTCAATCAGCATGCATCGGAGCATCTCAAATAATGTGCGCCAATTTCTCTCTGCGGTCCCATTTTGATGGGGAGAGTAAGGTGCTGACCTCTCATGCTTTATAGCATTGTTCCTCAACAAAGACTGGTACTCCTCTGACACAAACGTTCCTTCTTCACCAGTGGTACTATGCTTGTCCTCAGCATTAACAGTTCGTTGTCCTGTGTCTGTAACGGCGGCCATCTTGTTGCTGTTTTGCGAATTGTTCCCTCTGCGCTTTTTCTTCTTTGTTCCAGCAGTCTTTTGCCTTATGCCCTATTTTCTCACAAATAAAGCATTCACCGTTGAAATACTTCTTCTCTTTAATCTTAGGTTTAGACGCCTTGTAATCTGCAGCCATTACTTCGTCTGTTCGGGGCCTGTTACGGTAGCGCAGTGAGCATTCAAAGCTCCTCAGCCTCGCCTTGAACCCGTTGAAACTCAGCGTTTCCCTTGTCTGAGTGACATGCACCGAAAATGGGTTGTAATCATCCGTGAGATCTTTTAACACCATCGCCGTCAGGAGTGCATCACTTAGAGTCTCTTTAGCTCTGTTTAATGCGGCCACTATCTTTTCAACACGGCCGAGATAGTCTGCTAAAGCTTCCCCGTCAGCCATTAGCACATTGGTTAGCTCCGTGTGACAATTCGCGGTTTTTCTTCTGACTCAAAATGGCGTCTCAATATTTCTAGGCTTTTCTTGCCGTCATCTGGCGCTTCATAGAGGATTAGCATTAGCGTCTTGTCGTCCAAACAACCACACAGTTCGGCATACGCTAGTTCGTTTTTCCTACCGATCTCCGTAGCGTCTTGTACTTCAGCTCCCGTTGTGAGCTCCATTCCCAGGATAGCATCTTTTAGACCGATGGTTTTTAAGTATGCTAAAAACCTTGCTTCCCAGATGTGGTAGCGGCTTCGTCTCCGTCAATCTCTGCAAGCCCCTTCCGCGTACTGCCATACTCGGAACTTGCCTGGGCCCATAACCTGTTGATTGTTCTGTAGCAGGTATCCCGCCACTCCCCCTGGAATCACTTGGCTCCTCTGCACCGCTCGAAAACATCCTTGTAGGTGCATCAACTCACCCATGCAACACACAAAACACAGGAGACACCACCAACATCAACCGGCAACCACACTGCCCTGCTCTGCCCGAACACTCGGGAGGGAGAAGGGAGGAGGCTCCGCCTTTGTTACTTAGCGTAACCTTCCGCTTAACAAAATAGTGCCAACATAAACACAGTAGTGGCAAACATCATATTCAACAGAGAAGAAGTTTGAAGCTAGGTTGCCTCATTAACATCCGGTCACCACGTCATCACTTTCCGGTCCAGGATAAATCCATCCTCCTGTTGCTCTGGGCCTTTTACCTTTGCAAAGAAACTTTCCAAAGAATTTGATCTGTTTCTGACTCGCAGCACAACGTAACCGAGAGAATCCGGTTAAAGGATTTTCAAAATAAAAAATCCTCCGGACTCAAATAATATATAAAACGGAAATATTTAATTATTTCTTGCGGTCCGCGGCCCGATATCGGTCCGCGGCCCGGGGGTTGGGGACCACTGCAGTAAATGAGTAATTGACCAGGTTTGTGTGGTGGGACCGGTGTGGTTCAATAGAACTATTTTTAAGACAAAATTGTAATAATTTATCCCCAAAAAGTTTTCAAGGCACACAGGCCGCTACATATGAGGCTTGAGACAATCTCACTAATTTCAATAATTTTATTTATTACATCAGTCATGCTAATCAATAATACATTAAGTTAAAACCACTCACATTAAATAACAGTGACGGCTCAAGTCAAGGGTGGCAGTGCAGTTCAGGGTAGTGACCTAAATAAAAACACCAAAACTAAAGAAAATTGTGCAACAAATCAAGAGTACCACCACCCGGAAAGTCCACCACCAACACCACGAACTGGCCTTTCCTGTCAAGATAAAAGACATTCAAATTACATGAGTCATTTCATAATTGTCGTTTAGTCAACAATCAATCAGCAGCAATTGTCAATTAAGATCCGTCCTGGGATGCCACGCCACAGACGCCACTCAAGAGCGGCAGCAGAGTCCGTCCAAGCTGGTCGCCAGTCCGAACCAGCCAAGCTGGACAAGGGGCAGGACTCAGGTTCACGCTGACCACGACGGCTGGCAGAAAGCCAGCAACCAGAGCGACAGATGGACTGCCGACGGACAACCAAAATAACAGCGGACCATCAACCAGGAACCACAGGGCAACAGGCAAACGGCCGGCCAAGGACAAACAGCAGCGTCTATAGCAAACATAAGTGTTAAACATCAAATCTAAAAGCATGCAGGTAATGAGCTTTTCACTTACCACAAGCTCTATGTGTAGTGCCTCTGGCTGGGAGGAGGATCAGGCAATTTACACAGGCCACCTAGGTGTACAGTTAAAGCTAAGCGAAGGCTAGGCTAACAAACAGCAAGTATAGGAGAATCCTCTTACCAGAAGAAGGAGCGATCAACGTGCATCAGTCAAGCACACCTTAGTGTCAGACTGGCGCTGCACAGCAACAGAGGTCTAAACCGGAAACACATGTTGACCAGAGGGCCCCTTATATACAAACAGCGCCACCACCAATTAAATGCCAGCACTTGTGTGGTGCGTTCAAAACCTCCAGGGCATACTGCCACATTCGTTTAGTCACCAATCTTTCATAAATATAGATTTTTTACCACATAGTATGTGCAAAAAAGATATAATAATACAGGCAACTGTGTGGACAGCACAATTCTACGTAATTCTTTCTTCAGATGTCCTAAATTGTCATTTTGACTTCTTAAATTGTCATGACGGATGTGTCCCTTAAATGACGGATCCAGTGTCGTAATTTGAGATTTCTTGAAAGGAATTTTGACTGTAATTGAAGACATCTTGAATTATTATTCTTACTAGTCAGAATGTAAATTTAAATGACCATTCCAGATAGTCAGTGTAGTTGTGTCCAGTCAAGATGCATTTCTATTTTTCTAGAATGGAATTACGGACAGTGAGAGGAAACCGAATTTATGCTGAAACGGCTTGCCATACTCCATTATCATCCACGTTTATTTCCTTAAACATTGGCCGCTGTTACTTTACGGTTGTTGGGGAAAACGCTGAGCAAACTCTTTTATTCCTGAGCATGCGGGACTCTTTCTGGTCGTCTGCAGTTTACTCTGGAGATCACATGCAAGTCAGCATAACTGCCTAACCGCCTCAATTATTGTGTAATCGGATTGGAAAATATCCAATCCGATTAGACAATATACCGGGATTGGGTCATTCGGGCTGCAGTGTGAACTGGCCTAAAGTCACTCAAGCTAACCATCCTGAAGTGGCAACGTTATGGATTTAAGGGAAAACATCGGTGACATTTTATTTGAAGGTCTGCATAATGACCCTGGCATAAACATGAAGGAGCCTTCAAGACAGATCAGGAAATAATGACACTTTCAGCGCAACATTGGCACTTTTAATGGGTTTTTAATGCAAATTTTAGTCCGGCTTTGACCGAACAGTCATAAACATGTTCATAACCAGATGTCAGTTTTATGCAGATTCTTTCAAACAAAGTGTCGCCAAAACATCCATCTTTTTCTCATTATTCTCACATTCCACAATTATAATCTAATCTGGGTAATCTAACAGTTTTACATCTTCCTGTTCATTGTTTACAAGTCAAATAGTTGATGTCAATAATAATAATAATAATAATTCCGTATAAGAATTTTATGATGAAGTTTGATTAGAGACATTTCGCTTTCATTAAGTTCCTGATGGATGTGAAACACCCAGTGGAGCAGAAGCGACGATCCTCCTGACTCACCTGGTTGACCAAAGAGAAAACCTGCTCCCTTCACGTTGAAATGGAAAAACGCGTTTCTGAGGAACGAACCACGAAAATCCATCGTTTCTGTTCCCTCCCTGCCCAACAACAAAACAAAGTCAAATGACTTTCTGACAGCCTGCAGGGTGTTGGTCATTATCTGATGCTTTCAGGTGCGGTGATACTTTAGGAATTTTTAAAATCTTTTTTAAGGCTACAGTGTTTTATAAATAGCCTAGAACAAATATTGAACTAGTACATTTACATTCATTATTATTATTATACATTTTGATATAACACACTATATATATATATATATATATATATATATATATATATCAATATTATTATAATGTGATATATTCTATATCAAATTACTGTATAATAATAATACATTCATAATTTTATTATTATTATCATTGTCATTATTTTTGAAAATAAAGAAAACAATGCATATTAATCAACATGAATTGCGTAAATGGGGCGCTGGCTGTGTGAAGCCAACCCCCTTTTCAAAGTAAAGGCCTTCTTGAAAAGGGAGTGACATGCAAATTACTATATTGTACAGACAACCTTGTGCAAACACATACGGTGGAGCCATATGCGCCGCGGGGTTTAACACAAAAGACACCTCCAGGTAGGCTAAATATTTATTACAATGTTGTGTAGGACTGAATCTTGGAGTTTATTTTCTATTATTATTATTATAATCTGTCCATCTTCTGTCTAAACTTTAGCGCAAAATTAAAAGTTATTAATCAGAAAAATCGATCAATAGGAAACAAACTTGTGTGTGTCATTTTGTCCCTGTCAGAAAAAGTTTCAGTCAAGACGTGCAGAAACGACGCGTCGCAAAATCCCCGACTGATTTTTCTTTATTTACATTTTGGTCAGACTCTGACGATGTTCACTGGGTTTCAAATACATTTCACAGGAATCTGGAAATTGTGGAATACCGAATAAATCTTTGCAGTTTTATTAAGAATAAATGAGTCAAAATCTGCATTTTGACTCATTTATTGTTTGAAAAATGGAGCCGCAGCCTGCAGGGTGTTGACGCGAAGACTGCATAGTATGCAGTCTTCTCGTCTGATTCCCAGTTTGATTCAAGTCTGAACATGACTTGTTTTTGACATACAGCGATGCCTGAATCCGGATTATATAGCAGATGGTTTTTAATGTTTATTCCCACTTTCTGCCCACCAAAAGCAGGAAAGATACAGGCGCACTTACATAGACTGGCTTAGATGAAGATAATGAAAATATAAGTAGCAAGAAAAGACACTAAATAGAAAAGCCGACAGTGACACATTTAAAGGGAATTTGGGTGATTTTCCACGCAATTATGGCAAGAGCCTTTAATTCTGCAGGCAAAATCTACTGTTTCTATTTAGAACAGCAGTGGATGTTTACATTTTGTATGCAGAATTCAAATAACTTGCCATACTTCTCTGCAAAATCATTAATCTATTTGTTTTTCTTTTGAAGATAATGTTACAAAAGCTACTCAATCAGAAAAAAAAACTATTTTGAAGATGATTGATGTTTTTTTCTCTGGTTGAGCAGTTATTGCAACATCCTCATAAAAAAAAAGATCAAGCAACAATGACTAGCCTATTTATACTTCTCTGATTTTGCAGAGAAGTATGGAAAGTTATTTTAATTTTGCACACAAAATTAAAATATGTTGCTTTTATTTTGGAAATGTTGGTTTGTCCAGCCTTTTGAGTATTTGTTAACTACATCTTGCAATTTACAACATTGAAAGGTGCTTTTATAAACTGACTATCTGCTGTGCAAGTGTGCCAAAGTGACAAGCTTTACACAGTCAGACCAAAGATATTCAAAGTGTGCAGAACATCTTCACATTAATTTCCATATTATTGTAGACCTCTGTACAGAGCAATTCCTTTTTGGACAGATGCTACACATGCATTAATTCCTCACGTCTTTGCAGCTTTTGTTATTATTTCTCATGATTTTGATTTGAAGGATGGCAGCTTGGTGCCAGACTGTTTCAGCGATATGAAGCATGTTTTACTGTTCCACCTTTCACAACCAAGTTCAAAACCAGCCATGGTTTCAGCAGGACTAAAAATGGTGCTCTATATGTCGTTTGTGGTTTGTTGAAGATCTACACGCTTTCAGATCAGACACGATCTTTACTCTTCGCTCAGACCGGTACCGTTTTAAAACGACAACTTCATCTATGCTCAGCTCTATAGGGGAAGCTGTGAAAAACGAACCATTTCATTTTTCATCTTGTTTGTGATTCAACCCTGCTCATGGAAATAGATATCACAAATTAAATACAATCGAATATTTTAAACTATTTATTAACAAGTCTTCCTATATGAATTGACACAACTGTTAACCTTACTAGAAAAACTGAAAGCTATTTTTAGAAGAAAGCCCCCATTTCTTTTTTTTTACCCAACGATTTACGGATGGATAAGTGATAGCATCATGCAGTGGGATGAAATCAGAACTAAATTTAGCTGGAACTAACGAAACTTCAAACTGACGTTCATTGAGGCTCTGCAGGAAGCAACTTCAGCTATCTTGCAGCATTGCTACAAAGTTCTGTAAAAATGACAGCTCTGTTATCAAGATCGTTAGTTATATTGAACTAAAGATCTTGTTCAGACATGGAAGGAAAAAGATTCATGCATTTTTGATGAAACTAAACGGCTTAGCACCTCGTGGTTTGTACTAACGTCTCATCCTGTTGGTTTTATATGTTTCCTTGAATTCCTAAATAGACTTATTGGCCTTATTTCCCCAAATACTTATTTCTTACACTTGTCCCCACCATGGGGCTGCATCATCCAAATCTTCATTCCTTTACCGCACTGAGACATTATCTTACTGTTAATTCTTCTAATTTAAAGTTTGAGGAGTTCTGTCCAATCTCAGGTATTTTGACAATCAATGCAACCATGCATAAAGTACATAAATGTGATGCATGAATTTGAATAATTCTGTCATTATTATATACTGAAGAGGACACAGGAAAAAATAAAAAAGACTATTTGCATCAGGTTATTTGCACATCCAAAGTCAAACGTGAGCCGCATTTAGCTTTGACTGCTGTCTTCTACTATTTTAGTCAGACATCGCAAATAAGCGAGTGGAGCGAGTTTTAGATTTTGAATCTAAATGTGAGTTTGTGGAAGATAAACTTACAGTATTAAGTTGTGTTGACATTTTATTCATTTTGTGAAACCCCCAAGAGTTTGATAAACTAGAGTTTTTATGTTAAAATTTAAAAAAACAAAGAAGAAAAAGACAGGAGCGGAAACTATTTCCCAGAATGCTTAGAGTTTGGTAAACTCACAATGAAAACATTTAGTCTCTTGTAAATCAACTTCTTGAACGTTAATTTCCGAGTTAAAAACAAGACAATTTTCTTGTTGATTTAAATGACATTTTCAAGGTGGACTTTAATTTTCAAGTTAAACCACCTTCAGATGTTTTACACTGCACAATTTCTGCAGTATTCATTTCAATGAGCATTTTGTCTTTCAATGTCGGGTTGCTTAGAAAAGAACCCGAAGTAAAACATTTGGTTAAATCTACAATCTATAGTTAGTTCGGTTGCGTCACTGCATTACCCATGATGCACTTCTCCTTCTGAAGTTTTCCTAGAACCTTTCTATCTTTCCATGAATTGAGTTGTCCTTTTTTAATTAAATCCTTTTAAAGACAACCATGCAAAGCACTGACTCAACCACCCAAACCACTCAATGTAAACATTGTCTTGTTTCACAACAGCTACGATTTCTTCCACTGTTTTTTTTCTTCTTGTTGTGCAACCTGAAAATATCCTAACAGCTTAAATGGGATTTTCCCTCTTTTAAACGTATAAATCGGAAACTTTAATTGATAAAAATGTGTTGGTATTATTATTCATTATTAATATTAAATTAATCATATTTGTGAATCCAGGATAAATGTCTTAGTTACCTTTTTTGTTAGAAATATTGAATGAACTTCAGCCCTCACAGAATATTTCTCTTCCAGTATTTTGGTGCCATAATCCACGGTTGCCATCACCTTCAGCCTTTTTCCTTTGGTGAAGTCAGCAAACAACCAACAATGTGGGTATATGTCTCTCTGTCATTATCTACCTTAAAATATATGACCAAAGTTTACTGATACCAGTTAAAGTGCCACTGCAACACAATCAGACAATCAAATCCAGACGATAGACTCCCAGTTAAGAGCCATGATTTAACCACCTATCCTAACTTAACCAGCTGAGTTTCTGCAGCATTTTGTCTTTTTCCCTTAAACAGATGGATTTTAAAAATTAAAAAAGTAATTTGTTACATCAACAGACGTGTGCAAACTTTTTATAGCCACTGTTTATTTCTTTTTTGGGGGTTTTGACACTGTCTGGGGCTTTGACGTCTTTTCTCGCCACAGGGGCCTTGAGAGGTCAAAGACAATTTTGAAATTCCTGTTTTTTTTCTCGATTGCAACGTCCATCATGTTCTTTGCACCTACATCAGTTCGGTGAGTTATTAAATAATTAAAATGGTGTTAAGAGACCTGTTGGAACATGTTCTCATCTTAACCTGTCTTTAAGTTATCTTGTGTTATGTGTTCATGTTTACTGATTTTACTTTGTAAGGTACAGCTTTATGTTCTATATCCTGTCATTCTGTTTATGTGCATGTTGTACTGTTGTTGTCCACTGGGGCAGTGAGAGCGAGATTTTTATATATATGTAGCACTGTTCTAAAAAGAATTAGACGAAGAAAAGTTTTCTCTGTGCCTGACCGTTCCACAAATAAAAGAACACAGCTATCTAAGAAAAGAAGTGTGGTTCATTGTGATGATGAGTGCAGATCAAGAAAACACAAACGCAGCAGGTTATGGGCCCAGACACCGCACGGGAAGACCATGGGACAGACTAGTTTTCAACGGAGACGAAAACAACTACTAGCTTTGGGAGGTAAAGTTCCTAGCTTACTTAAGAACGCTGGGCTTAAAAGACACCATCCTTTCTACCGCGGACCCGGACGAAGAGAAAAACGCGGAATGTTACGCGGAACTAATCCAGGTCCTCGATGATAAGAGCCTGTCGTTGGTGATGAGAGATGCCGCCGACGATGGAAGGAAAGCTCTGCAGATATTGCGCGGCCATTACGCCAGCCAGGTAAGCCCAGGATCATCACCCTTTACACAGAGCTCACGTCCCTATCAAAAGAACCCGGCGAAACTGTGACAGACTATGTTTTACGTGCTGAAAAAACAATAACGTCTGAGAAATGCAAAAGAAGTCATTAGTGACGGACTATAATAATAGCAATGATTCTGAAGGGTCTCCCGGAATCATACAAGCCTTTTGTTGTTCACAAACACAGAGCAGTGAAGACTTGACGTTCACTCAGTTTAAGAGCAGACTTCGAAGCTATGAAGAAACAGAAAAGTTTGAAAGCAAAGCGAAGTCAGGTAATGTAATGAAAGTGGACATGAGACAGTAAACTGCTACAACTGTGGCCAGCGCGGGCACATGGCGAGAGACTGCCGCCAAAAGACCGCGCCAAAATGGTGCAGCTACCACAGAAGTACATGCAAAAGAAGATCAAAACGGAAGGATGATGCCAAGCAGACTTCAGACATGCAGGACAGCCATGAGGAGGACCAGACCATGGTATTCAAAGTCAGCCAGAATCTTCTACCTGACATCAAGCTTAATGGAATAATGGTGGACTGTGGAGCCACATCACACATCATCACTGATGAAGAGTTGTTCATAAGAACTGACAAGACTTTTGATCTGGGTAGACACTACATGGAACTGGCCGATGGAAAGAAGATGAACAACGTTGCACTGAAGCGTGGCGATGCACAGATTGAACTGTTGAACTCAAAAGGGAGGTATGTTAAAGTTACTCTGAAAAATGCTTTACTCATCCCATCCTACCCACAGAGCATATTTTCTGTGATGTCAGCTACAGCTCATGGAGCCAGTGTAACATTCACAGATGGGAAGAATGTACTGATGAGTAGAGATGGTATTGTATTCCCTATTGAGGCACATGAGAAACTGTATTACCTAAGGATGAAAAGCAATAATGAAGGATGCATTGAGGAAAACTTAAAAGACATGATGAATAGAGATAAAGTGAAGCTAGCTTGTGATTTGAAGACATGGCATGAAATATTGGGACACTGTAACATGGATGATGTTATGAAATTACAAAATGTGGTAGAGGGAATGAAAGTCACTGACAACAGTAAAATGGAGTGTAACATCTGTACTGAAGGAAAATTTATCAACAGCAGAAACAAGGAGTCAGATGTTAAAACGAGCAAGCCACTAGAGTTGGTTCACACTGACCTATCAGGACCTATTGATCCTATAGGTTTAGAAGGACACAGGTATACTATTTCCTTTACTGATGACTTCTCAGGATCCATTGCAGTCTATTTTCTGAAAAACAAAAGTGACGTGACTAAAGCAACAAAGCAGTTTCTGGCAGACTGTGCACCCTATGGTAATGTTAAATGCTTTAGGTCAGACAATGGTACCGAATACACATGTAATGATTTTCAAACGCTACTCAGAGATAAAGGCATTAGACATGAAACGTCGTCGCCGTACTCCCCACACCAAAACGGAAAAGCAGAGAGGCAGTGGAGAACGCTCTTTGAAATGGGAAGGTGTATGTTGTCAGAAAAGGGCTTACCTAAAGAACTGTGGCCATATGCTATTCAGTGTGCTGCACACATTCGCAACAGATGTTATAGTAACAGAACCAAAAACACCCCATATTTCTTGATGACGGGAAGAAAGCCCAATCTTTCGAACATGTGGGTATTTGGATCAGAGTGGTACGCGTACAACAACCACCACAAGAAACTAGACTCAAGAAGTGAAAAGGGACTGTTTTTAGGGTACAGCAAAAACAGCCCAGCTTATTTGGTGTACCACCCACAGGTGAGAAAAGTTTCCAGACACAGGCTAGTGAAGTTCATAAAAGAAAATGGTGTTGACCAACAGACACAGACAGATGCCTGGGATCTAGGAATCCAGAACCACAGATACCTCATGCAGACAGATAGACATGAGGTAACACCCTTAACCCAAAATGTCACCCCAAGTGAACAAGAGGACTTTAGTCTTCAGGAAACTCAAAATGCAGAGTTTTCAGACTATCTCACTGGGTCTGAAATTGTTAGTGATCAAACTCAAACAAAGCGAAGCAATCGTTATCCAGAAAGAGAGAAAAGACTCCCAAAATACCTGAAAGACTACCAATTAGATCCTAAAACAAGAGATGCAACACAAATAACTGTTGATCATTGTTATAGGGCCGTTTTTGGTATACCTCAAACATTCAGCGAGGCTCAGAAGTCACCACAGTCAGAAAAGTGGAGACTGGCAATGAGGGACGAAATTGACTCGCTTAAAGAAAACGAAACATTTGAACTGAGCATCCTACCAGAGGGTAGAAACACTGTTGGAGGGAAGTGGGTATATTCACGCAAAGAAAATGAAGGAAAAGAGATTTTCAAAGCTCGGTATGTAGCAAAAGGCTACAGCCAAACAGAAGGTATAGACTACCATGAAACTTTTGCTCCAACAGCTAACATAACATCAGTCGTGCATTGAGGCAGATAGCAGTTCAGAACAACCTTAAAGTACATCAGATGGATGTCAAAACAGCTTATCTGCATGCACCAATTGAGGAAGAAATTTACTTGGAACAGCCTGAGGGGTTTGAACAGCAAACAGAAACAGGACAGAAATGTGTGTATAAATTAAAGAAATCCCTGTATGGATTAAAACAATCAGGGAGAAATTGGTACAAACTCTTAAATGATCATCTTGAACAAAACAACTTTGAAAGGAACCCAGTTGATCATTGTGTGTACAGAAAACAAACAGAGAATGACACGGTTATCGTGCTCATCTGGGTGGATGACTTGATCATTGCTGCTAGCAGCATTGAAGTTTTGGACAGTTTCAAAGAAACTATGAAATTAAAGTTTAGCATGAAGGATTTAGGCAAAATATCACAGTTTCTAGGCATACATTTTGAACAAAAAGAGGATGAAATAAAAATGAGCCAAAAGAAGTACATCCTAAAAATGTTGGAAAAATATGGAATGTTGGACTGCAAACCAAGATCCACCCCATGCGAACCAAGACTTGATCACAAGAAAAATCATGAGTCTGAGGAAACGAAAGTAATGAATCCTACAAACTATCGTGAGATAGTAGGTAGTCTGATTTATGCCATGACTTGTACCAGACCAGACATCAGTTGGATCGTGAGCAAACTTTCACAGACATTAGCTAAACCTATGACAGAGGATTTAGTGAATGCTAAACATGTTCTAAGATATCTAAAAGGTACTTGTGACTATGAACTAAGTTTCAAGAAAAACAATGACAACTTGAACCTTATAGCCTACAGTGACTCTGACTGGGGATCCTCAGTAGAGGACAGGCGCAGCACCACAGGTTATTGTTTCAGTTTAACGCCACAGGGTCCAGCCATTTCCTGGAAGTCCAAGAAACAACCAACTGTGGCTCTTTCCACATGTGAGGCTGAGTACATTGGGTTAACAGCTACTACACAAGAAAGTCTATACTTGAGTCAACTCTTAAATGGTATGGATAACAAGAAATACAACTGTACAACACTTCATGGTGATAACCAAGGGGCCATTGCATTGTGTAAGAACCCTGTGAATAGACAGCGATCCAAACACATTGATGTGAAGTATCATTTTATACGCAATGCACTGAGAGAAGGCAAAATCAATGTGAGGTACTGTCCATCTGAAAAGATGTTTGCTGACATCTTAACCAAACCTGCATCAAAAGCAAAACTGCTGAAATTTAAAGAATGGTTTTTTGGAAACCAAATATTTGAAGGTAAAGAAGATGAGAACAAGGGGGGGTGTTGGAACATGTTCTCATCTTAACCTGTCTTTAAGTTATCTTGTGTTATGTGTTCATGTTTACTGATTTTACTTTGTAAGGTACAGCTTTATGTTCTATATCCTGTCATTCTGTTTATGTGCATGTTGTACTGTTGTTGTCCACTGGGGCAGTGAGAGCGAGTTTATATATATGTAGCACTGTTCTAAAAAGAATTAGACGAAGAAAAGTTTTCTCTGTGCCTGACTGTTCCACAAATAAAAGAACACAGCTATCTAAGAAAAGAAGTGTGGTTCATTGTGATGATGAGTGCAGATCAAGAAAACACAAACGCAACAAGACCTGACTAATATGTCAGGTCTGTACTGGAAACTAACAATATTACTCGTGAAGGTCAAACGTTTCATTGAGACCATTTTGTTTTGCATCACATAATAAAGGTAAAACTAAAATCCTAGACTAGATTTTCACCAATCAAGCCACAGAGATTAGATTCAGACTCAGTGAAAACTAAGAACTCCCATCTTTTTCTGCCTATAAGCACATCAGCTAACAACATGTAATCTCACACATTGCATCAGTATTAGTTCAAAATTAAAAGAAAAAACGCATTTTCTCTGATTTCAGATTCTTGATTGGATTCATTCCGATGGACAAATGCACTTTGGAAAGAGCAGAAATGTTGACTTCAGGTAACAGTGCAGACGCAAGCCTCGATCTTTGGTAAGACATCTAAACCTCAAGTTCTGCACATGACAGATTTCATGAAACAAGCATTTCTCAACTGCAATTTCCAACCACTAAGTTCCAACCACACAGATTGTTGTTGCTGCAATCTACACATAAATGGCCTACTCATTCAATTTCTTAAGTTTTACAGTTAGTAGGCCATTTGTGTGTAGAATACCAATTAAAGAAGCTAAATTAACAACTAGGCATATAACATTACATACATTTGTTGAGAACACCATCGTTTTTGAAAGATATTTGGCCTTTTTGTAGATATTTAATTTAACTGCTCAAGTGGCAGTGAAAACCAAAACATTATCTTCAGAAAACACATCTCAACACTTTATGAGCTTATCATAAGTTATCTAACGACGATCGAACAGTTGCTCCACTGTACAGACTAAAAATGAGAAACATTCAAAACAATTGCATCCAACCAAATTCAACCCCACACCCGATAGCAAAAGACGAGAAGCAGTTTGCAAAGAGCCCTAAATGTCCCTACAGGACCCATGAACTTCAGCTACCTTTACATATGTTTTTTTTTTGGGTTTGTTTTGTTTTTGTATAAACTTCAAGATCCTCCATCGTTTCAGGTCTCGGAATGATGTGCAAACATGCACTTCCTGGAAGGCTCCCATCATCTGGGAGGGAATGTTTAATCCCAGTCACTACGACCAGATACACAGAAACGAAGGATCTTCTGTCGCCTTGACTGTGTTTGCAGTCGGCAGGTTGGTTTTCAAATGAGTCGTCATCATGATGTCAGACAAGGCGGAACAAAACATAATGTAGAGATTTTATATCAGTCAACATTGACAATTATTGATTGGAATTAATTTTTTGTTCTAAATATTTGAAATACTTCCACACTGGCAACTAAAGAGCCAGTGAGTTCAGGGCTTCCCAAAGAGCATTAAACTCTGGCTGGGGATGGACTTTGGAAACCCACAGAAAATGCTACAAAATAATAATAAAACCAATAATTACCACATTTATTCATACGACGCTGCCTCTTGCTAATTTTAGATGAAACTTTTAGTTGTCAGACATGACTTTCATACCAGATGCGACAAATGTTTGTCACAATCCTCTTTTGATTATATGTAAAGATGTAATATTTTATATTTATCACATCGAATGTAATTTTATTCCCCCAGTTCTTCTGTGCTTTGCGGCAGTGTTTTCCACAGCTGGACAGTTCCGTTGGTCTTTTTTCTGTCGGTAGCTTTTCCATCAGAAAATTAAACAACACGTAAAGCAATTATTTCAGATTATGTTTTATTTAGAAACTGATTGAATAACAAAAACCAAAAATCATGATGAAAAATTAAAGATTTCAAATTGTATGGGATTTATTTGCAGTTTTGTTTCATTGTTGTCCCCCACCCTGGAAAAATACTGCACTCAGTTGATTGATGCTACCAAACAACATGTCATGAGAAGTGGGTTGCCTGAAACCTTTTATCCCACAAAGCTTTATTGTTCTGGATCAGAGTGAATACTCAAGTCTGAACAAGCACCGATCCGCTCCAGTGAAATTCCCAAGTGCTTTTTTTCCCCTGGCAAATAAACCATGCTATGTCCTGACAAAAATATGCTCAAAATATTTCTGATGCATTAAATTTCTCTTTCTCATATCCGGTTTAACTTCACAGTCTGGTTCCTGCATTTGTCCTGTTTGGGACCAGTGGATATTCTTGCATTTTAATTGACTTGCTGTGAACTTTCTGGATTGTCTGTCTGTTTAAATAAGTCACTGAAGTAGCAGGTCTAAACACGTGCAGGTGTGAAACGATGCGACTTTGAAGAAAAACAGACAGAACTAAAAATACAGTATAACGTTTACAAACATGCAAACAAACAAAATACTAAATTAAATTTAATCACCAGGCTCCTAAACATATTAATAATGAATTCGTACCAACACATTTTTTGCACACATTGGTTTAAATGGCCACTGGTTTTATGGCAATATTATGTACTGATTGCCTGGTCCTAATGTTACATCACATTCTGGTTTCCACCACAGGAAAACAAGAGGCTGACATCTTTGTTTCTGCAGGTACCTGGATGCCTACCTGGAGGCTTTCCTGACCTCATCAGAGCAACACTTCATGTCGGGTTTGCCCGTGTCGTACTACGTGTTTACGGACACGCCTGAGAAAGTGCCAAACATCAAGCTTGCCCCCAACCGGCGCCTGACAGTAGTCAAAGTGGAGAGACAGGCGCGGTGGCAGGACATCTCCATGATGAGGATGAAGGCGATATCAGACGTCATCGAGTCGGATATCCGCCACCACGCCACGCACGTCTTCTGCTTTGACGTCGATCAAGTGTTCACTGGCAGATTTGGCCCCGAAGCTCTGGGAGACTCAGTGGCTCTGCTTCACGCCCACTACTATCACCTCCCCAAGAGGCTGCTCACCTACGACCGCAACCCAAAATCCAAGGCGTTCATGAAAACTGGGGACTTCTACTACCACGCTGCCGTCTTCGGAGGCTCCTGGAGGAGCGTGAAGGCGCTGACGGAGGCCTGCGACCGCAGCATCAAGGCGGACAAAGAGAACGGAGTGGAGGCCTTGTGGCACGACGAGAGTCATTTGAACAAGTACTTCTGGCTTCACAAGCCCAGCAGGATTCTCTCTCCAGAGTTCTGCTGGGACACCAGGATCGGCTACAGGAGAGACATTGAGGTGTATCGGCTGCTGTGGGCACCCAAAGACTACGCTAACCTCAGGACGTCATAGATGACTCTGATTCATTTCACTTTCAAACTCAGAAATATTAAATAGTAAATCTCACTGAGATCAAAGACCTCTACTGACATTCGCAGTTTTTTTTTCCTCATCTGTTAGACTGAAATTGTTTCTGCTTTTACTACAATTTTTTTAGTTTGCAAGATTAGGGATTAAAAATTTTTTTAGTAAAACTCTTGATAGGTTATGGAGGATCATGTGACAATGGATTTTTTAAAAACTATTCAATTTCATGGAATATTTAATGTTTTATTATTGTGATTATTTGTTGGAAGTTAAATTGTTTTGTACTGCAGCTCAACTCAGGTAGCTGAACTTTTGCACTGAAACCTCAAAACATGTACTGAAGTCAGCATCACACTTTTGTCTTTATGGAACTTTTGAACTTTATCAATTTTCTGTCTAAGATTAAATTACATGAATTCAAATATAATATTTGCAGTGAATAAAATATGGCACAATTTTATCTTTTCTTTGCTGTTTTTGAAAAAGCATACATATAGAAGTGCAGGAAGTGCTCAAAGAAAAAGAAATAAAAAGAGGTCACAACCTCTTGTTGAGGTTGTGAAAGAAAAAAAGGTAAGTGAACTAAAAAGTGGACTATTCAGTTTTTTTTTTCCTTTTTTTTTGCTTGTGGTTTCAGCAAAAAATCAAACAAAAAAAGACCACAGAGGAATTTTTTCTTTTCCTGCTGTCACATAGTTAATCAATATCAGATGGCAGCGTTAAGTTTTTCAGCTCAGTTCTTCTTTCTTGTTAAAGATTAACCAAAAATAAAGTCCAAATAATTTCCTCATGACAGCTCCTCACACAGGACAAATAAATTAAAAGGCAAACACAATAGCTTCAGCGCAGTTTTATCATATTTTAGATAGAAAAGCTCAGGGAGCTGTGTTTTCAGAAGTAACGAGACCAGAATCTGGATTTGACTTGTCTGAGAGAGTCTGGAGTGAAGTCAGGTTGAGGTAGCCGAGCTCTGTGGTTCGATTTGAGGGCACAGAGGCATCAGGGGAGAGAGTCACATCTGGCTGCTTGGTGTCACACTCTGGAGGAGTATCCGAAAGGTCTTGAATCTCAGACAGCATCTTCCTGTGAAAACAAAAAGCACACAAACATATTTATTTTAAGCCCAGTCCACACTATGTGATGTTTTTGCCCCGATTTCCCCTTTAAGATAATCGTAACTGATCATCCTGTGATGTGTTACGACTGATCAGGTCCAGTCGGGACCGCTCTCATCTGAAATCGGACATATTCAGCATGTTTGATTGCCTTGGCCGATTATCGCAGCCTGTGGGGTTTTTCCTTCCCTGACTGGTAGTGAGAACGCAGCTTGTTGAACGTGACAGGCAGCCAATCAGAAAGCACGGATTCCCCTCCGGAGAGGAACCCCACACAGCTAACGTGGCGCAACCCAGAGTCCAGCGGACATCAGAGATATGTGGAAACAACATTAATATTTATTCAACATTTTGTGCAAAGAATATCCACAGAAATGACAAAGAGAGGAGTTGGAGTGAAATTGTTAACGCAGTTGATTCCAGTAATTTTTCAGCTGTTTATTGTTAAAGTGACATAAATGGGTTGTAAAGATAAGGTTATCCATTCAGTCAGGGCTAACAGGATGTAATTGTCACTCGTAAAACATTAATGATTAATGTCTGGTTTTAAAATTAGTTATCTGGACTTGTAGCCATTATTTTGTGCATATTGTTCTCAATGTAATTGTAAACATCAAAACAGCAAATAATGTTGACCGATGAAGCTTAAAGAAACGACGGAACAGAAAATAAACACACAAATGGTATAGACAAAAAAAAAAAAAACATAACTTTTATATCTATATATATAAAAAGAAAAAAAAAGATGCTTTTATCCAATGCTTTTACTTTTTGTTTCATCTTTTATGTTTAAAATAAGCTCACAAATTGTCGCTATTGCTTCTACGTTGTCGGCCATGTTTGTTTACTCTAAATTCCTGTGTGTTATAGTGGGCTTTCCCTGTGTGTTCAGTCTGGAATCTGGATGTTGGTGAGAAATCGGTGTGTGGTGTGTTGCTCTTGCCGTGTGGCTGGCTGGCTGAACACCACACGCTGCACGAACGGGCCGATCAAATGCGTTACACCTACGATTTTGGTTGGATACTGTGTGGGCTCAGGTTTTGAAAATCGGCCGATAATTTTAATATCGTGCAGTGTGAACTGGACTTTACCAATCAGACATTTGGACTTGGAGTCAGGCTCACCTTGCTGTCTGAACCGAGACAGGCGAAAGTTTCTGTGGGATAGTTGACATTTTCTGAAGTTCCTAAGAAGTCAAACCAAAACATTGGATTTGTTATTATTTATTCATTTGGATAACAAATTAATTTGTGACACTATGGATAAATATTTTATGGCTTTATGTTTCTGTTTCATAACGGTCAGCAAACAAAACATCGTCTAGCACTGATGGCTGTCGAGAACATCTCTGATCAGAACAACACAGAAGCAAAAGCTCAAAGAAAACAAATCTTCATGCTGCGCAAAACAGCAACACAGCTTCAAAAGTCGATGAAAGGAAAACAATTGGTTAAAATTCAAAAGTTCGTTTATTCCTTATTTAGTCTTATGTATTGGATAATTAATAAAATATTAGATATGATTCACTTTTTATAACTACATTAGACTTACTATAAAATAAAACAACTTTTTACTCTGGAAAATTCAGATTCGTTTAGATAATTCCTATAAAAACTGATTAGCTTTTGTAGCTTTCACTGAACAGAATCATTCTCAGGATTTCTGACAAGAATTTTCCCCCCCAAAAAAAGATTTTTAACAGTGACATTTACCTCAGCAAAATGCATAAACTGCATGTTCTGCAACTTGCGTTCCAGGGAGGAAATCTGGCTGGACATTTGCAGCACTTTGTTCCCCAGGTTCTTGTTCTCTGTCTCTAAAAACTGAACCCTGGAGATGGAAACCAGCACACATCAGAACGAGACGTCTGGGCCGGAAGAATCCGTCACCAAGAACAAATGGCAGCGTACATTTAAAATCTTCAGGTAAATGTGATGCATTTCCTAATCACAACTTTAGAAGCTACATAATTTCTTTAATTATTATTTTTTTATACCACTAAAAACCAAAGCCAGAAAGTGCATGTGTGTTACTGTTACATCTTATGACTTTGAGCATTATCTAGCTCTGCTGTAGGAAATTTCCTCTAATCACAACTTAAAATATAATATTCCTTTTTGGTGAATGATTCCGCACCTGTTTTTAGACACACAGGCTGTTAATTTGATGTTTTTCATGTTGTCATCCTCCTCACTGAGCTGCTTTAACAGTTTCCTCCTCTCGCTAAGCAGCCGCTCGTTTTCCACTCTTATGCACTCGACGACTTCTTTCTCCTGGAACAAAAACGACAACGTTAAAAGTTAACTTCTTTGTCTTTACAAGAGCTACATAATTTATGACTCAGATAATCCAGCCTGACAGAAAGGTGAGTCATTAATGCACAACTGCCTTCAAAACGAGGTTATTTCTCACTGGAAATAACTTGTCTAAGTCTAATGTGACTTACACATCACATTAGGGTTGGTAAATTTTTAAGAAAGACAAAAGCAGCTGAGAACAGAAAAAAAAAAAAAACTTTTATCCTCACAAAGGTACTGTGCTCCAGTTTACCGGATGTTTATGAAAAGTCCTTTTAGAAAAAACAGGGTTAAAAATACTAAATCAGGGGTGTTCAAACTGTGGGCCGGGGGCCATTTATGCTCCCTAGCCTGATTTTGTGCGGCCCGCTGGCTAACATTCAAAAGCAATACAGAATCAGCCTGTCGTCACAAGTGGCTGATGCAGATGGAAACTTTGTATTTAATTATCACAGACAAATTGAAATCATCTTAAAATCTTTAAATAACCACATTATTTGTAATATTTTCAAGGACAAGATCCATCCGGTTCCAAAGACGGAGTTTGACTTGCTAACTGATTCACTTTTTTATTGTTTTTTTTAATTGGGTGCCTGATAAATATTTCTTCCAAAAGGGCAAAACTCCGAAGAGTTTTAGCTCTACAAAACACTTTACAACAAAATGACATCTAATTTATTTGTTTAATTCAACTTTTTCATTACAGAGGAGGTGAAAAAGTCACTGTACGAGTTTTTATTACAAATATTATTCCTTTGGGCCTGTGGGTGTTAAAAAAGGTTTAGACATTCTTGTTTCAAATAATTAGACCAAGAATCCTTCATTCATGCATGTTTTGTAAACAGCGACATATCTGCAGACTCACCTTTTTCAATGAGTGGTAGCACAAGGACAACTCTCTCTCCAAATTGTTTATCTTCTTGTCCCGCCACACGGTTTCTTCATCCAGTTTCTGTTTGGCTCGGGACAGTTTTTCCAGTAATCTTGCCTTCATGTTGTGGTATTTACTAGACACAGTTGATGGACACAACAGACAGGTGTGACGCAAAAACAGATGCGCTCTAATCATACAAACTTTTAGAAATGCCTAAGAAGTTAATTTGAAATGAATTTCACGCAAATAGGGCTTCACTGACGCAGTAACTCCATCCAAAATGTTTGTTTACATTTTAACAGTAGATTGGACAGTAATTGAGTCAAAGAAGCTGATTACAAATTTCAGTTTTTTGTGGCATAATTAAAAACAACTTCCTGAAAAAAGCAGGTTATATTTCTAAACAAAGCATTAATAAAGGCGTGTTACCTTCGCTCCTCATCAATACAGTTAAGTGCTTTACAGATCTGCTCCTTATAAGACTCACGCTCTTCTTCATCAAACATCGGAGCCTGCCTCCCTTTGGGACATTCAGAACTCTCCTTCGGTGCAGAACATGAACAAACACAGAAAGAGAAACTGTCTGTGTTTTTCCTGAATGCTCAGTTCGGTCACTTGTTGCCTGTCGTGAAAAATAAAACGGACTAAAAACTGATCTGGCCGGGCGACACGGGTTACCTCGAGTGTGGAGCTGTCCTGTGAGGGAAACTCTTCTGTCCTACCGGATTGCTCCAGCTGTGAGCAGATGTCTCTAACAGTTAAAAAGTCGTTAATGTTGCTTTGGTAATTCTGTAAAACCTGAAGACACTCGTCCTGCAAGAACAAGAAGCTATATTTGAGTACATACCACATTATATTTGTTTCTACATTTGCCTGGTCACTCACTTCCGGCTGCTTCTCCACGAGGCAGTTTGATTGAAAACTGAGGTTATCTTGCTCATCATTGCAGGTTTCATTGACCGGAGTTTCGTCTGTTGTCATGAACTGAAAAAAAAAAACCCATAAAAAAAATCTAGTCATGTGACAACAGTTTTGGACTTCCACTCAAAAATATGTACAGTGTTTTTAATAAATAAAGATGGCAACAGAGCAACACAAAGAGCTGCAAAAAAGTATTTCCCCCCTCCAGATTTATTCTCTTTTATGTATTTCTTTAGATTAGATATATAGAGGGAAAAAAGATATTTAAACCAAACAAAAATAGTAACTGTCCATCTTGTCAATTAGCAATAAGCGTTGATTTAAGACATTTATTTAAATTATAACCTGCTTTTTCATTTTATTGTAGTGTTTCTTTATTCCAACAAATAAATGTATTCTCTGAACATAGGATAGTGCTTTCTGTTAAAAGTTTGAAGAAATAAATCACAGCTGCATTTGGAGACACTTTGGGAAAAGTATTTGCTAAGATGGTTGGAGTTTGTGTGCACCATTATATTTGATGTTAGTACTTTTTCTCTTGTGGTGCATCTTTTTTGCTTCAGCCAAGCATTGTTATTAATTAAGACAGTAAAAAAATAAATAAATCTCAGTTTTTGATTGGCTCAGCCTGTTGTTGATGGTCAATAAATCAACAGGCCAATTTTGGGCGAAAACACTTCAACATCGTCGAATTAAAACAATTCCAATGCATTCTTCAAATCCTGACTAGCCGTTATTGATGCTAGGAGTGCTAATGCCAGTTAGAAGATTGTTCAGTTTGACATCAGATTTTGCTTGATGCTATAAAACATCAGACAAAAAGTAAAAATAGAAGAAATCTGCAAGAGGAAAAGACTTTTTCCAATGAACTGTACAAGCTGAAAGGCAGAAATAGGCCTTAAAACTAACGGCGTTTCTTCCTGGACATACATTGGTTAAATCACTAGCTTGGCCTAACGGAAGCGTGTAAGAACCCTGGAGGTTCCTTACGGCCAACTCCAACTGCTTCACTACCTCCTGCAGAGATTCAACCTACGACAACAACATCACACAGATCAGCAGCGGCAAAACAATGCCTGGTAGTTTGCATGGGAGTATGCAAAATATTTTTGTATATGAAGAAGCAGATTCAAATGTCTGTCTTTCGCTTGTGACTTTTTCTACTTACACCTCCCTCCTTTGTATCCATGGCTTGTTGTGTCAGTGCAGGTAAGTATTCTTGCAAAATTATGTGTGATTTATCGCCCGTCGTCAGTTCGGCTCCTTGCATCTGCACGAAAAACCACAGCAAATTGCTTTCAGTTCATTAGGTGAATATTTTGAGTAATTTCAATAACAGTACAGGTGGTTTCTAAGGAGATGCACCAGATTGTTTCAAAAGAAAACACCTCAAATTAACTTTTTTGTTGTTTGTTTCCAAGTATCACGCCAATATTTTCTTATCCAAGTAGCATTCAGTCTTATCACCTTGTAGTTAGTCTTTAAGATGACAACATCACATAAAAGTTCACATTTACAAACTGCTCTTGCAAAGTCACGGGCCTGAAATGTGTCGCGTAACAGCTGAACCCAACTCCTGCTGGGGGTCAGCTAAGAAATGAAGAGATGCTCAAATGAAGAGACTTACTTTGTCGTCTTCTTTGTTCTGGTCACCTTGTACCTCCATCGTCAATAATCGCTGCTGCTCCTGCAGGGCTGATCCCAAACGCTCAACGTCCTCCTGCTGAGACGCCATCTAAAACCAAGATTCAGTACCGCTCAGATGCAACTCATTCGCACTTTTTCAGCTAATAACAACTTGCAGTATTTTTTTTTAAATGAAAACATTCAAATGTGTCGTTTGATTTGGTTGTTAGGAACCAACAGATTTTCACATTGAGTTGTAACATTTTAAAAGTCAGTTGTAAACACACCTTTTTTTTGTGAAGATTATGCTATTAGATATTTTGAAAATGTACACAGAAAAAAAAGAAAAAAGAACAAAACAGGACAAACTTATACAGCACAGATGCAGAAAACAAAAAACAGGAGGGATGTACAGAAATTACAGCAATTATTTGAGAAAAGTAACTAATTTATATATAAACTGAAAGATATGCTTCATTCGGCTTCACATTACAAGTCTTTAAATTTCGACATATTCAAGAACACATTCCCACCTTTTTTTAAAAGCACAGAGTTTCCCATTCAGACAGTATCCCAATCTTTCTAGTACAATGACTTCAGAGAATAAGCTCAAAATTTAGAGAATACATTCTAATATTTAATTCAGAAATCCGATTTTGGTAGCTTCAGCTCTAAATAGAGTCCAGCAATCATCACTGCAATGCTGTTTGGTTGTAAACTTTGGATATAAAATTATGTTTTGACTGAGATGATGAAGTTCACAGACGATGGAGGTCATGATTGACATGATGAAGAAACAAGAGTCAGAAAAATCAGAGTTGATCGTTTTCAGCTGAATTTCTAAAAGCTGCTTGTGACTTAATTTGTGTTTCTTTAATTCTCAACAGCTGGTGTTTACAAACCTTGTGTGAATAAATGCTATGAAATAGCAGTTTATAAATTAAGATTCAAGGATGAAAATTCATCTCCATGCTAAAGTTCATTCACAAAAAAGTATATTCTTTAAAACAGAATTAATGAATTAAACCAGGATGTTTTTTAATGATGATGAGCAACACTGTGATTTACTATTTCCCTGCACTACAAGCCTCTTACAGACAGAAACCAAACATTTACTGATATGTCTATAAATAGAAAACCAGAGTGGTTTTCTGTTTCTTCACTCTGCAGTTCTTCTCTTTTGTCTTCCAACTGTAATCTCTGACAAACATGACACCAATCTGGTTTGGATGGTTCATATCTTCCCTTCATCAAAGTTTCTTACCGTCTTCTCCAGAGACTTTTTCTCTGCATCCAGTGAGCGGACTCTGTTTCTCAAGGCTCTGATCTCAAGGTCCAGACGGTCATTAAGCTCTTTGGCCTTCCGCAGCTCAACCATTTCTTGATATAAAATACGACATTTTAAGTTATTGAGTCGTTTGGTTATTGGTTAAAAATATTCACAAATTATGTTGCTTTATTTTTAGTGAAGAAGTACTTGGTTTTCATAATGTCCCATATATTCAGACAACCATTTAAATAAAAGACAGATTCATATCAATGCAGTAGAAAATCAAAAAGGTAAATTTTTCTCAGTTTCGTTATGAAAAATCTGAGACGTATAGAATTTAGTTCAGACTTTTAAGCCATTATGTCTGCTGATTTTGTCACAATCCTGAGTAGTTTGGGTTTTAGTTTTCTGTTTGTATTTTGATAAATTCCCTGTGGTTTGTTTATATTCATATATGTATGGATATAAGAGTAATTCAAGAGTAATGGGGAGATTTATAAGATAAGAAATTCCACCGTTGGTAATAAATTAGGGAGTTAAGTAATCTGCTAACCTGCTAGGAAATTCTGGAGCAAATTATGCTTCCTTCAGATCACTGATCTGATTAAGCTGCTCAGTTTTTGTACATGTTGGGTGTGGTTTTTATTTTAGTTAATGTTTAACTTTGTGCAACTAACACTGTTAAGCAATCAACCAGAACCAGGAACGATGGCTTACCATATTCTTTTAGTTTTCCTACTTCTTTCCTGAGATGCTTCACCTCCTCCTGTGCTGCCTGCAGCTCGGGCTCTGAAACACAGGAAGTAGAAATATTACATTTACAGGGTTCTTCTTAAAACAGTGGCTGGCAAAACGAGCCGTGAAAACAATCTGTTTCAATTCATTGCCTTAGGGTCAGCTATGAGAAATCTTAAGATTTTCTCTGTTCTTTTTTTTCCACAGCTTTTCAGGACATGGAAGTTTCATTTCAGACAATAATCTAATTAAATAGAAAACGGTAGTTTTCAGAAAACAAAGCTACTCAAACCAACCTGGGATTTTGTGAAATCATAATTTCTTCCAAGTTTAATCATAGATTAACACAGATTTTGGGACACCTAATGTCATCTAAAAGAATAAAAAACTATCTAAAGAAATTCTAGTAAAAAAGTTTTTGCCTGGGAAGGGGAAAAAGGGAATAAAAAAATATATATATATATATATATATATATATATATATATATATATATGCAGAGAGAGAGAGAGAAAGAAAGCAAGAGAGAGATAGTTATTTGTCTAACATTAAAATTGATTTGATTGGAAACATTTGGGTGATGTTACAAAAAAAAAAAAACACAAGTAATTTGTAAAAGCCCATTTTTACCATTCTGTAAGTGACTGACCACTATGTTTTACCATATGTTTTCTGGGTAAAGTGAGCAGACTCCAGTTCATCTTTCAAATGCCGGATCTCGTTGTGGGCCATGGCAAGCCTGCGGGAACCTTCTTCCACATCCCGCTCCAGTCGGGAACACTCCTTCTCCAAACGTCTTGGTTCACCGGCCAACGGTGTCTCCCCACCCTGGATGGGGATGAAGACACATGCTTCCAAAATGGACAAATCTGAAGCAATTTAAATGTTGGTTGATAACAAAGGAAGACTTGAGTAAAAATATCTAGAACAAAGAGCTGAGATAGAGACAACACCTTGAGATACGGTCTGGGTGGTGTTGAAACTTGAACTTCTGTCATGCAAAGTCTTGGTATGCAAGATTAGTATCACTGGAAAAGACAAAACAAAGAGTGATATTAGGGAATCCAAAAGACTGGCATGCAGAAGTGTGCCACAAAGTCAGTGTCATCATCATCAAAATGATGCAAAAGCAGTTTCATAGTTTGTTAGTGCATGCAGAATACACTGCTGCTTAGCATGACAGTGATAAGCAGCAGTAAACAAGATCAATGAAGATATTTTACAGATCTTCTCAGTCGCTTTAGTGCATTTCTCGAATCATTCTCAACATTTGCAAAACAGTAAACACATTTCTAAAAACAGTTTGTACAAACAGAACACCATGGATTTCCTGCAAAAACCGAAGTCTTTCTCAAAATCCTAGGCCCATTTCTCTAAATTAAATATCTGTGTCAGTGAACACGTTAATGCCTCAATAAAGACTTTCATCGAGTTCAAATAAGACAGTCAAACTGATTAGTAATGTTGTCAGTACTAGAGTACTCCAGAGGGATGTTCTGTTGGAAACTATGGCTAAAGTTTTCATGACAAAACTGGACAAGACTCACATTGTTCTGTAATTTGTTGACAGACCATGTCAACATCGTCACTGATACAGAAAGGAAAACAGAACGACAGAACACAGAGGGAAAAAAAACGTAGAAATGGCACCATGAGGAGATCATCCTCTAGGACTTATAGGTCAGTATTCACATACTTTCTATCTCCATGTTGAAAAAACAAGCCATTGTCCAATGACGCTGGACTGACAGGAAAATGGCAGATGCCCTCAGTCTCTTCTGTTTTGCCTCCCACCTTCTTCCTCTTCTCTCTGGCTGTTGAGCCCGTCCAGTCCCTTGACTTTTCATCATCAGAAACGTAACATTGTCTTGTGCTCCAGCTATACAGTATAATCTATATCCTCAACAGCTGATGGTTCATGAGACGTAACTTTGAGCTACTTCAGAAAAACTGGTTGATCTTTGGTTGAGCTGATGCATCACACACTTTGAGAACGTCAGGATTCACCTGGGAGCAATGTACCAACTCAGGACAGACTGAGAAAGAAAAGTCTTATAAAAATGTTTAGAAATATGCTCAACATATTTAGCTAACAAGACATAAACAACAGAAAAGGTAGGGAAAATTAGAGAAATGTTCATAATCACTTTCATGGATATATCAAAGCACTTTCAGCTGGTTGGAAGAAATGAGAAACTGCTTTTCTTGATGTGCATGAGAGACTCAATAATGTGACGTTTGGACAAGTAGCTTTCAGAATTTACAGTTCTGTTCTGAGAAATGCACCAAAGTAACTGAGGAAAACTGTAATATTGGACAAATGTTCTGAGAAAAAGTTCTCCAAACCAACCGAGCTCTATGTGAAAAACACTCATCAAATCCTGGGACTAGCTTTAGTGAGCTATTAGTTTTCAACATTGAGCTGACTTGGTTTGAATAGTTTTGTTTCATATTTATAAATGAAATCAGAATTTGAAAACTTTATTTTGTATTTACAAGTTTCCTTCTGTGATATTTTTTCTCGCATTTTTAAAGGGAACACAGAAGCAAAAACAGAAGAAGTCTGGCTAAACATGTTTTCTTAGTACTGCACACAGAAAATGGCAGGTGTATAGAAGCTTGTATACATACAGGTACAAAGGTGTGTTTGCTCTGCAAAGTCTTATGGAATCCAAATATTTTCTTCCAGGAGCTTTGTAAAGGTCGTGGGGACCTCTTGTGGGTGGGCTGCTAAATTACAATTAATACCAGAAATTAGTGATATAATAATAAAGAAAAAAGAAAAACATATAAACTTACCCAATGCAACCTATTGTTCAATCAATAAAATGCAAGTGCTTTAATTGGGTTAACAGTTTAAGATTAATTATGCAAACAAAATGTTCAGTCTACTACGGATTAAGTAAAATAATTACTAAGCAAATACAGCTAAATAATTTATCAATCGTAAAATTGAGAAAACAAGAGAATGTAATAAATATGTATTGCAAAGAGGAAAAAATTTAGAAATATTACAATTCAAAATGTTTAACATTTTACTTCCTTGTAAGAAAAACAAATGGGAACTGAAGAAATCTTTGATTTATAAAACTTTAAAGAATCAACAATAACCAAAACATGGGCTTAGATCATATTAAAAATGCAACAAAACCAAACAAAATTAAGCTTCAAGAACAATATGTGTTCTAAAGATGAATACCATAGTCAACATGTCTAATTCAACATTTAGTTTAGGTTTTTACATGAAAGAGTCACAAAAATTGTTCTCAGGTGACCTGAATCGTCATAGTCAAAAGATTTTGTCTATGACTAATTAATACTTTCAAAAAGCAATTAAAGCATCTTAAAATTGGTTCAAAAACACTCCTGCAGAAACTTTAGAATCAGTGTGATGTGAACTAACTTTTTGGTCTTAATCAGCATCACAGACAAATGTTTATAATGGTCAGGTTGCAGACCAGTGCAGCAGAATTTAATAAGAGTCTCAGCACTGGACAAGAGATAAAAACACATTCTACTCCAATAAATCTCACTTTTTTACCTTGACATTTGTTTTTATCTGTGAAGACTTTAAAAATTACATCCACACACCACGAAAATAATAGTTTTGGTACTACTGTTTCACCAACCGCACATATGACGGGGTTCAGTGGTTCTGCGTGGGTCCTCAGTCGACTCTCCAGGTCTCCATCACCAGGATCCTGATTCATCTCGAGCAGGGAAGCTCTCTCCACCAGGAGATATGCCACCTGCTCACTGGGGGAGCTGTGAATCAGCTCAGTGAGACCCTGCTGGTACAACATTCCAGCAACTTCGTTTACCTGGGAATCTGGAAGAAAGGAGTAGGAGAGGTGGATGTAATTTAACTCATAATCATTACATTTCTGGCGTTGAAAGTGTTTTGGTGATGTGGAGTTACATGAAGTCAGATACTAATAGCAGAGACAACACATGTAGCATCAATAAAGTGCTACATTTAATTGATAAAGAACAGAAAAGAGATAAGGAATGAGAAAGTGGCTCATCCCTATGTAATATTATACTGCAGTCAGAAATAAGCCCTGAAAATGGGCTTATTTCTGAGGTTTTGTCAACTGTCTAGAATTACTGAAACTGAAACTTTTACACAATGTGCAAGTAAAAGTCCTACCTTGCAGCGACACGAGGTGCACCAGCTGCTTTCTGAGTTGCTCGTTCTCATCTTGTATCTCCTGAGCCAAAACGTCTTTCTGCTCTGTGAAGATTTTGATCTGCTCCAAGGACTTGCGTACCTTGCAGACAAAAAGATTGCTTTGCTCATCATTACAATCCCAGACAGCGCTGATGAACTCAGCAGTGATAATCTACCTCTGCCATCTCTGCTAAATGTTGCAACTGTTTGGCTCCCAGATCTTTAGTCACACTGTCCAGACAGCTTCGGGTGTGAAGGAAGGTTCGCCACAGAAAAGCCAGCTGAGCCTCTTTGGAGGCCTCAGGTGCAAAACCTTCCTCAGTCAGCCATGTCATGATCTGCTCCAGCTCCTGGAAGAAGAAGAAGCACAGACAGGATTATGTGAAGCAATATACAGCACTTTTATGCCTGTAAAGCTAGTGTTGTTTTTAGCCTCTTGAAATTAATTAGAATCCACAAAGGAAATAAACATCTTCCAATACTTTCAATCGAATACAATGATAAAAGCACCATTCAGTTTTTATACTTCACTAATCTGGAACACGCTTCTAGAAAACTGCAAAACTGATTATCAGAGTTTTTTTTTTAAATCAAGGCTAAATCCATTTTGATTAGAGATGCCTTTGATTAATAATAACTTCAACATCATAAAATGCACTTTATGATGTTCACTTTATGATTTACACCATTGTTTATCCTTTCATTTTGTCATTGCAATGTGATTTTATTGTTTTCTTTTTCCTTCTCGTCATGTAAAGCATTTTAGAAAATATGATGTTACAGGGTCTTGCGTTGTCAATCTTCTTTATGTTTTCGGGCACAAATTTTTTAATTTCTCAAGCCTTCTGGGGGTTATTTTTAAAATATAAAAACAAAATTCCCTTTGCGCTAACAGCAGAAACGTGATAAATAATTGGATAGATGGATATAACTTTTAGACAATGTGACAGTCAATGAAATGCAAAAGAAAAATGATAACTTCTCCAGACATCCTATAAATATTACACCAAATCATTTTGCAGCCAAGACGCATAATTGGGTAAATAACTATTTAACGTGCTGAATCTAAACTACAACAATACGCATGTTTAAAGTTCTTAATGTGTTCATTAAAGGCTGAAACATACATCTGTTGTTTATAACCAGACTATGACATAAACACAGCATGTACAAATAATTAGATAATTTCACTATAATGAAGAAGTTTGTGTTTTTCTAAATGGATGTAGATGATTGTTGTTTCTATAAATGGAGTTGTATTGACAGCCCTGTTAAGGTCTGCAGTGAGAACTGCGTCGCTGTTTACTTTTGCAGCTGAGATTGTCTGCAAAGCTCAGCTTCGGATCCATCGGAAACCAGAAAGTAGCGGTGATTTCACACCGGGTGAAGTGTCTCGTTTCTGCGGAGGATAGAAACTTTCGAGCTTTCAGAAGAGCTGCTGCGTCTTCGAGGTTTGACGCTTCGGCTCTTCCAGCTATTAGGAAAAAACAAATGTATGTTCACTACCTCTGCTTGAGCCATCAGTCCTGAATGAAGAAACAACTTGGAGTGGTGATGTGTGTAAACATAGACGCCCTTTTCTTGGAATAGTCCCAAAAAAAAAAAAAACGCCCAAGTTACTACAAGATGCTAACAGCGACGATAAACTATGAGAAGTTGTTTTCTCGACGAGATGCGTTCAACGTACTCCCAAACGTAGGATTTAGTAGCCAGAACCCTGAAAGTGCCATGAGATGACAAGAAAACTTGAAATGTGAACTAAAATGCAGCATGGCATGAGGTGAACATGTAAAGTATATATAATCACGTTCTGTGGTAGCAATGACAGCAAGAGAGCAATATTAAGTTTGAACCGCAGTGATTTGTCCGGTGGTCCCTGAAGGCGTCACAGGGTACCAAACTGTTCGGTACGTCACGTTGTTCTGGTGACGTGTTGATCAGTTCTCCTTCCACAACTTAACTAAAAACAAAACAAGAATCCAAAAGGATGGGAATGCTGAACATATTTTAAAAACTCTCTTCAGAACTGAGTTTAATTACATCAAGAGACTGTCTTTTTTTTTATTATTTCCACATTCTTCCATGCAAAAAGACTCAGTTATATGGAAGCTCATGAATAAATATAAATGTCCAGGTCCAACTGTCAATAAAGCAGAGTTATAAAAGACACAACTAAAGCTCGTCCATTCCACAGTCCCCCATTTAAAAATCTGATCAGGCTTGATCCAAAAAGGCTTGGCTCAAAGGAATCTTCATGTCCAATTCCCACATTTAAAGACAAACTACAAGGAATTTCTGCTTTGTTCATTTTTATTTTGACTGTGATAACATCCCAGTAAAGAAATCAAAATGGTCACATAATTCCCAGGAATGGAAGGGAATCAAGATGGATGGATAGATAAATGATGGGAACCAGGATGGATGGAGGGAACCAGGATGGAACAATAAAGGGAAGGGGCAGGGAAGGATGGCTGGATGGAGTTCGTTTGGGTCAGAAAGCAGCTTCTTATCAGGATGGTATAGTCAAATCCTCATTTTCTTCTCTCAGATCGGCCCAGCAGGAGAAGCTCACTGCATCCATCGGCTCAGTGCGACTGAAACTCAACAGGTGAGGCCGCTTCCATGTTCATCAGAAATTAAAGTTTATTGATCTTTGTGTTCTCACATCAGTATGCCATAGCCACTGTTAGTTGACAATGGGATTAAAACAATTCGGTTTGTGGGAATAAATTCAGGGACAATTCATCGTCCAACAAAATTTACGTTGACTGTCACAATAAGTTTTGCTGGATGACAAATTGTCCCAAGAAGTTATTGCCATAAACGATAAAACGGTAATGAGACCATCTTCAATTAATACATGGCTAAAGCATAATGATGCAAGAACACATTCTCAAAGATTAATAAACTCTAAAACCTCAACTGAGAAGAAAGAAGCTGCTGAGTGGAAGACCGAAGGGAAGAAGTCCTCTTCTTTCTCAAACTTTAAATTCTAATGAACATTTAACACTGGAACTGGAAGACATTTACAATATCCTAATAAACAGAATCTACAAAATAAAAGAAATTATGAAGTCCATGATCTCAATTAAACCTTTTATTAAAAGAACAATTTTGTTTACAAAACACCAGATTGAAGACTTTATTCATCCGGTTTTTGGTAGAAACAGAGAAACAAATCAAGCAAAAGGAAATTGAAGGCAGGAAGGTGACAACAGGACAGGACCAGGTTCTAGGTCAAAGCCTTTAAATGAAATCACCACTTTTCAAAAACTCATTTTTAAAACATTACTTAAATAAACAGCAAAATAAAACAAGAGTTAGTTTCAAGTCAATAAGGAAGCATCACCTGGAAAACCTCCTGAGCCGCTGATGTAAGAGCAGCTTAAAAAATGTCAAGTTACAGAAGGCCAGATGTCCAGGATCAGGCATCAAAACTCAAAAATAACAGTATGTGAAGCAAACAGGAAACTGATGGGACAGCACAATTGATTCACAACTCCTCAGTCAGTTCAATGTGTTTACTATAAACATTTTATATTTTAAAAGGGGTAAAAATCCCCATTTAAAATAACCTACAGCTTGGTGAGAGGTGGGAGGAATAAAGCCTGGTGGCCCCACCAGGCTGATAAAGAGAAACTGAGTTCTGTCTGTATCTCTGGTGGTAAGCAGGAACCCTATTTATATAGTCATCTCTAAATAGAAACACTGTATTTATATTTCTAAGCAATTTTTGGACTGCTCTTGGTCCAATCCCTCACCCAGGAGCCGTTTGCTCCAGCAGACCTGTCCCAAATAAATGCATGAAGCCTCCGGCAGCCCTAGGATCACTGGGACACTCAAACCCCTCCACCACGATAAGGTGGCAGCCCACGGAGGGGAAAAAACAAAGCCAGAAACAGTTCCATTCTCTGACCTGAACTGATCTGGAGAGAGGCCAGAAGGTGGCGCTCTCGTGTTTCTAACTAAACAAGTTCAGTTAAAAACTAAGCTTTTTGTTTTCTCGGTTATTTTTCTTTCCATAGGAGCTACACCTGGTCTCCTATTCTGATTAGCTGGGGTTGCTTCCTGGAAAAGGGCATTGGCTGACATGATGCTGCCATCACCTCACCGTTCTCCCTCTCCTTTTCATTTCCATGAACACGGAAAGTTCTCTACATCAGCTGACCCGTTGTTGTGTCTCTGCTCCGTCTTCCCTAAATCTCTTTTCAGTCATGGCAGATTGCTGCTGGTACTGAGCCCGGTTCTGGTTCTGTTGAAGATTTCTTCCTGCTAGAGAAGAGTTCTTCTTCTCCACTGCTGCTACATGCATGCTCTGTATTAGGGACTGCTGTAAAGTCAACAACTCAACACAAGCAATTTGCTGTGCCCCTGCTGGTCAGAGGGAGTGAATGCTGTGAGTAATGATTCCATACAATCTGTTGAGTTTAATTTGGTAAACTTTTTAAACTGCTTTATAATTAAGTGAACTGAATGGATTGATAACTTGGATCAATAGTAATCTGACAAAATTGAAATGACTTTTCATGAAGTGCTTTGACAACAACATTGTTATGAATTAACATTTTAAGCTTTTAACGTTTTGCATCTACTTTTGGGGTTTTGAACGTTTTGCATCTACTTTTGGGGTTTTGAACGTTTTGCATCTACTTTTGGGGTTTTGAACGTTTTGTATTGGTTTTTGGTTTTTTATATTGTTTATTGGTGGGGTTCAGTTGTTAGTGTGAACGTTCAATTTTATATATTGCCAATTCACAACAAATGTCATCTCAATGCACTTCGAAGTAATTTTAAGTTCAATCACATGTATTCCAATTGCTAGTACTATAAGCTCAGTTGATTATTAAAGTAGTTTAAAAAGTTTGTACCAAATTAAACTCAACAGATTGTATGGAATCATTACTCACAGCATTCACTCCCTCTGACCAGCAGGGGGCAACAGCAAATCGCTTGTGTTGAGTTGTTGACTTTACAGCAGTCCCTAATACAGAGCATGCATGTAGCAGCAGTGGAGAAGAAGAACTCTTCTCTAGCAGGAAGAAATCTTCAACAGAACCAGAACCGGGCTCAGTACCAGCAGCAATCTGTCATATCTGACAAGAGATTAAGGGAAGACAGAGCAGAGACACAACAACGGGTCAGCTGATGTAGAGAACTTTCCGTGTTCATGGAAATGAAAAGGAGAGGGAGAACAGTGAGGTGATGGCAGCATCATGTCAACCAATGCCCTTTTCCAGGAAGCAACCCCAGCTAATCAGAATAGGAGACCAGGTGTAGCTCCTATGGAAAGAAAAATAACTGAGAAAACAAAAGCAGGTGAAATAAATAATGTAGTAGAAACAGAAAATGCCAAACCAGCATAAATACAGACAGATCACAATAAACCAGTCTAAGTCTTCCCATAAAAAAAATGCCATAACCATGGTAACACTAAAATTATGCACAAACACATTTTCAAAAATAAATGTACATTAAATTCTAACATTTAATACTGAACTTTGAAGACATTTTACATGTAAAATAAATATAACAAAAAGAATTATGAACTCTCTAAACAGAATTCTTAATAAAAAAAAATGGCTAAATGAGCCCAAAGTACCAGACTGAAGACTTATCCAGTTTTTGGTAGAAAGAAAACAAAAACAAAAGATAAACTGAAGTCCTTTTGATAAGTGTTCAAGTTCAGCTACTTCTTCTGTCTGCGGATTGGGAAAAAAAACAAAGATGATCCAGGTGGATTCCTGAAGGACAAAAAGGACAGGTGCAGGTCAAACACCTCAGAATAAAATGGTCACTTTTCAAAAACACGTGAACTTTAATAACAGCAAAATACCAGCAGCATTTTTTGAGGAAGACTGCTGAGCCCGATGGCAGGGTCACAAAGGTCATCCATCAGTGGGGTGGCATTTAGGTTCTTTTCCATTGTTGTTGGGGCAATGATCCAGGATGGTTCCTGAAGGACAACAACAGGATGGGTTCAGGTTTAACTCTTTAGCAACTCAATGAATAGTCACTTTTCAAAAACTCACACTTGTAAATATCAAACAGCAAAATACCTGCAGTATTTCTTGAGGAAGACTACTGAGACTGTTAGGGTAATTAGTGTCATCCATCAGCAAGGGGTGGGAGGAGGAGATGATGGCCTTTTCTATCGGATGATGGGGATCCGATGAAGGGCAAAATCCAAGACGAAAAACAAGATGATCCAGCAGAAGTCCTAAAGGACAGCAGAACAGAAAGACAACAAGACAGGTGCAAGTTTAAGGTCAAACAAGTTCTCTGAAATTATCACTTTTCAAATACTCAGAAGACCTCTCCAATAACAGCAAAATACCTGCAGCATTTCTTAAGACATCTGAGCCCGATAGCAGGAGCACTGAGATCATCCATGAGCGATGACAGCGAAGGTCTTTTCCATCGGCCATTGTTGGGAGCAGTTGGAGAGTGGGTGGGTCCCTTGAGGACTTTTCTCCCCCATGAGTCGCTGGAGATTTTGTTGTCACTGGAGTAGTTTTCACTTCTCCAGTGTCGGGAGAGTTTGTTTTCACACAAACCCGACCGAAGGGTAACTGACCCCTTACCCGTCGGGAGGGTTCGTTTTCGCACAAACCCAACCGAAGGGTAACTGACCCCTTACCCGTCGGGAGGGTTCGTTTTCGCACAAACCCGCCGAAAGGTAACTGACCCCTTACCCGTCGGGAGGGTTCGTTTTCGCACAAACCCGACCGAAGGGTAACTGACCCCTTACCCGTCGGGAGGGTTCGTTTTCGCACAAACCCGACCGAAAGGTAACTGACCCCTTACCCGTCGGGAGGGTTCGTTTTCGCACAAACCCGACCGAAAGGTAACTGACCCTTACCCGTCGGGAGGGTTCGTTTTCGCACAAACCCGACCGAAAGGTAACTGACCCCTTACCCGTCGGGAGGGTTCGTTTTCGCACAAACCCGACCGAAAGGTAACTGACCCCTTACCCGTCGGGAGGGTTCGTTTTCGCACAAACCCGACCAAAAGGTAACTGACCCTTTACCCGTCGGGAGGGTTCATTTTCGCACAAACCCGACCAAAAGGTAACTGACCCCTTACCCGTCGGAAGAGTTCGTTTTCACACAAACCCGACCGAACTGTAAATGAGAAAACACTGAACACACAACCTTTTGTTACCAAGGGTAATTCCTTTTGTAATTATGATCAAAAGTCCTGCATTTCACATAGCCTACCTTGTTTTTCACGAGTGGAGTATTGTGCATGGAACAGATCGACCCCTTCGTTGTACTCGTTTGTAATTAAATTCCTCAAATTCATCCGATGACTTCATAGCCTTCAGGATTGGCTACTGGAAGTACCAAAGCACCTTTCTTGGCTTTGTATTCATACTCCAACCTTTCACAGTCCGAGGCCATCTGGTGTCTTCAGCCAAACTTTTGATTGGCTTCCGTATCTTCCTGGTCCATATACCATAGCTTCCCGGTCCATATACCATAGCTTCCCAGTCCATATACCATAGCTTCCCAGTCCATATACCATGTCCATATACCATAGCTTCCTGGTCCACATACCTTAGGTTCTTGGTCCACACACCATGTGTTGTTGAGAAGGCCTTAAATTCTCAACCATGACCACAAAACTCTCATTCACCACTATACTAAGGATGCATGTGGTGACGGGAGAGAAAAAACAACAAAAAAAACTTCCCTTTAACAGGAAGACTTCACCAAAAAGAAAAACTTCCCATTAAGAGGAAGATTTACCAAAAAAAAAAATTTAAACTGCAGTTAACATTGATTAAAAGTTATTTAAGCTGAAGCAGATACTCATTCAGCATACATCTTCAGTAAGAGTGGATAGGAAAAACTTCCCTTTAACAGAAAGACTTTCCAAAATAAGGTAAATTCTGCCCATTTAAATTGGTTGAACGTTAAGCTAAAGCAATGATTCGTGTAGAGGGTCCCATCTAGTGACAGTGGAGAGGAAAAACTTCCCTTTAACAGAAAGACTTTCCAAAAGAAATCAACACTGCACCAATTTAAATTTGTAAAATTATACAAGTAAGCTTAGGCAATGCCTCATAATGAACATGCATGTTGTGACAGTAGAAAGAAAAAGCTTCCCTTTAACAGGAAGACTTCCCACCCCCCAAAAAAAGAAAAAAAAAAAAAAAAAAAAAAAAGTTATTAAACATTGGCTGAAAGTTATAAAAGCTTAAACAATGCCTCATATTGAGGATGCATGTGGTGACAGTGGAGAGGAAAACCTTCCCTTTAACAGGAGGACTTTCCAAAAATAAAACCTTCCCTTTAACAGGAGGACTTCAGAAACATTAACACTGCACCAATTACATAAATTCATTCTAAATAAGCATAAACAATACCTGCTACTGAGGATCCACGTGGTAACATGAATGGGAAAACTTCCCCATAACAGGAAGAATTTAAAAAACAAAGACTTCCCTTTAACAGGAAGAATTCCCAAAATAAGGTTAACACTAGAACAGTTATTTAAATTTGTTAATAGTTAAGCTGAAACAATGACTTGTACTGAATATCCAATTGGTGACAGTGGAGAGAAAAGACTTCCCTTTACCAGTAAGATTTCCAAAAAGAAAGACTTGACTTTAACAGGAAGACTTTTCCAAAATAATAATAAATAACGGTAATAATAAAACACTGCACCAATTATTTAAATTCATTAGAAGTAAAGTAAGCTTAAGCAATGCTTCCTCTCCAGTGGTGACTGGAGAGGAAAAGCTTCCCTTTAACTGAAAGACTTTCCCAAATGAGGCCAACACTACAGCATTTATTTAAATTGGTTAACAGTTAAGTAAGCCAAATCAATGCCTCATATTTAGGATGCATATAGTGACAGTGGAGAGGATAAACTTCCCTTTAACAGGAAGAACCCTCCAGCAGAACCAGGAGTTGGCTCTGTATGAAAGGCCATCTGCCACTACCCCCAGGGGATTTGAAAGGACAGAATGAAGAGAGACAGAAAAAGAAAAAGAGCTGCTCCAGGGGTGTTTCTATAGGAGAAAAGGGAGTTAGTTGTAGTAGAAGCTCCTTTGGTGGCTTTATCTGTGAAATAAAAAAAAAGTTATTTGCAGCAAAAGGTCCACCAGTTGCTTAGTCTAGGAGGGAAAATTGGTTAAAAACAAATTTAAACACTGAAGGACAGGTCCAAGTCGATCCTCTCCAGAAGGAAAACATGGAGCTGAAAACCTGTAAATAGGAAATGGTGGGTTACAGTGTGAACATTACCTGTAACCTCTGGCCTGCAGCTCCAGGAGATCTCCTCGTTGTCCGTTGTCGTTCAGAAGAAATGAAGTTGACGAAATTGAACACGGCCACGCGTTGTTTCGGCGCAAAAACTAATCGGTTTTCACGTTTAAATTGAACGTAAATTGAATTTGTTTGAATGATTGAATTATGAAAGTATGGACCCTAAATTTTAAGTAGATACAAAAAATAAAAAAAATTATGTATGTTGAAATGTAAAGACCTCATCTTCACTCAAAAACTATATTTGGTATTCATTGGAAATGATACAACTATACTACTGGGAACATAGCCACAGTATATAAGTACTAATAAGTAGGTATGTTATCAAGACTTATAATAGAGATATTTGAAAAGCCTGAGCTGAATCCCTTCCTACACCCTCTAAACTGTATTTGCCAAGTCTTTGGCAGCCAACATATCACAACTGAAAGAAGGATTTAAAACAGCAGAATCCTTCTTGATTCATTGACTCTCAGCAGAGAATCAAACCAAAACCAGCACGCCAAGAGGCCTAGCGTTGGCCTTCAACAGCGTTAGCATCAGCAGCATAGCAAAACCCGCAACAGCTCCTACCCTGAGATGTCTTCTGGACCCGCCATTGGAACAGTTCTTGACAGATTTAACAAACCTTTGACGGGTTGGGCGGATCCGCCAGGCACCTTGTAGCGATTCCTCAGCTTGACGGAAGCGATCCTCAGCTTGATTGAAGGGAATCCTCAGCTTGATTGTAGTACATCCATTATCGATCAACTGCAAACGATCCTCAGCTTGATTGTAGTACATCCATAATCGATCAACTGCCAACGATCCTCAGCTTGATTGTAGTCCATCGATCAACTGCCAACGATCCTCAGCTTGATTGTAGTCCATCCGTCATCGATCCACTGCTCGCTCCAGACGCCATCATATCTCCTCAGGTGTTTCAGGGACGCCACCAGCCAAACCAACCGCCGCTGAGAGGCCACGGTCGGGTCTCTACTGCTGCTGGTCTGTTTGGGCACAAAAAAATGGCTTCACTAAAGTCTTCGGTGGAAAAAGACAAAGACTTAGAATAAGGTTTCCGAAAAATAACTTACCGAATGACCAACGCAGCGACCTCAAAGTTGGCGCTCCAGCAGCGGACCAGCCTCCACTGCGGCCTCCTCGTAGGTCAAACCAGGCTAGCCGCGTCTTTTTTAAACGCTCACGTTGAAGCTGCGTCATAGTTCTATCCATCTTGGCGCATGCGCATCACGCTCATTAATAACAAAAATGGCGCCATTCGCCATTGTTGCCAGATGTGAAATTTTCCAGTCAAAAAGCAGTGTAGAACTAAACCTGCAAAACTTTCCCAACTGCAAAGAAACAGTACAAATCTAAACCGCTAATGAAACTCATGTTTCAAGCACTATATGTTTTATTCATAATCTACACCTTATATAGTTAGAATAATTTAGAGAAACAGTAAAATTTTACATTTATTTTTCATAATTTAGGACTGAATTGTTATGTTTTTAAGTTTTCAAAATGTATTTTTTTCTAAGAACTAATACATTTTTAGAAAAATTTAGAGAAACCCTAAAACTACATGAGGGATTATGTTTTCAAAGCTTAATACCAAACTGCTGCTTCAGTATATCCTTACTCTTATGGAGAATGTCAAATGATAATAAATAACTTATGTAATAATTATTTAAGTGTGCCATTAAGTTATTAAAAATCTTGACTGTCCAAAGATCTGTCTTTTGATGTGTCTTTAAATAATATAAGTTTACTCATAAATTGCTTATTTAAAAATGTACAATAAAGTTTTGTGAAATAAATTTTTCTTTAACTTTGATTTATTTGTTGTTTTGTTTTGTTTTGTTTTTTCCAAATATAAGTCAACAGATCTTAATTAAACGTACAGCTTGGATTTAATTTAAATGTAAGCTATAAACTCTTTGTCGTTTTGATATTTCTGAACTAAATAAACTTTAATTGCTGGTATCCAGAGCTGTGTAGATTATTACCAACTTCATCTGCGATCTCTACAGAAACAGAGACACTTGGCCTTCAACCACCTGTCAGAAAAATCATTTAGTTTCAACCATATTTAGCATTTTTCAAGTCCCTTACTTAACTATTAACCATTTATTTAAGGAAAGTTGTGAAACTAAAAAATAAAAGCAGAATTTTTCCTCCACTTTTCAATTTTTTCTGATGTGTTTTGAAAAACATATTCAACTTAAAGAAGCAGTAAAGCTGTTGTTTATGCAGCAGTTGCATAAAACAACATAGTGATCAAATTGTGTATTAACAGGCAAGACAACAGTTTAGTGTGGCTTCAGGCCATGAAGAGCACAGTGCTTTCTGTACATGGAGGAGAAAAATCATAGCAGCCTCTCAGTTCATTGAGCAATACAGGACATTAGTAAACGTGGAAGGGGCTTACGGCAGGCTCTGTCCTAGGATGCCCTCTTGACTCAGTGCTGGTGATGGGAGACAGTCGGACTCTGGCGACCATAACATCAGTGTCTCCCACTCCCAAGTAAGAAGCTGCTGCTGAACTGCAGAGCTCCTTCAGTGACAGATTTCTGCATCGGAGCCCAAAGGAGCTTTATCGCAGCTCCAGCAGCTGTTAGACTTTGTAACATTGCTGCTCCCTTCTGGTATTTGCACATTCCAGCTGATATTTGCAAAGTTTTTCTGAGTTTTGTGAATACTCTGTAACTTTTTTCTACCTAGATATATACACTTTTTTTTCGCATTTTTAAAAAAATATTCAACTCAGTTTCTCATTTTTACTAATCTGAATATGCTATTTATAATAACTATGCTGTATTATTTTCTTTATGTTGTAAATTTTCCGTTAATGTACTACAACTGTACTTTATCTTTCCTCAGCTACACTATGCTATAATTAGTATAATTTGTGATGATCTTACATCATACCGTTAGATATTACGGTATGATTAATTATGACTATTAATATTAACCAACTTTTTTTGTAATGTTTTTCATCTTATTGTTTGAATGTCACTTTAATTTAACTTTAAAGGGCTTTTTAATCTCCACTAGACTTTATAATTTGGTCTTTCTCATGATGTAATTTTTAAATATTACATGATTAATAATTTAATCAGTTACTCAGTACTTGAACAGATTTCTTACCAAATACTGTTTTACTTCAGTAATTTCTTGACTGGCTACTTTCTACTTTGAGTAAAAGTATGTTGAAGTCGTGTTACTCTTACTTGACTTCAATTTTTAGATACTTTGGACTCTCTGCCTGTATCACCGGTGTTGTAGTTCTGAAATTTTTCTTTTACAGCTTGAGATGCATCATAAATTTATGGTAAATTTTATACATCAAGCATATCAACACAACCAAGTGTAAGTCAATGTCATTTAAATATTTTTTTTTTTTTAAAAAGCAGTTTTAGATTAGATGAGAGAAAAAGTGAAACTTAATAAAAAGTGAAACCTTTTGTTTGATTCAAGTCAGAATTTCTTCAGACGTTAACAGACTGTTGTTTTGCGCTCTGGGTGGTCTGAGACTTCCTGCTCATTAGCGATCAAAAGTAATCTGCCTTTTTCTGTCTCTTTCCCAGCTGCCACATGTAGGAAGTTGTAGCTTTTCTGAACAGCTGGTCGGACACCAAGAAGACATTTGCAGAAACGCAGCATAACTTGCACATGAAGTAAAACCTCTTCTGCAATTCTTGGGTTTCCAGCTCCCGATGGAAAATCAAACAATGAGTATTTTCATTTGTGTCTGTGTTGGATACAGTTTTGGTCATTAATTTGTGTGTTTATGCATTACCAGGGAAACACTAAATCTAGTGCAGTTGCCCAACATTGTACCAGAAATCTGTTGACCACAGCTCTTAGGGGGAGGGAAACGTTTTTGAGGAAATGGGTGTAGAGAACCCCTCCTATGCCCAACTCTGCATTCCTCCTCTGCACTCTTTTCTTAATTTTCCCAAACGCCTCTGCAGAAGAAAGACGAGAGGGAAACAGCAGAACAACAGCTGAACCATCAGAGGATCCAGGAGTTTATATCCTGTTGCTTCAAACATAACGGTAAGTTTTTTCTTTGCAACAGCCTGGCACTTATTAGATCACTCCAAAATAGGTCATTGCATGCTTTTACGAAGATGTTAACCAGAGAGCTTGCAGACGTAATTAAATGTCCTAAAATAGCTTTGGGCTGAATGTTGTACGCAAGTAAGACGATGGTTTTGTGTATTTATGATTCGTTTGCATTTGTAAGAGTCCAAAGTTACATCTGCATATGATCAAAGAGTCGTTCAAACACATTTCTCTCTGACCACTTCCTGACAATAACAGCGCAGGGAAGGATGTCAAACCTCCCTCTTCAGAGTTTTACTGTAGACTTATTATGTTACACTGACAATGACAATGTTCTATGTTGCTTTATCATCAATCAATTTGTTCCAACTGGAATGTAAAAGTGAAGTTGAGCAAGAAGACGAAGCAATGAACTGACGCCCATGTCCAAATTCCATCCTAAACAATAACACTGAATGTCAGGATTTATTGGAAAGTAATTCCAGAGATCAGGGTAAAAATAGGAGGAAAAATCTATGAAGCCAGATGTATTTTCCATCAACTAAAGGTTTTGCTAACAGTCCAAATATCAGGCTGTACACTTGCAACATGGTGTATTTATTTCAGATAAGTAAAGCGGAGCAAGGTCTAAATCCAAATATGATTACTTTCAGTTTCATCATAATCAGACGACGGCAGGCTAGATTATCAAAATGTTCTTTTTGATTCAGCCTGCAACTTTTTAGACAAACTGGAACTGAACTATATCTATCAAACTGAAACACAAATTCCAAGCAAAAAAACAAAGTGTTTATTTTAAATGAGAAATGGTGAAAATAACAAAATAGATGGAGTGCTTTAGATCTCAAATAATGAAAAGAAAACTAACAAGTTCATATTCATTTAGAAATAACGACACCAATGTTTTAACTCAGAGCAGAAATCTACATGTTTGGAATAAGCAGGAGGTTTTCAAAGGGGTTCAGTCCAGTGGGCTCTTCATTTTTTTCCACACATGGTAAATAAGTACTAAATTCATCACAATATTTCATTGTAAACATATTTCTAAAGGTAATATAGACATGAAATTCCCACCAGGTATTGGGTATCATTACATGTAGCTATTCTTCAATGTTTTCAAGCGGTTCATTACCGTACATAATATTAAATGAAAATCAATAAGTATTTAATACTTTTTTTCTTGTGTCATTTCATATTGTTACACAAAACTTAATTTCAGATTTTTATTTATTTTGGGTTCTTTTCATGCATGGATTACTTGGGTTGGCATCAACACCAACAAAGTGTCAATAGCGCATTTAGAAACATGTTTAAAATGAAAAGTTGTGACATGTCCAATACTTATTTTACTTGCTGTATCTGAACGCATCGTTTATGTGACAAAGAGATTATTTAAATATAGAATGTTATTTTCCCTTCACAACAGAAAAGCAGAACTGAGTCAATACAGCCTTTTCTGCTCCTGCAGGGGATTTTAAATATATGTGACATTAATTTTGTTTTTAGAAGTTTTTAATGAATTGTCTTAGCAGCATGATTTAAGTCTTTAAAAAAAAATTTCTGGTTATTAAACATAGCAGAAGATTACCAACCTTCTAACAGACCATCCAGCATCCTTGCTGAATAACTTTCATGTTTGTTTGTTGTTTGCATGATTTAAGTGGACAGAGCATGAAGTGGCCCCACCTTCACTTCTCGCTTTCTTGTGCTTTGATAAAGAAGATCCTCATCACAGATGAAAAGCTGCATGACGAAAGAGCCGAGTTTCCTCAGGAAATTACCTCCACTTTTATGTGTGATTTTAGAACATGCAGAAAGAAAAATAAAATGTTTATCATTGGTAAAACAAAATTGTCAGTGTCTATTGTTAATCAATAGTTTCTTCTGTTTTAACACCACAGGTTTCTTGGCTGTAGGACACATTTTGCTGCAAACAGCCATGGTGTGTCTGCTGGTGTCCGTTACTGTCCTGCATTTGGTCAGCTTGGCCATGCTGTTCATCGCCACTCTGGAAAAGGTTGGAGAATTAGTTTGAATGTGCTCTGTCCCTGTTTAAACACTAGAGGGCACCATCACACCTTCTGCTTTTGCAAAAGGAAACTGTCCGCAGCTTTTGAATAATTTTGGTTTCATCGTTGCAGTCCTGGTGGGTTTGGACAGAGACAGAAATCACTGACCTTTGGCACAACTGCTTCTACATGAACTCCACGCAAACCTGGGTTTGTGCAGCAGCCACTGAAAGCGGTAACTTATCAACAAGTTGCTCAACTTCTCCAAATTAGATTCTTCTTTTGAGGTTGGGAGTTTGTTGTTCTATCATACCCTCCTTTTTTCCCACTTTTCCCAGACTGGCTTCAGTCCGTTCAGGCCCTCATGATCCTGTCTGTGGTTTTTTCGTCCGTCTCTCTCCTGGTTTTTCTGGGTCAGCTCATCTTCTTGTCCAGGGGACGTCTCTTCTACTTTACAGGCCTCTGCCAGGCATTTGCAGGTAATTGTATGACTTTGTCTTAGTCTATGTTAAAGATAGAGTGGATCTCAAACATAAAAAAATGTCACAAATGATTTTAAACACTTTTTGACATCAACATGTACAATTAAACTTAATACAAACAAATCTGAGATTAATTTTAAGGAATCTGATTGAATAATGTTAAATAATGTTCAGACTTTCTGAGTCAGATTTTCTTGGAAAGGATCAAATGGATTAAAAAGAAAATTACTCAACAAATTTGTCAGTCAGGACAAAGAAATGCTGCTTCCAACAAAATCAATGAGTATTTACATACATGATGACGTTTGCTCGATCACCTGCTCAGTTCTTACTCATTTTTAAATAACATTTCCACTGTTATTCCACACTTTTTGTCTGTAAATAGTTTATTTTTTTAATATTCAGCACACATACACAATAAGTACATTTTTGTAAAAGTGATCCGGCTCAGTTGCACATCCTTTGCGAGTATTTCTGAGAACTGCACAGTATTTTCTGTTACAAGAAAAGATTAACAACAACAATAGTGATGATAGTATACTGTACAGTTTTGTACAGTATACTATGTTTATGTATTGTTTTTAGCACTTCAGTAACTCTTTTTTGTGTGAGCCTTCACACCTGATGCTTCTGTTACACCTGAATGCCCCCTTTGTGTTTCTATTCAGTTTTATTTATTAACACAAATATTTGCTCAAGCTTCCGAATGATTGAATTAATGTTTCAACTGGGCAAAAAGTCCAGTCTTGAGTTTACAGACTGGACTTTGTTACTAAACTGACTGTCGACTGTTAGTGTTACAACAAAGAAGAAGTGATTAATGTAAAAAACTAAGCCTTGAAGTACGTGTAAAATCCTAGAGTCAGTAAATCCTGCAGCACAACCTTCCAAGCAGCTACATCCAAAACTTACGTCAGCAAGTGGGAATGTAGATCAGCCTGTGGACCAGAGGAGAAGGCTCTTTAGAGGGACAAATTATGCTTTTGTATCTGGCAAAAGGCCCTGTTCACACAGTCGGCTCATCTTCCCATTTCTGAATTTTTCAGGGGATAAAGTGACCAGATCAGACATTTTAGAATAATTATGAATGCTTTAGATAAGGCCCATATTGGATTTTTTTTATTGCACAATCAAGTAACTGTGTTAGCTTCAGTTGTAAATATGCTGAACATACCAAACATGACTTAATTTGATGCCTTAAAAATTGAGCTTCCATCTTTTTAAGACCGCGGTGTCAAACTTCGGTCTTGCAGCTTTTAGGTGTCTCCTTGCTTCACCACACCTGGCTCCTATATTATATTAATACTGTGATGTAAAGCTCAAAAAAGGTTTTTACTTTTAAACTGGCCCTTGGAGAAATATTCATATCGCTTACAAGCATCCAGACTTCCAACTTTGAATTGGCAAATATTACCAAGTCAACATGTGTGACGCCGTTCAAAGAAGACCAAATGAATCAGCACTTCATTAGTTTAAGGGCGTACACACTTATGTAATCGGGTTTTATCCAAAAGATTTGTTGGTTTTGCAAATAATTCCCATCACATTGAAGCTGGGAAAAGTACCTGAAATCATTTATTACACATGTAATGTTTAAAGACTAACATTTGAGTCAACTTACCTTTTAACATTATCTTTATAATCTCAAGTTTTATCAAACACTGAATCAAATAACCATTGTTGCAGCTAGATCGTTTTTGGTCCAATTTCTGGAGGTGAAAAGCATCAGTACTGGATTCAGGCGCTGTGGTAGATTCAGTAAATATGACATGTTTTTTTTTTATTCTTGCAGGTTTTACGGACTTTTCCGCTTGCCTCATCTTCACCTTCCACAGAAAGGAGATTCTAAGCAACTCCAGAGATCCAAGCAACGGACGCTTTGGCTTCTGCGTCATCCTGGCGTGGCTGTGCGTCCCTCTGCTTCTCGTCAGTGGAGTCCTGTACGTCCATCTGCGGAAGAAGCAGTGAAGCAAGAAGAAATAAACACATAAAGGGAGCTGTTTTCAGAGAATCTTTAAACAGAATGAGGTTAAATGTCCAGAAGCGACACATTTTATTTTATTTTCTTCTCTTGTGTGGCGAAATAATCTTGATAGCATCTCAGAAATGCTTTGAGATCTAATCTCATTGTGTAATATGAAGCATAATGCAAGAGAAAAATAAACTCAAACTGTTTTAAGTCATTGTTTGGGATCATTTTGAAGCTCTCAGATTGCTCATTCTAAAAGAAACATATTGTGAAATCTCTCCTTCACTGGAGAGGGTTTCTGTGTTAATGGGACTAAAATATGCATTTGGATTTGTTTTGTGCATGACACAAAGACTATGGCACTACGCAGCTGTACGAGTCTTTCTCTTTGTGTTTTAATCTGTAACTCATTTGATTGTTTATCTTGCCGAATTATGACATCACCATTTTCTGCAGAACTGACTGGGGAAAAATAAGGGAGCGACTTGCCAACGACGGCCTTTGTGTCGGTTTGGTGTCATAAAATCTAGAAGTATTTCCTACTAAATCAAAAAGAAAGCGATGCGGTTGCACCTGTTGCCTGTAGAAAGGAAGGCTGCTTCGCAACAGTAACAAGGTAATTGTTTCCTGTTAACCCATCCGTCAGGCTGAACCAGTCTGAAAGGATAACTGTGAGGTGAATGTCAGATACATGGAAGTATTGTTCAACGCTCACACACCTCTAAGAAAGGTGGAGGGAGAAATCAGCAGAAACCAAACACCCACTTTGTCTAAATAAAGTGTCCAGCAAAATTATGGCATTTTTGTGATACAATAACCATAAACTTAAATGTGCTTTACAGGCTTTTGATTGAGAAATCAACACAAAGCTCATCAATGAAATAGGAGGAAAATTACACGTCATACATTTGTATTGAGCTCCCGTCTTTCACTTGCAAGTCTGTACATCTCTACTAGCTTTACACATCTCAGGACTGGATCTTTTCCTTAATCTTCTTTTCAAAACAGATCAAGCTCAGTCAGATTTGAAGGAGCGCCTCTTTGAACATCAGGTTTTACGTCTGACTGACTTACGTCTGGGCTTTGAGCCAATCTAATGCTTATGTTTTTTACTAGTTCTTTGGTCTTTGTTTACCGGTGGCCTCTTGGCGGAAGGTCAACCTCCTCCCAGCGAACTCTTGTGCAGCATCAGTTTGTTCCCTGCATTAAACTCAATCTATCTTCCCATCGGTGCTGACCAGATTTTCTGTCACCACTGCTTGCTGTGTTCCCAACATGGCTGCAAGGCAAACTCTAAATGAGTTTCTGAAACAATGAAGAAAAATACAAAGTTATTCAAAAACAATTTCAAACCTTTCTTTCTATTGCAGTGGAATAGCAGCTTCTGTGACTGTGCAGGAAAGGGATTTTGTTGAAGAAGTTTGTACCTGGGATCTTTCTGAGTGGAGTTTGCATTTTCTCCTGCATATGTGACATTCTCCATTAATTAATTAATGACTCTAAATTGCCTTAAGAAGTGACTGTGCATGGCTGCTTGTTCTGTGTGTCTCCATGTTGCTCCCTCATGAATTTGCAGAGTGATATAGTCCAGCCCTCCATGCAGCCCTCATTGCTAGACATGAACACACACAATGGATGGATGAAAGTTTACGGTATGTGCCTAATGTGGCTAATTCCCATCATACCTAATGATGCAAATTAGTTGCATCATTCTGTAGGTGCATAATTAAAATGAACAATAAATATCTATTGTCAATATAAATATATATTAATTCAGGCACTCAGGAGCAAATGATTATCCTATCAACAGATTCTCTCACCTGTGAATCTTGACACATATCAGGCTGAAAAAAGTTAAATGCAAAAGAAATTCCAAGCTTTGCAGAATCATATGTGCAAGAAAAAATAATATAAAAACCTTCTTCCAATTCACAGTTATGTGCCAGTTTGAGCTATTCCATGAACATCCCATGAACGCCACTGAAAAGTTGTGCAAAATGTGAAAAAGTCTGAAAGGTATGAAAACATATTTGCATTGCTGTGAGGACTGAAGGGATTGGACAACGACAGGGTGTCTCACTCAGCAAAGCCATGTGTCAGCAGCACTGAATGTCTGGAATCTGAGAACAATGTCAGCAGGAAGGAGTGGAGGAGTTTCAGGAGTACGATCAAACTCACCCAAGGGGAGGGACTGGTGACGAACCACAAGCTCACCGGCAGCACTTCAGCTCTGAAACACCGAGCAGCACAGCAGGTGAGGAGGAATGCTGTGTCTCTTTTTCATTTGTCATTTGGACTTGCGGATATTTTTGCTCCTCAGTTTATGGAGACGGAGCTGCTAGAGATTGTAAAATGTGGTTAATGTTTTTCCTTCATCTGAAGAGGAACCGTGGAGACTGAGATATCTGACGCCCTCTGGACAGATTGTAAAAATTCACTCAAGTGAAGACATCAATACTGGATGACTGAACCTGGGCATTTATTGACAGCCTGGATGTAGCATGACCTTTTGCGAACAGGAAGACCAGATTCTATCTACAAGGTGGAAATGATTTGAAGGGACAGTGAAGGCATCATCTGGAATCATGTCGAACTCCCAGGAACAGAGTCTGAATGAGAACGTGGTTTTCCTGCCAGTGGACGAGTCCTCGCCTCAGTTCTTCCACTCTGAGCAAGAGCGCGAAGCCGTGGAGAGGCTCCTCAACAGCGGACCCGAGGTCTTCTACGGCTCCATCGGCCCAAAGCTTTCCAGCTACTTCTTATCTCCTCAAGAGGTGAGTCAGATAAGCGGCTGGGCTCAGAACTATCACTTCCACAAGCCGGTGGTGGACGACCAGGACGAAACCGACGGGAGCGTCGACTCGAAGAAGATCTGTTCCACCTACGACCCTTACCAATGGGACGTCCCGGTCCCCGACCTGGAGCTCGGCTGGCCAGAGAAACCCGCCGAGGTTCCGAAGAGCAGCGTGACGGTCCACTCCAGCCACCCTGCTGAGGAAGACCTGCGAATCAGAGAGGTCATCAGGCGACACTTACAGGCAGCCAAAACGGTACGTGAATGTCAATCTGAAAACAAAGCATCATGGGAATAAATATGGTTCAGTTTGGGTTAATTTTTTACTATTTAACCCCTAAACTGTCATTATGACTCTGGTGTCAACATGAGCATTTTGAGGGTGACAGTTAAAGCTGCAAACTTTTACAAAATGTTTTTTTTTTTGACATGTTTGTTAAAACTGTCGCTATGTTTTGACAGTATAATACGAGAAGATCAAACTCATCGGTTGCTGTGTTAACTAGCCTGACTATAGTGGTGAACTAGCTGTAGCATAGCAGAGGAGAAGAGGGAGGGTGTGAGCACTGCGCACATGAGTATGATTAACAGCTGTAAGACACTCCTCCTTGTTCTGATTTCTGCAGATGGCAGTAAGACCACATGGGGAAAACAGCAGAGGATTTCAGTGTTTTCACAGATTATCTGTCTTACATTAAGCTGCATACAGACAGTTTGAACAAACCTGTAAAAATATTGAGGCTTTAAAGATAAGAGAAAACTCTAAACTTTAAAATTAAACCTACCAAACTGATTTTACCACAAATTTCTCTTTACGTGATGAAAGTTGGAGTTCATATTTTTTAGATATGTTTTAATTCAACCAACTTGCGTTTGCATGAAATCATGGAGCTTAAATTGAAGTAATTCTTGCATGGCACATGACAATTAGACAAAATAAATGCAGCAAAAAGACAGAAGGCAAAAGTAAAGTAGCTCTAAATCCAAAGATTCCAAAAAAGAACGTTTTACATCTTCTAACCTCTGACCCCAAAACAGAAAGGAAACTAAAATCCCCACCAGTGAGAAGCATCACTTTAAAATCATAGCTAAACTCACTACACCATCGAGCATCTGACAGAAAGAGAGGGAGTGCGCTGTGGCTTATGAAACCCTGCTGTGTGTTTTGCAGGTAATCGCTGTGGTGACAGACCAGCTGACAGACAACGTGATAATCTTTGACTTGCACCAGGCCGCCTCCCGAGGTGTGCCCGTCTACATCATCCTGAACCAAAGGTCTCTGCAGCAGAACTTCACCCTGAACAGGCTCAGGCATCCCGTGAGTCAACACCGAACACATGGCCATTGTTGTTCGAGACGTGAACTTCACAACGCAGTGACAGCCGGACACGTCCCATTTATTGCATGTGTGGCTTGTTGCGTAGGCACATTCATACTGGGAATGTAAAATGTTGATTTAACCGCGTGTGGTTCAGCTGGTCGCTCTGCATTCATGTCTGCTTCTCTGGAGTGATGAAAATAGGGATTTAGGTCTTTGACTTTGACTAGGCCATTCAAAGGCATGAAAACACTTTCTTCTAACCCATTCTCCTGTAGCTTTTTCTCTATGTTGCTTTCCTGCTGGAAGATGATCCTCCACCCTACGTTCAGTTTTTTTTTTACAGCTTTCCAACATAATGGTCTCTAAGCAATTACCAGAATCAGCAAGTTGAAACACTATTGGGTCACAAAAATGGTTCTGATCGGCTTACTAAAAATACAGAAATCATTGTATTGTTAAACTCTTGTCTGCTTCTGTTCTCGACAAATACACTAAACATGTAATATTTAAATGTAATATCGTTAAGATTTTTTCATATTTGGTGTAAAATCTTATTCTGGTTTTCCAAATGAAACGTACTCAAGTCATTTTACACAATCTTAGTAATAATCTGGACTTCATAATGACTAATTTCTATTGATGCATGAAGTTTCTCTTTCTCATATCCTGTTTAACTTCACAGTCTGGTTCCCGCATTTGTCTTGTTTTCTTTCTTGCTTTGGAAAGAAATGAAATGATGACATTCTTTCATTTTTCTTGACTTACTGTAAACTTTCTGGTTTGTTTGTTTAAATTAGTCACTGAAGCAGCAGGTCTAAACATGTGCAGCTGTGAAACGATGTGAACTAAAAGTTCAGTAAAAAAGCTGAACACAAACATGCAAACAAACAAAATACTAATTTAATTTAATCATCAGGCTCCTATACATTAATGATACATTTCTACTAACACTTGTTTGCATGCAGTGGTTTAAATAAACTTTTCAATCTCATTCTGTCTGACTAAATGGAGTTAAGCCATAAGTATTCATACCCCTGGCAGATTTAGATGTAAACAATGCACTACACTAACATGCTTCTTGTGGTGCATTTGGTGGCCTTGCAGCAAGAAGGTTGTGGGTTCGATACCTGGCCTGGGGTCTTTCTGCATGGAGTTTGCATGTTTTCCCTGTGCATGTGTGGGTTCTTCTCCCACATGACGGTCAGGTTGATTGGTTTCTCTAAATTCTCTCTTGGTTTGTTTGTGCATGGTTGTTTGTCTCTGTGTAGAAAATGGATGTTTCTTCTGGATATTAGATCATATTCATATTTTGTAGAGTCTTTGCAGGGCTTTATTATGCTTCTGTAGATTTTTTTGTTTTGTTTTGAATTAGTTTGTAATCATTTTGTTTTTTCAATATAATTCATTTATTGGCTCTTTATCATATTAACATGGTTTTAATGACACATTTTTTATAATTAATGTGTTGGTAAGTAATATGCATCATTAAATTGAGATAAGGGACAGAATTAGATAAGTGTGTAAGCAAAATTGTGTAAGCAAATTGTTTTTGCTCTTGGTTATGCACATTTCCTCTCCTTATTTTCTTGTTTTTAAAAACCTGTTTGCAATAAATTAATCAAAGATTAGTGTGATGGTCAAGAGGCCATCCAACCTCAAAACGCATCACTAGAGATAAATAATCAAAATGCCGGTGGAAACATGAACAAAACTCTTCATCAATTACCAAAAAAAGGTTAGATTTTTCTTTCATTGTATTTTTTGACATAAAGTTATATAATAAAACAGATCTTTTCCTCATTTATAATATTTAATTGTCTTTAGAGATGCTTCCTTCAGACTTACCAGCCTATCTAAACTGAATGATCCACATTTTTCCGTCTGCTTTCAGCCAGAGACGTTCTGCTGCTGCTTTCCTCTTGTCAGCACAACGTTGTTCTGCTGGATCAAAGGCAGCCTCTTTTTTCATTTTCGTTTGCTCTTCCTCAGAAACGTTTCAGCTGCGTGCTTTGGGTCGTTTTTATTCTTCGATCTTCCTCTTCTGTTCGGTCAGGAATTTAATCCTTATTGTCGGCTCGTAATGTTTTATGATCAAAAACAATCAGGTTCAGAGAGACGAATATGATACTTCCCAGAAATCTCTCACGCTGAGCATGCATGTGGTGACAGTGGAGAGGAAAAACTCTCCATTAGCAGGAAGAACCAGGACAACGGACCTTCTCTTAAAATTATAGAGCAACACTCCGTTTCTTTCAGCTTCAGTTTGACTTTATTTTATGTTTTTGTCCCTGTCAGTACATGCAGGTTCGAGTTCTTGGAGGGAAAACGTTTTGCTCCAAGTCTGGAAAGATAGTGGTTGGAGAAATGAAGGACAATTTCATCTTGGTGGATTTAGAGACGGTGATTCATGGCAACTACAGGTGAACAAAAAAACAAAAAAGCATTTTACACATTTTTGGTAAGTCAACTAACCGGATATTTCTTTTGTTTTCCTTCAGCCTCACCTGGACAGACGCTCATCTTCACCGGCAGCTTGTCACGGTCCTGCAGGGCCCGGTTATCGACTCGTTTGACCGAGAGTTCAGGATGCTTTTTGCTGATTCGGTCCCCGTTCCCGACACTTGTGGAGTCACAGCCGGCCCTCAAGTTTACAACCACTACCAGACCAAAGACTTGTCACGCCTCAAAGGGCAGCTCTCTGCTGACTCTGCCATCACAAACCCTCCTTCTCCGCCTGCCGACGTCTTTCTGGACTGGGAAGCGATGGGCGTTCTTCAGACAGACAGCAGCCGGCCTGCGTCTCTTCTGGGTCTACATAAGGAAAACATAGTTGAGAAAATGTCACAGCTGGAAATAAATGAGGACAGCCCAACTGAGGACAGAGTTATCCACAATGATCACCTGGTGTGGAACAGGAGAAGGTAAGGTAGCTGGATGATCTCTTTCTCCTTGAAAACAGGAGAATATAAATTACATTTTCATAAGTGCCGCACCAATAAATCAGCCCTGAGTTCCTTCATTTTGGAAAACCTGTGATCAGCCAATACGTTGGCATGAGGCTGTTGTTATCCACCAGTCTTATCTTCCTCGGTAAAAGTCTAAAAATCTTCTCTTTTTCTCTGCCCTGAGAAATTTGTCCCACCTGGTCACATCTGCAGGTTCCCAGTTCACAATAATCGCCCACTGTTACCAAATGGGCAACTTTCTAGCAACATTTCAGACAAAAATATCAGTATTGATCCAAATCGGAGTCGGTTGGTGATGCTTGTGAAAGATTGGCCAGAAAAGTCCACCCCTAATTTTTATGCATATTTTAAACACAAACCAAGCAAAGATGTCTTTTGACTTTATCATTTATATAATCCACAACAGCAGATGCCAATGTTTTTGCTGGTCATGTTCTGTTTCTGAAATCTTCCTACATTCAACAGGTTAAATGAAGATACATCCCCGCTCACAACCAGAGTGACAGATAATTCAAAAACCAACAAGTGAGTCTTTTTTTGGCATTCACAAACATGGAAAAATAGTTTGGCACCTTTGATTAAACCTTAAATTCATGCTGAAACCATTAATCTCCACCGCATTTTCTATATTCTGTCACTTTAAAAGCACAAACTTTACTAGGATTTGCATGATAGATCAACGCAAAGAATAATGTACAGTTGTGAAAGGACGATATTAAAAAAACACTTCACAGAGATGCATCTGAAAAGTGCAGCGTGCTTTTAAATTCAGCTCACCCTGCGTCAGCACTTTGTAGAATCACTTTGTGATGCAATTACAGCTGCAGCTCTTTGAATCCATGTCAGGGGTCTACAACCTGTGGCTCTGGAGCCACAAGTGGCTCTTTGGGCCTTCCACAATGGCCCTACAGAACTCTAACTAAAGATTTTAAAGAACTAAGTGAAGTTTTTAAACATAAATATGTCAACAAATTAATATTCTAGTAGTTTTTTTCAAGGAATGATTGCATCTACAACAGAGTGACACTAGGTTATATTCTTATTATTATTCATAATGGTTTAATTCTTTAGATTAATTTTTTTGTCATTAAGCTGGAAACTATATTTTTTAACTTGGTCATGTCAACATCCCATACACTGTAAAACATTTGGAGGTGGTTTAACTTGAAAATAAAAGTCCACCTGCTGCCTTGAAAATGCAATTTAAATCAACAAGAGTTAACTGGTTTTAGCTGAGAAATTACAGTTCATGAAGGTGATTTAACAACAAGTTGTCTAAACATTGTTTTTTAAGTTCATGAACTTAAAATGAATTGAGAGTTTTAACTTAATGCTGCATTTTAATCCAAATAATTATTTCACAATATGCTAAAGAGCCACATTTCTCTATTATTTTCACACACAATATCAAGTTAAGATAAATACTTATTTCACTTTAGAATAATTTCAATTCTTTTTTTCAAATTTCATGAACAAAATTTCTGATCTGATGAATTTTATTAAACATGAAAATTAATTGTTTAAAAAGATTTAGTGTGAACAGGACAATATCATCGGGCTTTTAAATAAACATTTGGCTTCATAACACAGGAGTCAGATTAATGTAACTCACTTCCATCTCAGGATGCAAAAACAAGCCGCTAAGCATTCTGGGAAATAATTGCCACTCCTGTCTTTTTCTTATTTCAGGTTTTTAAGTGCTAACACAAAACCTGTGGTTTATTCAACTCTTGTAGTTTTGACAAAATCAATAAAAAGTTAACACAACAACGTACAACTGTAGGTTTATCTTTCACAAACTCACATTTAGGTTCAAAAATCTAAAAATCACTAAACTAATTTGACTTAAAGAGTAAAAGACACAAAAGAGACAAAAGTAAAAGAGACAAAAGACAACTGAATGCGGCTCAAATGTTTTACAGTGTAGAAGAAAATGCGAACTCCAGCTTCTTCCTTTCAAGGCTAGTTGGGCTCGCTAACAGATTTCCCTCCAGTTTGAGTGCATGTGCTGTTTGTTCTGCAGGTTTAGACATGATTTTCCTTACTGACATTAGTGCATAAATGAAGACCTGCTGATGCCAAAATGCATCTATTTGCAGCAGCTTTCTAGAAGGGAGCCAATAGTTATTTTGATGTTTCAGTCAAAAACTTGACTGAGAATTGTCTTATCTCTGCAGCATCAATGCAGAGGTGCTGTCAACAAACCCACCAGCTGCTGAGGGAATAAAAAGGTAAAATCATAAATTTACTAAACTCCTTATACAATAAAATGCGCTAAACTAAAAAATAAAAACCTGTTTTCCCTGCAGGAGCGTCTCTAGGGAGCTTTCTGCAGAGGAACGGCCAAATAAACCTGAGCGGACTGTGACTAGAATCGATGTTCCTCCAGAAACAACAAATTCGTTTTACTCCAAGAGACGATCAGTTGCTCTGATGGAGAGTTTTGAAGAAGAGGACGACAAAACAGTGGATGTTAGTCTGAGAGAGAACAGCTCGTCTTCCACTGTGAGTATCTGAATAAAAATGACTCAAGTATAGCATAGTAAAAATACTCCTGAAAGTACATTTTTCCACAAAAGGTTACTCAAGTAAATGTAATTGAGGTGATTAGTTACCACCAAACTCTGCTTGAAGGCTGAAGCTGTTCTCTGCTTTTGTCAGGAGAAAAAACCTTTAATCCTGAGGGTGCCGCACCGGGGCAACTTCAGCTCTGTGAGCGACATCATGAAGAGGCTCAAGAAGGGAACGCCGGCGGTGTGGAGGAAAGGAACCAACACCGCCATATCGGACCGGACCCAGTCCATGATGGACCGGACCCAGTCCATGATGGACCTGAGCGAGAACAGTGACAGCGACAGGGAGGCCGCAGTGCCTCGCTTTCTGAGCAATGTGAGCGTTCAGAGAGGTTCATCTAGAGAAACGCCCCGGGTTCACCGCAGCTGATGATGGAGAGAACAGAACAGAACCAGAACAGAACCAGAACTGAACGAAACAAAACACACCAGGACAGAATAGAACCAGAATAGAATAGAATATATTATAACAGAATATAATAAAATAAAATAGAATAGAATAGAACAGAATAGGATATATTCTACATAGAATAAAATAAAATAGACTGGAATAGAATAGTCTGTTACTCATTTTCAAGCATTATAATTTATTTCTTTTTCTGTTTGCTCGTTTCCAGCTCAACTCGGACCACATGACGCCCGCGTTGGCCCTGATGCAGAGGAGAAACGATGGAGTGAAAAATGCTCTAAATCGACCTCCAACAAACTTTATGCCCACCGAGCGACCGCGCAGCTCCACCTTAAACTCCACCTTTAATTCCAGCTTTTACCTGAGAAAGCTGAAGTCAGACAAAGAAAAACCCGCCCTATGATGGACAAGCAGAGAGACTTTACAGCGTCATTAGCTCCTGAAACCGTGGCTCACAGAAGGCTTCATCTTCTTTATTTTGCGTCTGGGTGCAAAATAAACACCCAGACGCTTTACTTGCTTGAATGTTACTAAAAATAAATTAAAAACTATTGTTGCTCAGGGCAGTGTGCAGTTTTATGTTTATTATTTGACAAGATCCAATGTCTTGCATTTATTTATTTTACTGTACTTAACATTTTTCCCTACAACTAACTAAGTGACTTTAATGTGTCTGACAGAGATTTCACGTGATAAATCAATAAAATGATTGTATTGTGAAGTGGAAAATAAATAAGAGATGAGTTTAGTGTTTTCAACTTACAATACATGAAAATACAGTTATAAGGTCAGACACTAATGTTGGACAAAAAGGTCTGGCTCACAGTTTTAGCCTTAATTCTTCCCAAAGGTTTCAAATCAGGTGGAGGACAAACTATAAACCCCTCCACACCAAACTTTATACTTCACACAATGCAGTCGGAAACGTACACTCGCATTAAACTAGGGAGTAATTAGTGGGGGAAACATTTCCTAACTGGACTTACTGAAATTCATGAGATTCTGAAGTTGTACCATTCTTCCACAAACTTTTATAAAAGCAGTCTGTACGATTAAGTGCAGGATTTTATAAACCAGACGGTTAAAACATATGAATTTTAAAATTTGAAGGGGTGAGTATTTGAAAGTGGAGGTAATTGGATAAGAAAACAAATTTGATTTAAATCTGCAGGCAAAAATATATACTAACAAAAATACGTACCACCTCTGATAAGGACCACTGCAGATCAACCACACCCCACAAGAACTACGGGTTTGGAAATGTTCAGATTTTTTTCAAACTGGCGCCAGTCTTAAATGTAAAGGGCAGCCTTCAGACAGTTTTGTTGATAAAGACTTTGTAATTTATTTTATTTGTTGTTTCTATTGTTCTGTTTATCTATTTATTTATTTTTTAGATTCACATGTTTGAAACTTTCAATGTTTTTCAAGTTTGGCATATATTGTTTATCCCGTTGAGAAAGATAAAATCAAGGAGAGAAGTGTTGTTCACTCAAATTATCTTTAAGTTTCTTTTTTTTTCTTCTTCTTCTTCTTTTTCTTTAGATTTTTAGTTGGTAATCTGTCTCTCAATAAACTCGAACTAACGTAGAAAACAGATTGTTCATTTATTTGAGGATTTTTTCAGCTGTAATGACAGGCCAGGCCAGCAGGTGGCGGTGTATTCCGATGCAAACCGAAGAATAAGACAACACGGAAGCACATGGTATCCAGCGCTGGGGATCAAACCTCTGGATCTCTACTGGAAGTTTGAGCCTGTTTTCTTTTAATCCCAGAAAATATTAACTCTGTTTGACCGAAAAACACACCGGCTTGTTGTTGTTTTGTTTTTTTATTATCTTTATTTAAGTTCGGCCCGGGTCGCTGACATCATGGTTCGAGCTTTACGGTGAGTTTTCCTCAAGTTTTCTCTCAGCCTTTCATTAATGCCGTCTTCTGCGTTTCAGGAGAAGTTTTAGTGTTTGTTCCTCACCAGACGAGCAGTAAAATTTGACTGCTGGGAGGAAACTGGACGAAACCGAGCAGAAAAGCTGTGATTTGTGACTGCAGGAGCTCTGAGATTTAGCATCTGTGTGTTTCTGCTGTGCAGAGCCAAAAAACAGAAGAGGCCCAGAAATGTGGAGCAGTTTGATGAAGATGACCCCAACGCCTACAGAAACATGCCAGTGCCTGATAAGGTAGGAGATGCATGTAATGATCGATGTTGTGGTGCAAAATTATGAATATTTGTCTTATTTGTTTACAGAGGTGGGCAGAGTATCCACAAATTGTGCTCAAGTAGAAATGGCTCTGCTTCAACATATTTTTACTCAAGCAAAAGTGAAAAGTAGCAATCCAAGAAGTTACTGAAGAGTAAAAAATGTATTTGGTGAAACTGATCAAATTATCAGTCACTTAATGTTTAAAAATTACATCATCAGATGGACCAAAATATGAAATTAATTGGAATTTTTGGTATTTTAAGTGACAATAATTCATATAAGTTAGAAAGAATAAAATATTAGGCAAAAAAAAAAGTTTCCAAATCAGTTTATTTCAATAGAAAACTTTAATAAAAACTGCAGGTGTGCGTTTGTGGTGAATTGTTAGTTAAAGCATTTATTTGTTGCATAGTAAAATATTCCTAAAAGTAAATTTTTTCAAAAATGTTACTCAAGTTAATGTATTTGAGTACAAGTAACTACTGGCTACCCAATTGTTTATTATTTAAAATGTCCAAAATGAAACAAAAACAATAATTAAGCAGGAAATGAACACAAAACAAACGTGGATGAAATGAACGACAAAGTCCATCAAAAAATATTAATCATCAGAATCAAAATGACCAAGTTCATTTACATTTCTCATTCGATTAATTGCTTAGTTATTTAATCCAGCAGCCTTACCGACCAAAGATTTGACCATTTTCTTCTGCTTTATTTCACAGAGGTCATCAGAGTTTTACAAGGACAAGATCGACGAGTTTCACGATGAGAAGACCGCTGTAAGTTCACTCTGGTGTTTTTACCTGTTGGTGAATCATATCGGCGCTTTTTGTTTCTCACCGCATCTTTTGTTCCTCTGCAGAAACTTCTCGCTCAGGGAGTTCAGGTGGAGAGCGACGTGGAGGAGCCAGACGACGAGGTTTTGATTTATGATTTTGTTCTGGTTTTTCAATTTTGATGATAAATGCGCCCCAAACTAAAACCTCCCTGAATGTCCCAGGAGGAGGTGATGGCTCTGGACGAGTCAGAAGAGGAGGAGGAGGAGGAAGAAGAAGAGGAGGCAGAGGAAGAGGGGACAGATATGGAGAGTGATCTGGAGGAGAAAAAGGAAGAAGGTAAAGACTGAAGGAAGGTGTTTTAAGATGGATTTTTTTATTTATCCTTCTTTCTAAGCTGTTTTTATCATCCTCAGATCTTCCGAATGAGATGGCGTGGGGCACCAAGAAGAAAATGTTCTACAACACGGATTATGTCGCCACAAGTAAATTGTTTTGTTATTTCCAGTAACATTAATGTGCTGATTTGTGATGTTTTGGTGCAGATTTAGGATTTTGATCGTGTTATTGCAGAGGGGAGATCACAGGAAGAGTTGGAGGCTGAGGAGCAGGAGGAGGAAGAAGAAGCAAAAAATATCCAGAAACGTTTAGCTGAAAATCTGAGCGAGGAGGATTATGATTTAAACTTCCTCCAGGTACAAATTATCCCCCCTGATAAACAGTCAATCCCATTCTGAATCAGGTTTCTGAATGAGACTTTATCTTCAAAGGAGTTTGCAGTGGAGGAGAAGGATGAAGACAAAACTGTGGAGAAACAGGAGAAAATTGTGAAGGACTTGAAGCAGATGTCTCAGAAGGAAAAGATGAAACTTTTAAAGAAAGAATCACCGGAGCTGCTTGAGCTCATCCAGGACTTCAAGGCAAAGGTACGACTTATAACCCCTTACATGAAACCTCATGAGCCTTTTATATGCCGACATCATCTCATGGGGTTGACATCTTTGTTTGCAGCTCACTGAACTGAAGGATGAGCTGGAGCCGATGATGCAGATGGTGAAAAATGGGAAGATCCCTGCAGGACAGGTCAGAACCTGCCTCCAAACATCACCAGAATCTGTTTTACAACTTGTTGAAATCAAAAGTTGAAATCCAGTGAGATCAGGGCTTCCCAAACTTTTCCATGCCGCCTCCACCAAACAGCGATCGCTTCTGGGCCAGGACTCGCTTTACAAACTCATGATGCTGCAAAATATTACGTTTTTTTCTCTCACTTTTATTTACTTTTCAATAATTGCTATATTTATTCAACATACATTCTGTCTCATATCTTCTGACTTTAGTGAACCAGAAGTTCATCCTCCACAGCAGAACTGCTGCACGGTTCCTTCGCTCTTTGTCTTGACAGAAGCTTTTAAATGCTTCGCTGCTCTTCTAGTTTCAGGAGTAAAGCAGCCTGATAAATCTGACCGTGAAAAGTAGATCAGATTGTATGCTAAAAAATGATTGAAAATTTATACATTTTTTTTCTTAATCTTTCCTGAACCTTTTTGAGCTTCGAATGGTGAAGAGAACAACACTGAGTCAGATCACTTTTTCAGTGAATATTGCTCTGAAATCCATCAAAACAGACTAATTCTCTCTTCTTTCTCACCTGATGTCTGTAAATGGGGCTTTGCTGTGAGAGACGTTTTCCTGCACAAATTTCAAGTTGGTTGTAGATTAAAAGCTCGGTTTGTGTGAAACTGATGAGTTTTTACTTGTTTTCCCAAAAGTGGGCGGACTACCTGGAGACAAAACAGCAACTTTACCTCAAGTGAGTCCTGATTAGATCGTCTCCTCTTTTACGGAGGAAAAGCTCTGTGGTTAATGCGTATTTTCTGCTGCAGCTACTGCACCAACATCAGCTTCTACTTGGTGCTGAAAGCAAAACGGATACCTGCACACAGTCACCCTGTGATCGAACGGCTGCTTGCCTACAGAAACGTAAGTTCACATGCTGACGGTGACGCAGCAGGCAGCAAACATTACATTTTGTCAAGAAAACATACATGAAATAATATTTATTGATCAATATTGAGTCCACTTACTACCAATCAAAAGCAACTCCAAACTGAGATGTATGTTTAGTCTCAGTGTTTCAGCATTTTGCAGTTCTCTGGAAGTTTGTTCCAAATTTGTAAAAGCTGAATGCTGGTTCTCCATGTCTGGTTCTGGCAAAGCGGAGCAGACCAGAACCAGAAGATATGAGTGGTAATCCATTGATTAAAAAACACAATGTCAGAAATAATCACTTTAAAAAAAAAAAAATCTGAACATTGGGTGTAAGAGCGTTAGAATAAACATTAATTTTGAAGGGTTTTCTTTCAGCCTACTTCAAGTTCTACTTAAGTATTTTATTTCCGTCGTCTTATCGCAGCTCATCAATGAACTGAGTGCAGTAGATGCTCGTCTGGCTCCAGAGTTTCGCAAACATCTTGCTGGAGACGAGAAAGATGAAAGCTCAAAGAGAAAAACGGACGGCAAGAAGACCAAAGTACCAAAGCAAAAGGTGTGATATTTCTGCTTTTTCAGCTTAATCAGATTTGAAAACACTGATGTTAAAAGTCAGCTTGTGGTTAGACGCAGGACTCTGGAGAAACTCCACCTGAGAACAGCGACTCGGACTCAGACTTGGACGAAGAGGCAGCTCTGCGTTTCTACAAAGAAGTGGAGGAACGGGTGAAACTGAAGAGGAAGAGCAAAAACCTGGAAGCGTGAGTGTGGCGTGAACCTTTAGTCTGCTGACTATTATGAGACGGAAATGTAAGGAATCTTGCATTTGATGCAGGCTGGAGGAAAATGATGATGAGGGAGATGAAGAGCTGGATCAAGATGCCAAAAGAGGAATCACTTATCAGGTACTGAGGATGACCCACATGAAGCATTTCCATACATTAGATGAAAAATGTAGTAATTATTCTCAGTGGACAGATTTCACCTCAAACACTTCAAACATCTGGATGATGATAAGCATCACATTTAGACGCTTATCTCAGTCTCTTTTTAAAAAGCCATGAGGTACGAAACACAGAAACCTTAAGTTTTTTAATGCTACAGTTTTATTTGCAAATCATCTCAAGTGTCACTGACAACACAGCAGATCAAATATCTCAGCTGCATCTTTGTGTTTCTACCCTAATCCCGGTTCAGTTCTCAGTGTTTTCTGCTCTGGTGCCTCCACAGATGGCCAAGAACAAGGGGCTGACGCCCAAGAGGAAGAAGATCGACCGGAATCCCAGAGTCAAGCACAGAGAAAAGTTCAGACGGGCCAAGATCCGCCGGAGGGGACAGGTTTGTATCGCATGCAGCGTTGAAGGAATCATGTTAGATTACCATCCGTACGATATTTTAACCTGTGTTTGTTCTCACCAGGTGCAAAGTGTCCGTAAGGAAGAGACGCGGTACGGAGGAGAGGCGTCTGGGATTCGGGCCGGGGTCAAAAAGAGCACCAAGCTCAAGTAGCCAGCAGCGAGTCCAGAGAGTTGAGTTGTTATTGGTCAGTAATACTGAAACCGTGCGATTTCTGATGACATTAATAAAGATTCAAACAACATCAACAATAATCAGCTTGATTTGTTTGTAGAGGAAACTCTTCACGAGTCAAACCTGAACAGCAGACTGGATCAGGGTCATTTCTGTCCAGCGGCTTGCTGCGTTATAAACTTATTGTGCGCCGTCGTCAGGTTGCTCACTATCCGCTCCTCGATCTCCACGCCTTTCTCCGCGTCGCCCTCTGTGACGACCAGCTCATCCCGGGTCTCCGGGGTCACGACCACCACATAACCCCGTCGTGAGTCCAGCACGTTGGCCACCACCGCCTGGTGCCTGTAGGTGTCCAGAGCGCGCCGGGCCCTGTCCAGCAGGATGGTCGGGTCCGTCTCCAGCTTGAAGGACGTGACGAACGCCTGAGGCGCCCAGTCCTTAACGAGCGGCGACAGGATCTTAGGAACCATCTTCATGCTGAGCTGAAGGAAAAACAAAATGATTGTACAAATGATGACATGAGATGGAATTTTGAGCTATATATCAATAAAAGCCTTTTAAGACTTTATTCCTACTGGCTAAATATTACATTAGCATGAAGAATTTAAATTGGTAAAACTTGCAATATATTAGCAAACACTGCTATTGCGACAAAGATATAATCCATAGCCTTAGACAGACTATATTTTTAGTACATATCTTGATGAGTCTAATGGTCGTTCACACTAAAGGCGCGTCTGGTTTACATTCAAAGTCTGTGGAAGCGCGTCAGACACGTCAGAATTGATCTTGCTGTTTTCCGTTGCCGGCCTACTTTGCGTCAAACGCTTCAAATCGCACAACGCTAGACAGGCGACGTGCTGATTCTTTTCTGCATGTTTGAGAAATCCTTTACTCTCCATGGCAACCATTCAGCCGTGCAAAACTCTTTGGGGGGAGACCCGGCGTCGCCTTCAAGGACGCAGGGCTTCCTCAGAGATGTCCTCTTCGGCAGAGCGTCTGCCTCCCAGAGCAGCCCTCCCCCACTCAGGTAAACGTAAAGATAATTTCATTTTTATGGCACAATTTCAGCAACAAGGCAATGCACAGTGCTTTACACGAATCCAAGGCAACATGGGAAGGTCAATTCGGATACAGAATGTCTTAGGTCGGGTAAATTATAAATTTCAATCTCCCCTAAAGTCTTGCAATATCCTGCAGTTGTGTCCCTGCAGGATAAGAGGGCTCTGCTGTGCCAAGTCTTCTCATCGAGAAAATTTGATCAATTGCATTGAGAGACCAGTTGACCAAACCCATAATTTGTAGATTTGGAGGATGTGCAAAGAAAGGCTCCAAAAACAGAGCAAGCAGGGCAGGAGTAGAGGAAAAAAGCATCCACCTTCTCCAAGAGCAAGAAAAAAAGTCAGCTCCTTCAGACTAGCCAGCAGCAATTAGCAAACACCTGGTGGAGCTGTGCATCTGCTGAGCTCATTATATCAGCTATGGGTTAATAGAGGATCAATGTAATAACTTGAAGTCGGGGTTTCAGGAAGAGCAGGAGCTTCTTAAAGAGACAGTGATACAATTTGAAGGCGTTAAATTAAGAAGTCAACTTTCTTCTAAGTCATATTTGACAGCATTTTTATAACAAATGAAGTTAAAATGGTTACTTCATTATTCTGTTAAATTATTGGAAAACACAGAATGCTGCCCATTTATTATGCTTAGATACAGTCACCCTCAAAAGACCTTTTGTTGTTCAGCCTGACTATGGAGAGCTAAGCAATTTCTACATGTAACAAACGTTTTGCGATTTCCTGAATCAAATCCAAACTGCATCATGTCCAGAGACATAACTGGGAACAACTACTTTAAATGATTTTTTTTAATTCCACGTACCTGAAGAGGTCCATTAGAAGACTGAATTTTGTGTTCGGGCATCTCTGACGCCGGGATGTAGAAGTCAGAGACGGCTGCAGCCAAGTAGAACATGGCCTTTGACCCTGATTGAAGATGAAACATTTGTAAACAAGTTTTAAACGCACGCAACAGAACCAATAGCTTTAATCGGTAACACTTTATTTGACGGGTTGTGAATAAGACCATCATAAACATGACAACACCTGTCATGAACATGAGTGTCATGAATATTTATGACTGTTGTCATAAAGTCTCATTCGGTAAATCATGACACTTTTAATATAAAGTTGACATCATTCAAAATGTCTTTGTTATGACAACTTGACATTAACCAAGAAATCATGATCCGACATAAATTTATTACAAAAATATTACTGATTAAACTTTAGCTTTAATAACAAAAAGCTACATAATTTTTAAAGTAATTGTGACAGTATAACGTAATCTGTGAAAAGATCAATACCCTCCACCCTGAGCTGTTATTGCTGCCTGAATAAATGCACCACTCTGGACCAAACACAACCAATCAGAGCCAGGAGGAGGGTCTTAACGCTGTCAATCAACATGAGTAATCGCGGCTTAATGTGCTGTTACAGAAACTGTTTATCTGCTGTCATCAGTGGCTACTCTAAAATGTCACTGATGGCAGGGAGAAGCTGTAGCAGCGCTACATGAGATTGTGATTGCCAGCACCAAGACCCGCCTTCTACCTCTGATTAGTTGTTTCTCGGTAGAACTCAGAGGAGCTCAGTTTTTTCACAGACACCATACTGTCATGACAACAAATATGTACAAGAATATTTCAATAAAATTCTGCGGCTTTCAGGTGCAGGATGGTGTAAGTAATTCAATACCTATAGAGCTGAGCGCCTGTGCCGCTGCTTTCAGTAAATGCAGATACTCTGAAAGAGTGTTGAACTCGATGGGTAGAAGAAGTCCTCCGTCTTTCACTTCGTTGTACCTCTTCAGCACTCTGGCGATGTTCGGAAGCACCTCCTGGTCGACCACCACCTCCCCCGCTCCTTCACTGTCTCCCGCCCTCAGCTGCAGGGCGTCCAGCATGTTGATGGTGGAGAACAGGCGTGTGTAGGGGTAGAGAGAGCGGTGCCTGTGCAGGAAAATGACAGCGTAGCCCGAGTCAATGAAGTATTCCGCCGAGGAGGCTCCTCGCCTGCCGCTGCTGAAGTTATCCAGGAAGCGGACGGTGCGCGACTCCAGCGGGACTTTGGTGCCGCCTGATGTGATGAGGACCACTCTGCGGCCCACGTCGGCGTGACGGGCGGCGAAAGCAGCCATCTTGTCCTTGACCACCTCGACGTGGGAGGGAACGGCAAATTCTTCAGCCAGCTTTCCATCAATGGACGATATTCTGGGTTCGGCCATTATCTGAGAAGAGAGAAGAGGCATCAAGAGAGAAGACTGGCTGCTTGTGTCACAGATTGGCTTTAATACTGAACCAGCTTTTTATTATGGATTTGACCTGGGACAACAGAAATGAAACATAATTAGGCTGGCACAACATTATGAAGTTGTGATATGATAAGTTAAATATGAGCTGTGATCTGATTATAATCTCAATCTTAGAATTCTGACTTTTTTTATTGTTTAGACTTTTACCATTTTCATTAAAACTCCGATTTTAATCGCAGAATTTCACATTTTTCTTAAGAATGTATTTTTTTAACAAATGTAAATTTTGGGGGGGACTTTAATTTGATCATTTTTAATTCACCATATTCTTTTGTTGTTTTCTTAATATTTTTAATTTAATCTCATAATTCTGACTATTTCTTCAGAATATACTTTTTAATTTTTTTTTCTGAATTTCATTTTTTTTGCTAAGAATTATGACTTTAATTTTAAGATTTACTTCTTTCTCTAAACTCTTTTGTTTTTGTAACACTTAATTTAATCTCAAAATTGTTACTTTTACTTCAGAATTAACTTGTATTTATTTATTTATTTTACCAATGTAGGGATTTTTGCTAAATGATGGAAAATCAGTTTATATATTAAAAGTTTTCAACCATTTTATTGTTTGGGTGCAGACAGGAGGAGCATGCTGTCACATAATGGCGGCGTTTTAATGGGAAAATTAGAAAATTCAGCAATTTTGAAGAAAAAAATGATCAAAATTGATTAAGCTAAACGAAAAATAAATACTTCACAGTGCAAAACAAGGGATGAAAATAGCTTTATAAATGATCTTATCATATTATTCTTCCACGATGACAGGTGAGCCCCTGCCTCACCTGACCGCACGTCACTGGTTTTTACCCATTTTAACTGGTAAACTCTTCAGATTGGACTGTCAACAACGAGAGGCCGGAAATGACTAAACTTTCCTCTAATTTGTACGTAACTGCGACACAATGAAACAACTACAGTAAAGCATAAATGAAGTACGTCACACATACCGGTGAAGATGTTTCTCCTATCACTTCAGAGATGTTTTCGTTTCTCCACAACTTGACCGCTTTACTTCCTGAAATAAGCTCAGCTTTGAGATTCTATGGTTTCTAAATATACAAAGGAGAGCCGTCAGCGCCCCGCAATGGCAGAGCACGGTACTGCAATGCGGACGCATTGCAAATTAGTTATGGCTATAAATGTTAATGCACAAACATGTTAATTGTTCATAGTTTTTCCTGTCAGATAATTAAATAAATAAAATTATATTGCAATAATTGCAGAAAAATATTCTGTAAAAACTTCAGTAAACTACTGAGAAATAATTTGATTATGTCTGATTTAATTTGTGAAAATGACCAGGTGTCAAATCCAGGACCTATGAGGCAATGAGGCAGACAAAAAAAATTTAATGTTATATTATGTAATTCTACTACAGTAAAGAAACAAATAGCATCATTACAACTTAAAAAATTCAGGCAAAAGGACAGCAAAAAAATCTAAATAAATAAACAAAAAGGTTTACAACACAACATTCAAATTTCAGAGGCATTTTTTATTCAAATCCTGATGGCACATATTTACATTAAATATTTTTATTTGTTTTATAAATTGGATAAAGACTTTCTCTCACTTTGCACACACACGAAGCGTTTTAAGGTGTGATATAAACTGTAAATGCAGTTTTAAGTAATTTTAATTCAAAAGCCAAAAGGAAATATCACATCAATTTACTGTAGTAAAGTCCTCATATAATAAATATTATTAAAAGCTTTGCTCTTAATAATAAGATCATGAGTTGAACACATTAATTAAATAATAACAACTTTATTATAGAAGTTATTAAATAATTACATGCACTATTCATGATTGACCAACAAGTGGCGCTGTTGTACAGTAAAATAGCCAATTTTAGAAGGTGATGTGGTTTTTATCTTTCAGAGAGGGCAGTGATTGACCAGATTGAATTTGAATGATTTTCAAACTTAATATTAATTTTTGCACTTCCCTTTATAAACTATGCTTGCTTCACCATTGGCAGTGGCCCAATATTGTGGTGGTGACACAGCATTGCACTAAATACAAAGAACCACTAAATTAGCAAAAATGTCCAACCATTAAAACATTCAAGTTAGGAGACAGCTACTGTAGTTGGACTTAAAATATTAATAATAATAGTAAACAAAATTCAAGTAATCAAGTGTATCTAATAACTCGGCCATTTCGAGCAATATCAACAGGTTTGACTGGAAATCTCCACACTGGGACTGCAGCAGATGACCCAGGAGATAAATAACCAGAAACTATCTGACGTCCATATTGTATAAGCTCTTTTATAGCTATAGTTTTTCTGTATGGGTAATTACCATGCAAATTAAATTGCATGGTCAGCTAAGTTGGAAATAGAAACTCATTAGTGAAGCAGGCATGTTCAAAATTTATAAAATCCTACATAATGTAAACCAAGCAAATAATGTTTAGTTTTGGAAAACTATGCGTGACATTGCCCAGCAATAAACAGTAACTTCCTCTGTTATGTCATAACTGAATTGAATCAAGGACAACATGATAAGGAACTTTGATCCTGTGAGTTCAGGCCAGACTCTTAGTGACACAGAGATTATATTCACATGAATTTCACCCTCAAGATTTTCACTGAACAAAGAAACAGTTTCCTCTTAATTTCATAATTAGAGAAAACAAAATTTATAATGCAATGTAATATTTCAAAAAACCCAAACAGATACCCATTATCAGACAAAACTTTGACGATATCTTGATATCTAATGGCATTGATAATGGTTAAAAAAACATTTGTAAGAATTAATTAGATTAAAAGGTTTGGGCTTTGCAGGTGGTAAAAAATTTTGCATTCTATATGAGTAGATGGAAGGACAAATGGATGTCATGTTATTTCTTAATGTAAAGTTTTGTGGAAGAAAAAAATAGAGTGAAAATTTGGGATGCATGTCATCTACTGTTGCTAGACCGTGGGGTTTGATCAAAAATAGAGTCAGCACAGCTGTTTTCCGGGAAGAAAGTTTTAGTGCACATCATACTGACAAACTTCACAAATATGCTGGTTTAATTTTCCAGGAAGGCATTTGTCCAAAATGTCAGAGGTACCAGAGGCAGTTTTAATGAGCACACTTGCATCAATGGTGGTTTTTGATCTGGGCAACATGACATATTGGTCAAGGCCACAGCCTGGGGGCGCCCCAAGTAAGACTTTTTATTGTTTAGTACACATACTGTCAGTGAAGGACTGGCGCCACCTTAAGAATGCCTGATCAGACATCAACAGCTGATCAAAGTTTGGTTCAAAGCTTCAATAAAGGACTCTTTACTGGTTCTATTAATGAATCAAGATTGCATTTGCTGAAAAACCAAAATGATCCATCATAATTCTTCTTTGTCTTATGAAGGGTTATGTTTTTGTATTTATAAAACAAACATACAAATTTGATTTACAAAAATATAATCACAAAATAATGTTTGTTTGGCATTGTAGTATCTTAAACATAACTTTACTTGTGGTGAACCCAGGTGACCAGTTGTTATTACTATTCTTGATGCTTCTTTAACACCTCAGCAGAGATACAGTTTGATACCTCCATGACACACCACACTGATGTAGTGGTTATTTCATGCAAAACAGCTCTAACCAAGTATCTATGCTCTGCCTATATTTGGGACATTCTTTTTAGGTAGGTTATTGTGCTAAAAGCCATGCACTGTCATTATCTGTAAGCTATAATCATCCAAATTACCATATGTAAAAAAAGTTTCAGTGCTTTTTAAAAATGAGTTATGCACTTTTTTTTATGATATTCTAATTTTAGATGTAGCTGTAACGTCTCAGTTTTCTATTTTTAAATTGCTTTATTTAGTAAACCTGTTGTTTCACGTAAATTTGACTGGGTTTTACGCTGCACCATACAGTTCATTTGAGGATACAGTACAGTATATTCTCTTAATAGAAATCCCGAGGGCAGTTGTTGCATTGATTGGTTTATTGATCGAGGTTTAACCATGTATGGATGCCTTTTTCTTTAGCGGGCGTGAGCATTCAACCGCGCTAGTTTCTGTGGCGGCAGACGTGGTGAAAACAGTGAAGTGGGAGAAAAAAAAACCCTTCATCTGCGTCGTCATATGTGAAAGTAGTTCCGGGCACCGAACTAAGTGGGGAGAGTCCCGGATGTTGGCTCGGCTGCCGAGAGAAAGGCGAACGGGAGAAGGCGGAGAAGCCGAGTAGAGGGACGGCGCGGCACTGTAGGCACACCGGGCGAAGATCTCTGCACAGAGGACAACAACTGTCAGGAGCACTGGGCTCTCCTGAGCTGGCGGGGAAAGACACTCTGTGTGGACAAGAGGTGGTGGACGGAGCGGGGAGACAGCTGCTGTTAAACTACCGTGAGGATTACCGGAGAGAGCCGCCGTCTCTGCTGCTTTCATCCTGAGTAAGTGAGCTACACGGGAATGGAAGTTGAACTAAAGGCCCACGAAATGGACGACTTTGACGGGGAAGTGAGCTGCAGAGAAGTTCTGGGGGTTTGGGCCCTTGCCCTAAGCTTGCTGCTCAACGTGTCTTGCTGTCCTTGTGGAGATAAATTAGAGTGTTATTCCTCCGATACGGCCAGCGAGGGTTTCCCCGCGGTCAGTGAACGTTCACTCCGGAGCCGTTGCTCTAACTCTCCGGAGTTGACAGCTCCTGCGTTAGCCTGCTAGCTCCACCGTGCAACCGGTGACAACTGGCGGGGCAACTTTGACAGCTAAACTAGCCAGCCTCTGTAGGCAGCTAACTCATCCCGAGGGTTGTCGGAGCTTTTCATAGCTAATAGGTGTGCTTTTTTCTTTTTCGTTTGCATTTGGGAGAATTTGGTGACCTATCCCCAAACCCCCCAGCAGCAGCAGCAGCCATGGTTAGCTAGCTGTTTGGTATGTGAGACGTTGTGGGTCCAGCATGGAGTGGGTGAGCCCAGTGTCATTTGGCTTCCCTGCGTGCTCTGGCGCTGTTTGATTCACAGCTGTTGCGGCGTGTTTTCTCCTCTGTCAAACGTCTGTTTTACTGGACGGCCAGTAAATTCCTCCAGGAAAAAATAAAAATAAATAAATGTCGAGCCTCCCCTGTAAAAACTGCTCTGTTTTCATGATCGGGTTGCAGGCTGGGGTTGCACAATCAACAAGTGTAAAACATGTTTCAGATGAATTTCACATTCATCTGGAGCTTGTCTTGATTACATATTTTAAGATAACAACGAAGGATAATCATTTATGTTAATTCTTAAGATTTTCATTTGGTTCAAACATACCTATTTACTCATACTTTATGTCAAAATAAACAATTTAATCAAACTTGAAATTAACTTAATATTCATTTGATGTTAATATTGTGTTTCTAGGTTAAAAAAATATTTTAAAAGCTGGGATTATCTATTTTTCCCTCAATTCATTGAAGCCTGCCATAAGTTGTGAGCTATAATTCAAAAAATATCTTAGATGCTGTCAGAAAGCAGCATCTAAGCTACAATGTATCAGCTACACTGATACATTAAGTGTATCAGACAATTGTTATGGGTTATTATAAAAGTTAAAACAAATTATTCTGCTTGAAAGATTAAAAAAAAACTTTAATTGATACCATAAATAGGTATGCAGGTAAAAAAAAAGATAGTTGCAGCAGTCTGAGGTACCTTAGGCTCTCCACTACTTTATGTAAAAAGTTGTGACTCAAAACAAGATATTTGACATGAAAATTACACTATTCCTGATTTGTTCCAGATATTACAAGTGAATTAAGGTTTAGTATATATTTTAGAAATATTTTCAGGAGTTGTAAAATACACAATAAAATCTGAGCCTCCATCAAAATAATTTTTCAGTGATGTGAAAATCATACACGTTGATTAAGCATTAGAATTGTTAGGGCTGAATTTATATTCTGAAATTTGCTATTAATCTTAGAAAGTTGTGAAGTAGAATCACAAAATTTCTGTTTGTTTCAACAAATCTGTACAAAACTATCAATAAATGATTTATAATGCTTATCCTGCCTACAATAAATGTCAAAATAAGTTACATTGTCGGTAAATGCATCAGAAGAACCTTCAAATGATACCAAGATTTTGTAAACAATTACAACACATTGAGACTTTGAAAGCTGAAATTGGGTGGTCATTAATTTCCTCAGTTTTCATTAAAAGCTCTGAAAAGTTGTGAGCCAAATCATAAAAATGCTTTATGTCAAATTTTCTCTTATGTAGTAACATAAAAAAAAAAATCAAGCAGTTCTTTGTGATATTTTGGCCTTTTGGGGTGTAGAATACCCTTAACAGTGTTTACTAAAAGATCGATCCCAGAGCGTTTACAGAATGTTTTGTAATTGGTGGCAAGATGGGGCCCACTGATAATCTTCGGGGAGCCCCTGAAAACTAAAAGCCGTTGATAATGGAAATCATTACCTCTCTCCCCATTGTGTTTTCACTGGATGGATGACTCGGCTTTTAATTTCTCCACCTTTTGTTGTTTAAAAAAAAACCCAGCATGGACATTATATTCTCATGATGTGGTGAGGTTTCATGATATTGACACAATAATTATCACTAGTTCTCTACTTAAAACAGAATAGAAATTGCTGAATAGGAAATAGTAGATTAAAATAACAAATAAGTTAATTTTAAAATATGGTAGTACTTTTCATAAACATATTTATTTTACAGGATTAAATCAGTTTATGCTGTTCTGCTCTTGATAGAGTAAAGCAAGCTGATATTAGTTTAGTAGTCTGGCTGCAGTAGCTTTCTTTTAGCCAGCTGACTGGCAGTCTGCAGCCTGTGGAAACGCTGTTCTATTAGATAACTGAAGTGCAGAATGTAATCTTATCACTATCCCCTCTTATAATTACCTTCTTTTACCTGAAAGCAAACCTAAAATGAAATAAATTTCTGCCTGAAATCAAACAGTTTCCCTTCAACAAACCCAACCCTGACAGGCCTTCAGCTTCAGCTCACAAAATGCCCACAGCGTTGGGCAGCAGCAACAATCAAAGGTCAGACCTGGTTTGCTTCTTAATCACCCATCCTTTAAATAGCAGGCCTACAGTGCTGTCTGGATCCAGGCTATTTGTGCGTGCAGCTGTAGAGGACACATGGTGTTTACGTTATGATGGTCCTCCATCCAGGTACACGCAGCCAAAAGTAGCTACACTTAGTTTCCCCCCTGAAAATTAGCCTCACTCGTGTGTCACTGCCTTTATAATATGTATCTGCTACTGCAGGTTCTCTTGATCACATTTGAAGGTGTAATACAGTGAGGTTTCATGAAAAAGCTTTTAGTTGCCACATAAAATGGGATTGCAGCTTTGAAAGACTCGCTTCCTTTATGCTTTTGGGTCTTTGATGTTGGTCTCAAAACAGAGAAGAGAAAATGCTATTTTTTTTTTCTACGTTAGAATCTGATAGCAAACGTCTGTTAAAACATACACCATAATCTTTTAATTAATTTTTCAGTTTTGATTTAAATGATCTCAGCAAATATTTTGCTTTAGGGGAAGTATATTTACTAGCAACGCATCAGTTTGTTTTTTGTTTAATTTTTCAGTAGTTTGGTCTTCCAATACAGACTGACTAATTTTTTGTCCTTTTATAGTCCAGAAATGGCTTATATTAAGTGATAATAAATCTAATTATTCAGTATTTAATCTGTGGAATACCGATCAAGAAAGTTTCTGGCCAATTAATAGTGTAAATCTGTAGTTTACCCAAAAGAATGGAAATATACCAAGCCTCCAACTGGTAATCGGCGGGTCATATACGGACAAATTTTAATTAATCAAACCCCCCACAACATGTATTTTGATGTATTTTTTTTGTAGATTATTTGAAAGATCAGATGGCGTTTATGCTTTGATGCAAAAGTGAGGATGACCTTGTTATCCATTAATTTTCTGTTTGATTTAAAAGCATCAAAGAACCCTCAGCATCTTTTTGGTAATTTTTCTGACCCCGTCTGGACCGGCTTGACCCTTATCCCAATCAAAGGCGGGTCTTGAATCCGGCTCAATTGTGTATCGAATAAGCCTGGTAACTTTTTGTTGATAGAGGTTAGATGACCTTTGTATTACCTTTACAATGGTTTTCCAATGGCAGATAATGTTCGGCTTTAGGGGTCACGCTCTTCAGCAGATCAGGGGTTTGTGTATAAGTTGATGTTTTCTACGGTTTTTATCAGAAGCAGCTCATTTTGAATTCTGCATGTGGCCCCGTGCCGAGCCGGTCTCACCGAGACGGTTTTTAATTTCTCCCCTTGTTGAAGTGATTATTCAAATGGCCATCCATGAGGTGTAGTTATCAGACTCCTGGTGGTCCTCTAGCCCCTGGCAACTAGAGCGGCCATCAAAGCCCCCCCCTCATCTCCACGCTGTGTAGTTGGACGGCACCCAACAGGCAATCTCTGTTGCAACCTCTATTAGACTGTCACATTTCCCCCTCCCTGAGGCGGGAAACCTTTTGTGCTACACGATTGGCAGATGGCGATTTATTCTCAAGGAGTTCTGATGCTCTTGGTCAAAGGTCTCCATCTGGTATGTTTTTACAATGACTTATCTTTTGGCTAACCTCACAGCTTTCGGAGCCTACCCTATATTCTTCTTGTAAAGAGATTAAAAAAAACAGGATCTTACTCATTGTTTTAAGACTTTCTCAGGGCTCAGACTCGCTGTGGAGTTTCCGTCTGGCAGAAGGTGAGAAGGGAATTGCTCAGTCTTCATTAGTGACGCTCTCCATCACTGGAATGCAGATGAGCTATGAAGCCAATTCATCCCCTGGAAATGCCTCCCTGATTCCAATTTGAATCTTGTTTACGGTGGCATTGTGTGAGCCCACTTCTCCATGTTAAAGAAGTCTCTTTATCTGAGAGATCAGAGGGGGATAATTGCACTTAAGTGAACCTCATTTAGCGCTGGCCAGAGCAATTACTGTAACTGCAGTTCTTCCCACTTTTTTTTTTTTAATCCTGTTTTTTCAGAAGGCAAAGAGTCGCTGTCATTGAGTGTCTGTAGCTGAATAGCATGGCATTGGCATGGCATCATGGGAATGACATGTCCTTCGATGGGTTTTAATTAGTTTTTTTCAGATTTTCTTCCCCGTCTGAAGAAAAGTGTAATTAAAAATGACAATTAGAAGTGCATTATTTTTATTATATAAGGGTGAAAGTAAATTACTGTGAAAGTAGTGTAAGGTGGAAACAACGAGAAATATTTTTTCAGACAAAGCCCTCCTAGGCTTTTTTTTTTTTTTTGGTGGGACGAGGGAGACGTTTTATCATTAATGTTATTCAGGAGCCAAATTTTGAGGTTTGCTCAGCTGGGTGCTTTAATCTATTTTTGCTGTCAATTAATGAATTTTTAAAGAGCCGTTCGCTGGATTTGGTTGGATGTGGGAATGCGGCGCGGGTTCGCTTT